CAAACCGAAACACAGCCATGCAAACACAACTGCTTCACGGTTGAAACACGAATGGGACAGAGGTACCCAAGCAATCGACTCTTGTACAAAGTCTCCCTCTGGTAGATAAAGTAACAGTCCAACATTCAGCTAATATTAAACATATCAGCTTTTAACTGTCCACTGCTGAACATAAGCCTCCCCTTGGGGGGTTTAGCCAGTAGTTGCCATCCTTGGCAGGCAGATTCGCAACCGCAGTTAGGCTTTAGAGATGTTTTAAGAGAGACGCTGCTGTTCATCCGTCGCCGCCCCTCAGTCGCTTGTTACAACACCCACGGGAAAGGTAGGGGTGGCCTATTCTATGCCGGGACCACACGGTAACACTTTTACTAGTATCGACATTTTAAATTATATTTTATATGCTTAATATTTCATCCTTATATGTATAACACTTTCAGACCCAAGACTTTTTTTCTTTCAGATTAAATATATTTTCGTGTTTTGGAGCCAAGCCATGTTGCCGGCACGCACGAGACTACTGCACCACCTAACCGCTAAAATGATTTCTTATTGGCTGGTTTAGAATCTCACTGTCATGTTATATCAGCTTCGCGCGTCAAAATGAATTGCGCGCGGTTTTAGAATTTTTTAAAGTTACAACTCACGCCCGTATCGTTCAAGTCTGATATATATATATATATATATATATATATATATATATATATATATATATATATATATATTTGGCCGTTTGGTCCCGGCGTAGAACCGCTTCCTTTCCCGTGGCTGTCGTAAGAGACGACTGAGGGAGACCGAGGGATGGGCAGCAGCGTCCGTCTTAAAACATCACAAAAACCTAATTGCAGTGGCCAACCCGCCTGCCAAGCGTGGCAACTACTGGCAAAACTCCCCTTATGGGAAAGGCTTATGTTCAACACCGAACAGTGAGAGTAAGCCCTGCTTGTCCCACCACTACCCTGCACATTACAGTATCGAGATGTATTTTCCCTGCGCGACAGAGATAACCCGTTCAAATAGTGATGCGCCCATGCAATCACCATAAATTATCGATGTCATACATTATATGCAGGCGAGTGGGGGAGACAGTAATGTAATTAACAAGTGGCTTAAATTAAAAACATATAGATATGTAATGTAATCAATATATATATAATAAAGTCGTAACCGGTCGCTGTCTGTACATGGAAGGTATGTAAGAAAAACTATTATAAAGGGGGCTTTATAAACGCAAAAGAACACGAAAAACAATGATTTTTAGAATTTTTGTCTATTTATAATCTCAGAAATGGCTTAACCGATTTGAATGCGGCTTTTACTGTTGCATTGAGTTTCACTCCACTTAATATTTAGTGTTTATTTCAATCGGTAACTGGTTTCGCAGCATCCTATTGCTAGCAATATACCCAACCAGGTCGACCTCCTCGCCGTTCTCCCTGGAAACTATCATGGTTAATTCCTGATGAATTCATCATGATGGGCTAACTGGCCTGTTTTCATTCTCATCTATCACCCTTCACTGGTGCTCCGCCAGCGTATTCCGTTAGCGCAGGCGAGGTTACCATACCATTTTCACCCAAAAAAAAAAACTAGTTTCGCAACGGTTTCGATGTAGTTTTTTTCGTAGATCACAATTTAATTTAAATAATTGTCTAGAAAGAAAAAAATACAAAGTATTTAAAAAAAAAAAAAACTTTCACAATAACCGTTTAGAGTGGTCTGTAATCGAATTCAAAATCATCTTTATTAAAATAGATTCGTTTACAAGCTCTTTTAAATCGCTATCTTTTAAACTGTTTTCCATTAGGTTATCAATTGGTTTTCTCTACAGGCCTCTAAGGACTCGTCATTCTTTAGTACCCTTGATATTTATTTATTTATTTAACACTTTATTACACCAAGTAAAAAAAAAATTACAGTAAATATTAATGAGAAATGATACAAAAGGCGGTTTTGTCGCTAAGCAATCTCTTCCAGATATCACAGTATATAAGAGACCATTCCTCAGTTTGGTACCCGCCATCTTCAGAACAAGTTATTTTTTTTAATACTTTCGTTCCCCAAAAGAACAGGCTAAAGTCATGGATCATACTGCCAAACAATTTGTTCTTTGTCTCTGCCATTTTATTTTTTAATTAATTTTCTAACTTTTTTTTAAGAACTTACACCGTGCTCGTTTAAAACGGTTTGTAATATATTGTTTTTTTTTTAAACCACTACGAACACTTCGCAGACGAGAGAAATACGCTCGTTCCGAAGCACCTGCCGCGTCTAGACAGGGAAACAAGTTGAACCGAGTTTAATTACAATAGTTTTGTTACAATAATGGAGTTGATTTAACTCATAATTTAAATAACTTTTATGCTGTTTCGATAGTTTGCACTGATACAAAATTATAATTGTAAAACCAACTGTGGACTAGAACACTTGAACTCTTGACTCGGTTCAAAAACGGGCTATGAGAATAGTCGACAATTCCGAGCTCACAGGCGGTATCGGGTTCAAAGAGGGTATATTAAGGTTCCTTCAGGGTCTGCAATGCGCACGTGACACCCCTAGTGTTGCAGGCGTCCATAGGCTACAGTGACCGTTTACCAGCAGACGGGTTGTATGCTTGTTTGACACCTTCGTGGTATGAAAAAACCTTTGAAAAAGCAACAACTGAGTTTCTTGCTCGTTCTTACTAGTAGGAATTGCATTACCAACAGTACGACTGGGCGACAGTTATTAAAAATGACTATTCAAAAACACTTATAATTTTTCATTTTCTTTTTTTTTTTCATAAACAATAATTGTATTGTATATTTATTGTACATAATTCATACTGCATACATTAAAAGATTTAATATACAATAATTTGTATTTGAATGTACAAAATTGGTTAGTAAAAAACAAAATTTATAAGCAATAGATAAATAGATATATAATTTATTTGCATTACTTACAGCACACAAACAACCATAGATATAGAAATATACGCAAAAAAAAAAAACTAAAGGAAAATACATAAAAAAAAGTAACAGTTTTTATATGTAAAAACAATATATGATTTTAAATTCATTTAGAGTCATCTCTTAATAATAATAACATATATGTTTAACGTTAGGACAATTAGAAATCGTCAATAGATTGCGAACATTTTTCTAATAACTAATAATGACTTTAATTTTTTTTTCTTAAACATGTACAAGTCATTAATTTATTTGAATAAAATTATTCTTATTCTTAATTTCGAACATAGATTAAGGATTCGATTGTCATTTTAAATTTTGACACTTATTTTTTTAATTAAAACAATGCGCGCCAATTTTTGGGATTGCAAGTAATTGGATTAAAATTTGCCCAAATCAGATTTTTATTTATAATTTGACTTGCGAACTATTTATATATACATACAGTGTGAAATTGAAATAATGTTTTGAATAAAATTTTCTACCAGCGAAACTACAGTGAATTCATCATTACAGGAAAATGGGTCAAAAATGACAAAAAACGACGATGTGCCAACTGGCCTGCTTTTATTGTCACCTATCATCCCTCACTGGTACTCGCGTATATCGATAGCGCGGGCGGGGTTACCATTCCAATAAAATCCATTCAAAAATATGATGGGGATGAAAATGAGGGTCAAATCAGTTGACACGTCATGACGATTTCACCATAATAATGTCTGAGGAGACTATGTGGAGGTCGGCCTGAGATATTGCTATTATAAGGAGATTAGCATTCCTACCACTAACAATTCCATCCCCTATTCGTCTCATATTAGTAATTAATTGATATTTGTTTTTTTTTTTATTATTATTTAATATCATAAATTAACACTTCACGTTATCGGCTTTCACAGATTTGGTGAAATTGATTATTCTAATGTTATAAATGTGAAAGTGTGTCTGTTACATCTTAGCACCTTAACACAGCTTAACCATTCGTCATAAAATTAAGTACATTAGTACTGTATGATATAGTAAAGGACACAAGGTAGGTTTTTTTTTTTATAATTATAATATATAAAAAAAATCCTATGTCGCAATGTCCGTTCACGCTAATCTCCGAAAACAGCCGATTTTAATTATAAATTTCATTTTATAAATGTGTACTGTTCATTCCAAATTGAGAGATGGGATAATTCTTATTGCGATAAGAAAAAAATGCACCCGGTAGATGGCGGTAAGGGACGCAAACAACGTTCATCGGACCAGTTTGTAATTCAGTATAATTTGTAATTGAATATTAGATATAAAGAATGAGTCTTTCTTTTTAACCGACTTCAAAAAAAGATGTTCTCAATACGGTTGTATATTTTTATGTTTGTTACCGTTTCCTCCGTTAGTTATAAACCGATTTGGAAATTTTTAATTTTTTTTTGTTATTTGAAAGGATATACTTACAGAACGGTTCCATAGAAATTACATCAAAATCAGTTCAGTAATTTCGTTACAAAATCAAAATAACAATGGAAGGTTTTTTGTGAAACACAATCTTAAATTGTCAATCCACATAAAAACAAGCTGAATTGTAACAAATTTAATATTATAACTCTGGTGCAAAACCTATCGATAGTAAAAAGAACCATCAAAATCGGCTTATTTCAACTATACCATCCAATACAGGTGCACGTATACCTGTACAAAACATAAATAAGAAGCACCTACAAGCATGCCGAGTACTTCCCATTTTTCCCCATTGAAAATATTATAAGAATCGAAAAGGTTTCCCAAACTTAGCGAAGCCTTAGACGCAGCACTCTGTAGATGTAAAAACATTATAAGAAAGACGTAGATAAAAGCAATGGTATTAACTTAGAAAAGCTTAAGTTCCTCGAATTACTACAACTTAATAATACTTAAACAACACATGAAGCGTCATAGTATTTTATGTCTTATTAATAAATAAAAAAAAAATACGGGGAAACAAGTCACAGACATGGCAATAAATTTATTTGGAAATTCCAATTTCGAATTCGAAAATTCAAATTTGGAATTCGAATGCTACGAACTCACCTTACGCAGTAAATCGTAGTCGACACTCGTGGTAACAGAATACACAATACACAAACAGTAAATACACAATGATACACGGAAAAACACAAGACTAGGGCACACAGACGTCTGATCAAAGACGGGGCAATACGCGGACTGGAGCGGGGTAGTCGGGGAGAATTTTTGTTTTGTCGAGTGCCTTGCCACTAGGTTGCCGTTACAGAGTTTGGGTTTACCCATTCATTTTTACCCTATTTTAACCGACAGCACAAACTCATAAGGTTGTCAATTTTATGTTTTTTTTCCATCTCTTTCATGGCCCGTTTTTGATGTCCTTATGATTTTTCGTTACTGTGTTGGTTCTATTTTATTCAGTCGCTAATTATGCCTTACGATCGTCCGTGCTCATATTGCGCTATTTAATAACATTCCTCAAAAACTCGAAATTCCTCAAAAAATACGAAAAGATTTTTTCAAATCTGACTGGCAGTTCCAGATTACAAAACAACAAAAGCTCCCGTTTTATTTTATTAGTATAGATGTTGATCTACACATACAAATACATACCGATACACTCACACACATACACAAACCAAGGAATGACAAGGCGTTTCGTATATATGTGTATCATTATTGAAAATAAATCTATTTAAATTTAGAATGCGGAAGCATTGTTTTACGTTTCGCAAACAGCAGTTTTTTTATTCCGCGAACTAAAATATAAGTTTCAGTTGTCATAAATTAAATATGGAAGTGCCACGAGAGCATGGAGGAAAGATATTGTTAGTAATCCTAGGGATTTAACATCGTATACCGATAGCGCAGGCGGGGTTACCATTGTATTTTCATTCTTAAAAAGAGGGATACATTTACTCCTTTTTTTGCAAAAATAATTATCGTACATTTCTTTTAATTTTGTTAACAACTTGTAACGGGTTATAATTTGCTTCATTTATATTATGATATATTCACCTACTATATATTTCTGTTGCTTATTATACAGTAGAAAAAGTAAAAATTTCAAACTTGGACCATTTAAAATAAAATATTTAAGTAATAAAAAGAAAAAAACCTTTGCTAACATACTCATTCATATTACACATTGCCATTACATAGGAAATAATTTAGTTTTTTTTTTTAAATATTATTATATAACTCAAATAAATGTATATAAATCTTGGTATCCCACCATCCCTATGGTAATAACTTGTGTGCATTATAACATATATTACTATACAGGGTGTAACCGAAATTGTTAGCATCCTTCGAAGGAAGCATTACATCGGTTAACCTGAACGTTTTCAGCAAAGGAACACAGGGATCAGAAACGACGAGAAATATCGAGTCTCGCATATAACTTGTATCATTCTTTGAAAGGAAATAATAAAGAATTTTCATTCATTCATTAGTATGAAAGATTATTATATTTTTTATAGTTTTAAAATTTTTACACACGAAATTTCTGTCCTAACATGTTCTATATTATGAGTACATTTTTTGGTTTAACGTACCGCTAACGATTTCGTTTGCACTCTATATAATTTGCACACTCAAAACTATTTACCCACAAACCGGGGTAATCTCCCGCGCTGACAACCCAGAACGTGATACCTGTATCACGCACACACGGACGCGCCTTTCACAGGGCGCTGCTTACGATGAAAGGGCGACGCACACACACAAACAGTTTGGTAGCTAGTTTAGGGACTTGACCGCAGAAAGGGACTAGGTTTGATTCTGTGTAGGGATTGTTTTATCATATGTAAATCATTTATGATAAGTTTGCCACTAGGAACATTAGAATGATACCGTCCATATAGTTTATATCAGGGATGGGCAATATATAGCAATATCTATATATTTTAGTTACAATATCTATTTACTGGGTACAGAAGAATAACACCTGAGTGCTCAGGAATGGCAACGTATGGGGGGTATCATGGGCGAAACAGTATACTCTGTTATGTCCACGGTACTGCTCATGTCTATAGGCGACGGTTACCACTAACCATCAGGTGGGCCGTCAGCTGATTTGCCATTCTAAGTTGTATAAAAAAAAAATTGGGAATTTAGAGTAAGAGAAAGAGACAAAATGAGTTCAATAGCTAAAATAAGATAATGAGAGATTTGACGTTTTTATGAATAAAGGGATTAGGTTCAGACAAGTAAACTTAAATAGATTATTCTAAGTCGTGTAAAAAAAAAGCAATTTGAGAGTCCAGTGTAATATATTCGTTAATTTTAAAACTTATAGGCGAAGTCGGGGGGATTAGCTAGTTAAGAAAAATATGATATCGCATCGCAATTCCCACGAGCCACAAGCTGTGAATGCATCAATGTCACTGGCAGGCGACATTATTCAAATTGTACGATGGCGGACTGATTTTTTTTTTGTCTATGGTAAAATGGAATGGCGGGAAACTTTTTATCTAGTGTTTGTTTATTTACAACCTCTTTTTTTTATCAAAATAGTTATGTATATAATAATTAAGATGTTGATTGCATTATCATCATCATCTATCAGCCTGTAACTGTCCACTGCTGAACACAGGCCTCTCCCTTGGGAGGTTCTGCCAATACTTGCCACGCTTGGCAGGCGGATTGGCAACCGCAGTTAAGCTTTTAGAGATATTCTAATAGGGACGCTGTTGCTCATCCATCGCCCTCCCTTAGTTGACTCTTACGACACCCACGCGTAAGTGGGTCGGTGAGATATGGCAGTAAAGTTATAGGGTACAGAGACATAACATCTTAGTCCTCAAGAATGGCAACGCATAAGGAATATCATGGCAGACACTGTTTTTTTTTGATGGGTGAATATGGAATGGTAACCCCGCCTGCGCTAACGGGATACGCTGGCGGAGCACCAGTGAAGGGTGATAGATGAGAATGAAAACAGGCCAGTTAGCCTATCATGATGAATTCATCAGGAATTAACCATGATACTTTCCAGAGGGTACCGCGAGGAGGTCGACCTGGTTGGGTATATTGCTACCAATGGGATTCTCAGTCTCCATTACTAACAATCCCTTTCTCCCCTACCTACTCTGTTATATCCATGGTGCTGGTCATGCCTACAGACGACGGTTACTTTCCATTAAGTAAGTTATTGAAATGAAAAACTAATTGCTTCTTGTTACCATAATCTACATATAGAATGACAGACATTATTCTTAATCTATGTTGTAGACACACAGATATTTGAATTTAAAATAGAAATTTTAAATTCAAATATCTTCAATCTAATGTTTGTATTGATTGATCCTTGTCTATTCTATAAAAAAAAAATTACTTAACTTATTAAATAAAAAAAAAAATAGTAATATCACTGTTCTTATTGTAAAAATCCGTTTTACAATAAGAATTAGGTATATTCTAGTTAATATAACTTTGTAGCCGTGTGGTCCAAGCATAGAATGGGCCGCGCCATCCTTTGCCAAATCGTGACTCCAAATTCAAATTATCTTTACTGAAATAGACTTGTTTACAAGTACTTTTAAATTGTATTTTTTTTTAATCTACTGCAGGATTCGGAAGGTTGTCATCTGTTGATAAGAGCCCGCGAGAAACTCAACAGTTACTCTTTTAAATCTCTGTTAACATTATGTGTATTTATTTAAATGTACTATATCTAATATTACATGGTCGTTGGCAGCCCGCGCATGATCCACTAACACCGTGCACGCTTGTCATTCAAGTAATCGTTTAGTGTGCAATAGGCTTTGTTCAATAAGTGTTTTTAATAACAGTTTTAAACTTATTAAAAGGCAGATCCAAAATATCCTTCGGTATCTTATTATAACATTTAATGTCCATGTCCTATAAAAGACCTATTAACTTTTTCTAAAATTATTAAGATCGTTGTTTTTAAGAAACAGTTAGAGTCCTGCGTATATACAAAATGTTTGCGTATACGTACTGTGAAGTTACGGTAAAATATTTGCTTCTTTCAATTTCTCTCTTAATAATTCACGATTTTCCATAGAAAAAATTGCGTGAACAGCACGTTTTGTAATACAAATATGCTGGGGAGAAAGGGATTGTTAGCAATGGAGTTCGACATTGCTAGCAATATGCCCTATCTACTTCTAGTTTAATTTGTCAGGATGTGCTAACTGGCCTGTTTTCATTCTCATCTATCATCCTTCACTGGTGTCCCGCCAGTGTATACCAATAGCGTAAACGGGATTACCATACCATTATCACCCATTAAAAAAAAAATACGTCAAGATACATTGTATATGTAAGTATGATACACTGAAACACTGATAAATAAAAAAAGAGCTAATTTGACAATTAGCTGACAAAAAGACTGACCCGTTTTTGAGGCTCGATGCTCTATCTATGTAATCTAAAACATTATGATAATTTTGTAATAATTGGCATTGATTTTTTTTTTTTTTAATAAAATTTACATGAAATTACATAATCGTCTATTTACAGTTGCACAATACACCTACGGAATACGAGATAAAAAAATTCACACTTCTGAAGTCAATCCGTGAAATACTCCACTGCGTTTGTCAGCAGACGGATGGCGGCCATTTTGCGAGGATTTATTGCGGTCATAAAATGGCCGTGTCATGGTGTTAGTGTCATATCGTTTATTACAACTATTACATTTTATTCAAAGAAATAAAGATTGGTCGAATTTTTTACACGACACCACAAAAAGAAGTTTGAAAATTTTTTAAGGTTCATATTACATATGCGAGGTTTTTTTTTTATAATAAAAATATAAATATATATATATATATATATATATATATATATATATATATATATATATATATATATATATATATATATATATATATATATATAATTAACTTATATATATACTTACAGCCTCACATGTATAAATATAAAATATATATCCTGTTGTTTTTTTATACAACTTAGAATGGCAAACAAGTTGACGGCCCACCTGATGGAAAGTGGTAACCGTCGCCTATAGACACGAGCAGTACTATGGACATAACAGAGTATACTGTTTCGCCCATGATACCCCCCATACGTTGCCATTCCTGAGGACTCAGGTAATAAAACTTAATTTTATTATTGTAATTTATTATTTATAAATCTTTCTAATTGTTTATAAAAAATGAAGTTAAAATGGAGGTCCTTAGTCATCTCTTACGACATCTATGGGAAAGGAAGAGAAATACAGGAAACATTCTTATATTTAATTCAATGGCGTGTAATTTAACAAATTGAACTTATTTATATTTTTTAATAATCTATTTTTTTTTTTTTGTTATTTATTTACACTTTATTGCACCAAGTAAAAAAAGAAATAACAAATACAGTAAATATTAGTGAGAAGTGATACAAAAGGCGGCCTTATCGCTAAGCAATCTCTTCCGGACAACCTTTGGCTAGAGGACATTGAGAAGATAAAGGGTAGGTGGCGCACTATTATATAAATATTATCATATACAAACATATATACATACATACATACACATACATATATAATGTATACACAATTAAATATATACATAACATACACATACTTAACAGCACACATACAACAGAAAAAAAATGACGAAGGGAAATGAAGAGAGAACACAGGAAAATAGTACTAAAGTGAGAGGTAGTAGGATTTTGTAAAAAAACTTGGCTTTGGTAAAAAAGGTATATCCGGCTCGAAGGACCGATGTGTTTAGGACTTTACTAATAAAGGATGACGATTTAATGGTAAAACATTGGACTACAAAGCTGTTATAATTCTCTTTGCAGTTATTCTAATTCGACTAAGACAATATAAAATAAAAATACGCGTAAGGTGCCGTCGATGGCGTGACACGAAGTGTCGAGCAGAGCCGACCTAAGCCGAGACCGTCCGACGGCTCTTAGTGTTGCCGTTCGATGAAGCTCGAACAGAAACTTGGATTTGGTAATTAGTAATTTAAAAATATCACACGTGTGGGGAGAAAAGGGATTCTTAGTAATGGAGACTGTGAATCCCATTGCTAGCAATATACCCAACCAGGTCGACCTCCTCGCGGTCCCCCCTGGAAACTATCATGATTAATTCCTGATGAATTCATCATGACGGGCTAACTGGCCTGTTTTCATTCTCATCTATCACCCTTCACTGGTGCCCCGCCAGCGTATCCCGTTAGCGCAGACAGGGTTACCACATTTTCATCCAATAAAAAAAAAATATCACGTATTTATGCAAGTATATTTATGTGATCATAATGTACTGTAATTCTTTATTGTACGTGTCATATAATTTATAAGTCAATATGGAGACGTCCGCACTTGTTTTTCATCAACAATTTTTAATTTTCCACCGCATAATTACATTTCTGTTTCGCCAAAGGTCGACTACGAGAGAATACTGTATAGCATTAAGTCCGCCTTTTGTTCCAGACATTTTTGTTATGTGGTCAGTAAAGAATAAACAAAATAAACAAAAATTGTTCGGTTGCAAAATGTATTTAAAATGATAAAAAATATACAAAATTCTATACAGGCGGGAATCAAAATTATTAATGTCCCAATAGGTGTCGTTTACACATCCCTCGCCTCATATCTTTTTGGGGGGCTCGAACTTCGAAGCTTCTTTGTCATATTTCGACCTACGTTTCTTAAATAAATTTATTTATTTTCACAGTTAAAACACCCTCTAAAATGATGCAAATGATTTTGACATCACACTTATGTACTTTACAACGTAAACCACTTTGTCTCGTTTCAAACAGTCCAAACGTTTGATATGCACTTACCCTCACAAACCCTATTTTAGCTATTGATCTGTTTTGTCTCTTTCTTTTAGATGTTTATTGTTATTGTTGTTATGTAAAGACATGGACGGATTGTGTGAAAGACGATATGGCCAGAATGGGAGTGAATGCGGAAATGACTGGGAATAGAGAAGAATGAAAGAGGAAAACGTATTACGCCGACCCCAAATAATAATCGGGATAAGGGTAAGAAGATAATGTCTCTTTCTTTTACACAAAATTCCCAATTTGAAAGAACGTGACAAAACAGTCAATTAGTTAAAAAAGGTTTTAGTTTTTATGAAGAAAGAGATTAGATAATACAGATAGAGCATCGAATGTATTAACATTCTCTCAATCTTCTTCAATCTGTCAATATTTTTATAGATCGTTATTGTTTCCTCCAGAAGATCACAATAGTAAACTTATTCGTACTTAATTTCTCCCACATAGTAAGTAATAAATGTACATGGCAACCCTATTCACGCACACATGAATAAAAAAGTTGAGCTGTTTTAGACAAAGCATTTGTATTGTCACACTCTATCTATATAATCACAGGATATATATTAATTAGCCTCAGGTATTCGGTAACTAACTGGCTTCCTTAAGCTCCTGGTATTTGAACTCTTCTCCAATTTTCCCGGACTGGTGGCCCGTTTTAAGGACTTCTTACTGTCCACTTTCGATCTACTAGCTCTAACTGTTTTGGGCAAATCTAGCTTCTCTTTCTCGGGCGATATCGTCGATTTTGGCTTGTCAGTTTTATCAGTTTTCGGGGTTGAGAATTCGGTTTCTAGCTTCTTCACTATGTTGTGTCTTAAGGTTTGTTTGGAGTAAGTTTTTACGGACGTCATGGGTGTGAAGAATTGGTCAGGCGTCGAATCCGGAGTGAAGAATTCAGTGTTAGACTTGTCCGGTGCGGGAGTGTTCGTCTCTTCGCTTGGCTGTGTGACTACTACAGTTGGCTTGGAGCGTGTATTTCTCGGCGTTATAGACTCGAGTACGTGCCTGGTCCTGATCACGGGTACTGGTATTTTGAACTGTTCCTTCTTATTACTGTTTTTGGTCGTAACTTGCTCCTTTTCATCAGTCTCGTCCAGGTTTAGCTTAATGACTTTCCGCTTCTTAAGTATCTCCTCGTCTTTGACCACAATTCTGGTCATTTTCGGAGGTTTCTTCGGTTTGGTCTCGGGCGTTTTTGGAGGTTCAACCTCGTTAGACGGAGACAATTTCAAACTTTCCAATTCCGCTTCTAGACCGGTTTCAACCGGTTTTTTCGTTACCTTCCGCAGCTGTGCGGACGCTATCATCAAGTTCATGACGTCATTGCGCAGGAAACCATCAAACTTGTCCACCTCCTGCATCACCTCATGTATTCTTACCACATACTCATCGGCTTTCTCGTAATTTTTCAACGACAACTCAAAATACGCCGCCTCTATCAGATTCCGCACTTGGAATCTGTTAAATTCCTCCATCAAATTACTCTCCACTATGTCCACTATAAATTTCTCGTATTTACATCTATAACTTTGTAAGAGTTCATTCAATTTCGTTTCGGCCAATTTGAAACAGTTTAACGCCCCGTCGAAGTAATTCCTGGCTATGTCCGTTTCGTTCGCTCTGAAGTACATGGATGCTTCGAGAGCGGCGGTGCAGGATGCTATAATGTAGCTGTAAGGGTGTTGGCAGGCAAAGCAACGGCACGCGACATGTTTTAAGAAGTCCGGCGTGTTGAAGCTCGGCACAGATATGCACGGGAGGGTTGGACTAGTTTGTGTCTTTTTAAATGTCATATTCTCCAACATGGTTTCGATGTTTTGCTTCGGGGTGAAGTGCAGTTGTTTTTGGGGTTGTATTTGGGGCGGTTGGACGCTCGAGGGTTGGAGGCCTAGTATAATTTTTAGGCGGTTGTCGATTATTACCTGAAAAGAGGTTTTTACTATTAAAATTCTTTATTTTGCTAAGACATACATTAATAATAACAAAAACAATGCAAGAAAAGGCGAACTTATCTCTAAAAGAGATCTCTTCCAGTCAACCTGACACAGTGGCGTAGGAAGTAGCGAGTGGGCAGCAGTAGTTCAAATCAGAGATTAAAACAACAATAATACATAATTACATGTATATACACTGGAAGGTACAAGTAGTTGGCCAAAACGAAAACAGCTAAACAAAAGAATGGTCTGAATCAAATGGTAGATTGTTTCCCAGGGTCGTGGCGTTTCTATTTTAGTTTTGGCCAATTTATGGCAATTATTTTTGGCCTTACACCTTATATAAGGTGTAAGGCATATTGCTAGCAATGTTGAACTCCATTCCTAACAATCCCCCCCCCTGTGTATGTATGTTTGTAATGAATAAATTCAAAAACTACTTTGCCGATTTCAAAAATTCTTTCACCATTAGAAAGCTACATTCATCCTGAGTAAGATAGGCTATATTTATTGCTAGAAAAGATTAGGGATCCTTACTAAAACTTTAGTAACGTAACTGAAGGTGTAAAAAAATTCTATAAAATATCTTTGGTCGCGTGCGCTGCGGAAACTATTGGTGATAGAACAAAAGTATGTTCTACAATATTGAAGAAAATATCGATAACTACAAAAAACTCCGCGACACTATATGTCCAACTATTATCGTTATGTCACAATGATCACTTTTTAAAATGTTGTAAAAATGTCCACCCGTGCGAAGCCGGGACGGGCCGCTAGTGTGGTATAAAAACAAGCTAGTACCTGCGTATCAAGCGCACGATGTGTGTCGGCGCGTGCCGCATGCAGTAAGCCGCGGAGGGCAGCGCCGGCGGACGGCAGAACGGCGGCGGCGGCGGCGCCGGGCCGGCCTCGCGCCGCCGCCGCGCCGACCGCGCCGACGCTAGCCACGCCGCACTGGTAGCGGCAGATCAAACCGTTCAGTCGCCGCGCCGACCACGTGCCACCTGTGCCATGTAATTGTGGATACAGTACTTTTTTTTTACAACACAGGAGGCAAACGAGCATGCGGCTCACCTGATGGTAAGTGACTACCGCCGCCCATGATCACCCACAACACCTACGGCATTGCAGGTGTGCTGCCGGCCTTTTGTAGTCACTTACCATCAGGTGAGCCGCATGCTCGTTTGCTCCGTGTTGTAAAAAAAATAGCGTACCAGCCGGGGCGCGTCGCTAGTCTCATAGGACTGTGTAAGGCACTTACCAGCGCTGTTGAAGGCCAGGTAGTGCCGCTGGACGGCGGTGGTGGTGCTGAGCGGGGCGGAGATGCCCATCTTGCACTGCGCCTCCAGTAACCGTCCAACTGACAGGTCCACTGTTGGGAAACCACTTGTTTTTCAATCGACTTCAAAAAGAACTTCAAACAGACGTTTTTTCATAAATCCTTCTTTATAGTATCATTTATTATTCATTAAAAATTAGTGTCCGACCGAACTTTCGGTTTCGGTTTCGGTTTCAGCTAGTTTCGGCCAGAAATTCTAATTTCGGCATTAGTTTCGGTTTCGGCCGCGCCGAAACTTTGTGTGTGCGTGCGTGCGTGCGTGCGTGCGTGCGTGTGTGTGTGTGTGTGTTTGTGTTGTGTGTGTGTCCAACTGGAGATTGTTTTTTTTTTTTTAGTTTACTTCCAAGAGTAAGTCATAATTTAAACATGTTTTTACATATAAATATATATGACATATTTATTACATACTTAAGTTAGTATTTATTATTAGATAGATAGATAATTTATTTGCATTACTTACAGCACACAAATTACAATACAAACATACACATGACACACAGTAAAAGAGATAAAAGAATAAAAATAAAAAAACACAAAACAAAAAAAAACAAAATATATAAACTAACAATCTCCTTTCTTTCCCTTCCTTCATGCATGTACCATAGTAACACAAAATGGTCACATCTCAGTTTATTGCTTTGCCCTTAAAAGAGCAAAACGCTGATATTCTGCTGTGGCCAAGAGTCAGTCGCGGAACTCCTCATTAAAAATAACAATAAAAGGATCCTTTAGCTATCTGTGTGTTTGTGTAAACAATTGTGTACTATATACTATATATACCGAAATCTAGTGTATTTTACACTAGATTCCAGTATAGAAGAGAAATTTTAAACATGTTTCGGTAAGTTTCGGTTTCGGTTAAGGCCGAAACTGAGACCAAGGCCGAAAGTTCGGTTTCGGTTCCGGCTGTAAAACCTGTTTCGGTCGGACACTATTAAAAATACTACAGAAATCTAAATTATATTAATATTATAAAAATAAAAGATTCAGTATGATGAAATTATAGAAAAACAAAAGCCGGTCAAGTGCGAGTCGGTCTCGCGCAACGAGGGTTCCGTGCAAAATCATCAAGTTAATTTTTTTTTTGTGAAATACCTACAAATTTACGGTTTTCCGATTTTCTCCTTTACTTGTGCCACATGACATTGCTTCTTGTCAAATTCCATGATTCTAAGTCAATACATAAATATAAATATGCGATATAAATGGAACATAAACGGCCGTATCTTTCGATTGCGTCGATTTAGAAGCTCGATTTGTTCACTGCTTTAAGAGATTGCAGACCTGAGTATGTGATATTAATTTCAACTTGATAGCTCCACGCGTTCCTAAGAAAAAGGGTGTTGACGGACAGACGGACAACGAAGTGATCGAATAAGGGTTCCGTTTTTTTCATTTGGACGTACGGAACCCTAAAAAAGAAAAAAAGAACGCTTTATTACACAACGAACTGTATTTATAAAACAAAAAGGACGCTTACGATTGATGTCTCCGTACCGCTCGTACGCACTCAAAACCTGCGCCTGCGCATATTGCACCAACTTGGCCGCCGTGCCCAGCCTGCCGCATCTCGTGTAATATATCTACAAACAGGGTACAGAGGAATAACACCCGAGTCCTCAGGAATGGCAACGCATGGGGGGTATCATGGGCGAAACAGTATACTCTGTTATGTCCATGGTACTGCTCATGTCTATAGGCGACGGTTACCACTTTCCATCAGGTGGGCCGTCAGCTTGTTTGCCATTCTAAGTTGCATAAGAAAATATGAAGAAAAATAACTTTAATGTAAAGGTATATTGGAATCATTTTTCAGTACTAAGCCTTTCATTTGGACCGGATAAAATCACTTCCTTACATATTTTGTTTTTAAAATCACTTATTATAAAGGTTCGTGTGGCGTCCCTCCCTGGTGCCCCGTCGGTGTATACCGATACCACAGGCGGGGTTACCATTCCATTATCACCCATTAAAAATACCAGTAAACAGAGGGGGGGTAAGTGATTGGTAGTAATGGGGTTTGACTACACCATCGTTAGCATTTTACCTTATTAGGTCAACCTCTACGCGGTTCCCCCTGGACACCATACTGGTTAATTATCGATGAATACGTCATGATGGGCCAACTGACCTGCTTCATCCTCGCCTATCATCCCAGGAGGAAAGGGATTGTTAGTAATGGAGACTGAGAATCCCATTGCTAGCAATATATACCCAACCAGGCCGACCTCCTCGTGGTTCCCCCTGGAAACTATCATGGTTAATTCCTGTTGAATTCATCATGATGGGCTAACTGGCCTGTTTTCATTCTCATCTATCACCCTTCACTGGTGCTCCGCCAGCGTATCCCGTTAGCGCAGGCGGGGTTACCATACCATTTTCACCAAAAAAAAAAAAACCTATCATCCCTTACTGGTGCCCTGTCATTGTATACCGATGGCACAGGCTGGTTCCCCCTGGAAACCACTCCTGGTTAATTCTGGTTAAATTCGTCATGATGTGCCAACTGACCTGCTTCATCCTCACCTATCATCTCTCACTGGTGCCCCGCCAGTGTATACCGATAGCACAGGCGGGGTTACCATTCCATTATCATAAAATAACCTTTTTTGGAAAAATATACTTACCGCTGCGTCACAGATGAATATAAGCGATGTATCCAAGGTCTCCTTCACCTTGACGAGGTCGGCACAGTATTTGGTAGCAGTGGCTAGGAGCTGTGCTATGTAGCTGTTCGGCTTGGCAGCGTGGTAAAGGATGATGCCCGCATTCCGAAGGTACGCTGACCTGTGGGTTCAGAATTCAGAATTGTAAGGGGGTTTATTTATATATTTATTTATTCATTAGTACAAATATGTGTACATGGTGGACTTAATGCTAAAAGCTTTCTCTCCCAGTCAACCATAGACAAGTGTCAGAATACTCGAATGCGGTACTAGTAATTATTGATATATATACATACTAAAATTACATATATAAACGAATAAATATATATGAATAACAAATATACTTACACATATATGACATATACTATATTATATACGAAATTGAGAATTATATAAAGCACTTACTGCTCGGATAAAGTAAAAAAAAGTAAGCGTGAACTTTTTTTAAAGACGGTTTAGTCGGTAGTCTCTTGATGGCATCAGGAAGCGCGTATATATATATACATACATATCTGTCACGCCTGTCTCCCATTAGGGTAGGCAGAAACAATGGAACGCCAAATGCTTCGATTCAAACAGACCTCTTTCGCTTCTTCCACATTCATCAATCTTTTCATACACGCTCGCCGGTTACGGGTACTTTTAATTTGTCCCTTCTTCAGCACGTCGCCTTTTTGGTCGACATACGTCCGTCTAGGGCGGCCCCTACCAACATCTTCATTCATTCTTGCTCGATAAATCTCTTTCGTAATTCTTCTTTCATCCATCCTCTCCAAATGACCAAACCAACGCAACATTCCTTTTTCGATTTTTGTCACTACATCGTCTTTCAGTCCACACTTCTCTCTTATCACACCGTTTCTTATTTATATATATATGACGAGATGGAAGGGACAAGTTGGCCAAAATGAAGACAGCTTCACGTTTACGTTACCATTCCATTTTCACCCATCAAAAAATATATCACAGATTACATGATTTTAAATGAAAAAAAAAAAAAAAATTGATATTATTGACCTGTCGGCCAGTGTGTCCGCCAGGGCGCAGCACAGTAGCGCCAGCTGCAGCGCGGGCGCCGGCTGCCGCGACTGCAGCAGCTGCATCGTGCACACTTGCGCCACCGCCAGCACCGGTCGCGCCGTCTCCCCTGCAGACATATATATATATATATATATATATATATATATATATATATATATTACTATTCAACCAATTTCAAAAATGATAAAACTCTATTTTTTTTTAAAACTACGCAACAGATTTTGAAGCTGGTTTTTTTAATAGATAGAGTAATTCAAGAGGAAGGTTTATATGTATAATACATGCATAATATTGTAGAGAAACGCTGATAAATTTAGAGGTTTCTAATGTGATGTCGTGAATAAACACATTTTTTTTGCGTTTACATTGCAAACGCTGGCTGAACCCTACGAGATAAATCAAAATAATGTACTACAGTATTGTGCACCTTAAAAAGGTCAACAAAAAAGTCCGCGATGGTATACGTCTATCTCTTAAAGATAAAGCCACAATAACCATTTTTTATCTTTTACATTTTACGAGAAAAAAAAATGGCTTATTTACGAAGCGATTTTAAGTAATACAGCATTAATTTTTATCCAATTAAGTACCTTAAATACATTGTGCATTTAATATAGATCAATATGGCCCTTTACAGCATGTAATTTAAATGAACATTTCTGAAGATATTACAAATTTGAAATGCAGGGACATAGCGGTGTGACGGTACTGGCCCGGCCGGCGGCGCGTGCGTATATAATAGCACGTCGAAGGCCGCAAATCGCCCTATAGCACTTTATCATGTTTGTATTGTCTAATGACAAAAAAAGCTGTGAACGTTATTTATTAGGACATTCTGTAGTAGGTAGGTATATTTAGTATCAGCACTGCACCCGTGCGAAGCCGGGCCGGGTCGCTAGTTATATTATAAACTAATTTAAAAATATATACATACAGCTACTTATATCTGAGAATGTATGAACACCCATCCACATCTCGACGGATTGTATGGCTCTCTGCAGGGCTTCGTGTTCTTGAGACAGGGTCCGAACCGACTGGAGTTGATCAGGATCCATGCTCTGTAATTTAAGATAAAAAAATATCTTTTTCTCAAACATGCTTGGAAATGTGAGCATTATTTTGACAATCTCCTTCGAGATAAATCAAAATTGCCGTACTGGCCAGATACATGCGGGCAGCGGCCGGCAAAAGTTGTATGAAAATCCATATCTGTCGTGTTTTGCGGCCAGATAAATTACTATGTAAACTCATATCTGTCCTGTAATTTAAAAATGGTATGACCTTTTACTTCGAAACATGGCTACCAAGGAGGTAACTAATAAAAGGTTTTATTTCCCTCTAGCCCGTTCCCAATAAATAGTAGAACAAATAATATTAGTAAAGACCGAGACAAGAAGTGTGTCGGCCCTCCAGGAGGGAAAGAGAGAGAAGAAAAGAAGGGGGGAAAAAAGGGTGTATATTTTTTTGTTTTTGGTGCAACAGAGTAAAACTGATCCGGTAGATGGCGGTAGGGGTATATGACAACGTTTTTCGGGTCAGCTATTTATTACATATAGGGACATATATACTTACAGGCTCGGCGTCCTTCCATCCGTACTTCTGGCTCGCCTCGGCCAGATCATACTCCGCTTTCAAATACAGTATGGTAGCGTGGGCCATCTTTAATTTAGTCGACGATCCCTGCAACATTTATACAACTTAGAATGGCAAACAAGCTGACGGCCCGCCTGATGGAAAGTGGTAACAGTCGCCTATAAACATGAGCAGTACCATGGACATAACAGAGTATACTGTTTCGCCCATGATACCCCCCATGCGTTGCCATTCCTGAGGACTCAGATGTTATTCCTCTGTACCCAGTAAATTCTCTGCCATATCCCACCCTTCAAACCGAAACACAGCCATGCAAACACAACTGCTTCACGGTTGAACCACGAATGGGACAGAGGTACTCAAGAGCTCCCTGCCGAGGTTTTCCCAAGAGACTACAGCATGGGGTTCTTCAAAAGGGGAGTAAAGAGTTTTCTTCAGGGTCGGCAACGCGCGCGTAATACCTCTGGTAATGCAGGTGTTCATAGGCTACGGTAACCACTCACCATCAGGTGGGCCGTACGCTTGTTTGCCACCTCAGTGGTATAAAAAAAAATCGACTTTTGTACAAAGTCTCCCTCTGGTAAAATTAATTGGACAAAACCGCTTATTTTTACTTAAAAACTAAACTACTTAGTTGATTTTAATAAAATTTCTTTAAGACCAACCTGTAAGTATATACTTTCCGATACAAAGAAGGAGTGTCCACTGAATCGGCCATTCTGTGTCTCAAGCGTGCGGTCAGATACTACACAGACAGATCTTCCAGTCTATGCATATTGGATTTAAGGAAAAAGTTATGGTATTTTATGATCCCTTATGGAGTTAACTTAATAAAACTACTAATTGTTAATAATTTTTCAAATCGGTTTACAACTGACGGAGTTAGGAGGTAACAAACAGGGAATAGGGAGAAGGGATTGTTAGTAATGATATTTAAAAACCTTATTGCTAACAACACACCCTATCGGGTCGACCTCCACGCGGTTCCCCCCGGAAACCATAGTGGTTAATTCTTATTCAATTAATCACTATAAGCCAACTGACCTGCCACCATCCTCACCTGTCACCCTTCACTGGTGCCCCGTCAGCGTACAGCTATAGCGCGGGCAGGATTACCATTCCACCTTCACCCATAAAAAAAAAACAGGGAAGAACATACAACCGATTTGAGAACCTTCCTGTTTTTAAAGTTTTTTTTTTCTTTTATACCACTGAGGTGGCAAACAAGCATACGGCCCACCTGATGTTTTTTTTTTTACAACACAGGGGGCAAACGAGCATGCGGCTCACCTGATGGCAAGTGACTACCGCCGCCCATAGTCACCCACAACACCTACGGCATTGCAGGTGTGCTGCCGGTATGCGGTTACCGTAGCCTAGTTGGTTGAAAACTCACCGGAGTCCGATCCATCCTGTCCAGAACATCTGTGACAATGTCCCTGTAGTACTGAGAATGTATTAACCTAACAACTGTTGGTGTTTCCATCATTACTTCGTACAGCGTCCATTGTAATACTTCCGTGTCCTCGCCTGGAATCAAACTTAACATGGTATACTGTCGGGGGAAAGGGATTGTTAGCAATGGAGATTGACATTCCCATTGCTAGCAATATACCCTGTCAGGTCGACCTCCACGTGGTTCTCCCTGGAAACCATCGTGAACAATTCTTGTTGAATTTGTCACGATGGGCTAACTGACCTGCTTCATCCGCACTTATCATCCTTCACTGGTGCCCCGCCGGTGTATACCGATAGCGCGGGTGGGGTTACCATTCCAATATCACACATTAAAAAAAAACATGGTATACTGCGTGGAAAGGGATTATTAGGGGATTATAATGGGATCTAACTAACCCATTGCTAGCAATACAGTCAACCTCCACGCGGTTCCCCCTGGAAACTATCATGGTTAATTCCTGATGAATTCATCATGACGGGCTAACTGGTCTGTTTTCATTCTCATCTATCACCCTTCACTGGTGCTCCGCCAGCGTATCCCGTTAGCACAGGCGGGGTTACAATTCCATTACCATAAACCCAAACAAAAATATCATGATGGTTTCCAGGAGGAACCGCGTGGAGGTCGACCTGATAGGGTATTACTAACAATGGGGCTTCTAGTCCCCATTATTGACAATCCCTTCTCCCCCCCCCCCCAACCTGTAGTGGACAACTTACTTGTCTTATTTTCAAATATACTTGCAGAGCCTACATTCCGGAATGGCAAAATCTTTAATTACTATATTTTTGTATCAATAATTCCCTTTATGAAAATAGACTAACTAAGATATTATGTATTATGTATTTATGTATCAATGTTTTAAGTATGTGACGTATTTTCCAAAATTAGGGTATGACGAGGCTGACATATCCTTATAGGATATGTCAGCCTTTAAATAAAAAAGTAAAAAAAAAAACTTACTTGTCAGCCAAGCCGGATGCTGCCCCTTTGCCAAGTCATTCAGTGACCTCCAAACACCAGCTATTGGTACCACAGACGGCCAGAGCTTCGCGTACATTGAGAATTCATGTCTCAACAGTGTACTGAAATTAAAAATTAAAAATAATTAATATATTTATTAGTGCCCCTGTAAATAGATAAAATATAGTATTTTTTTTTATACAACATAGAATGGCAAACAAGCTGACAGCCCACCTGAAGGAAAGTGGTAACCGTCGCCTATAGACATGAGCAGTACCATGGACATAACAGAGTATACTGTTTCGCCCATGATACCCCCCATGCGTTGTCATTCCTGAGGACTCAGGTGTTATTCCTCTGTACCCTGTAAATTCACGCCATATCCCACCCTTCAAACCGAAACACAGCCATGCAAACACAACTGCTTCACGGTAGAAACACGACATGGAGTGAGCAAACAATTTTTATATGTACTGTATACTATGCCTTACTAATGACATTTGTAAATTAATTGTAATTTTTGACAATTATTATTGGTTATTTTGTTGCTTCATATTTTTTCTGTTTTATTGTAAAGTTGTTTTATAAAATTTTCTTGTTACTTATAAAAAATATTTAACACAATGTAGTGTTGTTTGCAAATAAATAAATTGAATTGAATTGGTAACATAGTTTGGTATTAATATTTTATTGCATATATACTTATATAAGCAATTAAATAAACAAAACTTATCAAAATAAAGAAGAATATGAAAAAAAAATTATAAAAACAAAAAAAAAAATGAATAAAAACTTAAAAAAAAATGTTAATAAAAAATAAAACAAAAAAATAATTATAAAAACATTAAAAAAAAATCTCTTTTCATTTAAGAGTTTCCTCTTGTCGGTGCAATTAATTAAAAAAAAAATATTAAAAAAACAAAAAAAATATTAAAAAACAAAAAAAATATTAAAAAACAAAAAAAAATATTAAGAAAACAAAAAAATATTGAAAAAACAAAAAATAAACATTAATAGAAACATAAAAAAAATTATAAAATATATTAAAATTTCACATAAAACTTACCTAAACTGTAATGGCGCCAAAAATGGCTTCAAATTCCCATACACACTGTTGTCAACACACATTTTACAAGCCTCCAACACAGACATCAGCTGCAGCGTATCCTGGTCGTCATCATCCTCGTCAGCATTCTTCAACGCTTTAGCCTTTATATCCATCGCTAAGCTCAGATACTTATCTGAGCTCACCCCATCGGGTTGTGCAAAAACCAAGCTCAAAAATGTATCTTTTAGTGCTTCTTCATACATTTTACAATCCAATTCGCATATACTTTTATTATACAATGCCCTACTTATATTTTTAAGCTCAATTTCATTTTTAAAACAGCTAATTTCGTGCTTAAGGTATGTATTAAATAATTTTATTGAATATTCATAGTACTGCGCTTTGTTTAACACGATTGCTGTGTTGTGCACGTCGGTTTGCAGTTTACGAAAACATTTATGATGGTTAGAACAATTTAAGGAGCATAATTCGCTCAACATATTATGTTGTTCCACTATTACCTGGTAATATGTTGGTAAGATGTTGTTTATATTTATTCCCTGATCCACAGACATGGTGACAAAGTGTTTGGTCAGAAACGAGAGGCGTAAAGCATCGTGCACTCCGGATTGGACTTTACAATTCTCGCATTTCACCGATTGAATGGTCTTTCTAGACTTCTCCATTAATAACAGTGTGAAATTTAAACAATATATTTGTGATTGTTCCGTGAAATGGTCTGTCCATTTCTTTTTATTATTTACTAAATATTCAATGTGCAATCTTAGCAGTTGGTTTAAGAATGGATACGTAGCGTACATAGCTTTCCCATAACCCAATTTCTCTGTGCTCTCACATGAAAGTAATAAACTATTAAATATTGTCTCTATGTATGTTGGATTCTTTGTATAATGGAATATATTACAAAAGGAATTCAAATAGAACGTTTGCAAACAGTGGAATATGTCGGGACGATGTCCCAGGAACATAATACATGTACGCACAACATTACCCAGTACGGACTCTTCAAAATTCATTCTGGACAAGTTATCCACAATTGTGTACAGACATTCGTTCAGTTTTATATACAAATCCATCACTTCTCTATCCGTTAGCTTCTTGAACGATTTCAAATCATTCTTCTTTGCGAATCTATCAAATATCTGTCCGTATACTCCGTTCAGGTCCTTCGGACAGTCGTCACTGTATAACGAATGTAGTTTCTTCACTAAAAATACCAATATATTGATGCAATACTGTGCTGTATCATATATTTGGATAACTTTCATTATATCTTCAGTCAATTTTGGGAGTAACTTTACAATGGGTGCTTTCTTTGACTTGAGATATTCTATATATGTTAGTCTATCAGCTACAATGCTCCAATAAGTCTTGAAGTATTCATTCAGCAATGTCTCCGAGTCACATTCGAACGGCATCATTGAAATTTTCAACACCAACTGTGGTGGTACCTGCGATTTCTGTAAGTAAACAAATTTACAATCATTATCCAAAGAAATTAAATTATTTACTTTTTTTTTATTGTAAATTGGATTCCTATTTCTGCACTCTCATTTAGGCAACAGCCTCTCAACAGAGCGTGTTCCATATTTATTGGCTTTTCCTAATATTGCCCTAGTGATAAGACCGCCTTTTATATGTATATTTCGATCTGTACTCCATGCTACTGTATTTCACTTGAATTGTTTATATGTCATTGTTTTTTTTTTATGTTTTGGTGCAATAAAGAGTTAAATAAATAAATAAATACCTTCCTAATAACATGTCTGTGTATATGGTATATGCAAGCTAACGTCTTCACATGTCCCGGGCGGTCCAAAACACGCGTCTCCCTGACGCAGTCAATACTTAATGTGAGTAACAACTTGTCGTCTATCTTGTCTCTCCATGATGGAACTTTATCCAAGTTCCTGCAATTTGAGAGATGATCATTAAACTATTATTCATATGAAAGTGTCTGGTGTTAGAGCAGAAAGGGATTCTTAGTAATGAGGTCAAACAACCCCAACTGCTAGTAATATAAGGTTAAATTTTGCATGGTTCCCCCTGGAAACCATCAGAGTAATTCCTGATGAATTTGTCACGAGGGTCAAATGGCTTACATCCTCACCTATAGCCCCTTACTGCCCCGCCAGCTTATACCGACAGCGCAGGCAGGGTCACTATTTTATTTTCAGCCATTAAACAAAAAAAAAAGCACTAGAAATTTACTTCAATGGTTTATAGGGGGAAATGTTAATCTATAATAATTCGTAAATATGTAATAAAATATATTCAAAAGATAAATTAGTTAAACATATACTATATTTGAAATAAAGAACAGATTGCTTTTTATTTCGGCCAATTAATTAATCCCAGTCCCGCAGTTAAAGTCACGACTTTAAACTTGTAAATAATAATATTACCTGCATAAAATACACAGAACATTCAGAGAAAATGGACCACGATCATTGGCGCTCAGCTTTTCCAAAATTGCTTTGTAATCAACAAAAACTTTGTCAAGATCGCACAAATCTTTCTCTGTCCCGTCCGCTTTGAGTTTCGTAATAAAATCGTTAGCTTCCATTATTATTCTATCAAAATATAGTACCGTCAGATAATTTGAAAAGCATTGCTTTAAGAAGTTTTAATTCATTAAACAATTGTTTTTATTTTTGCTAAGAAAAGTAATATAGCAACGGCCGTTATGATGAAATTCGAATTTGAATTATCTATGATAAGAATGAGGGATGTTTATGATTGTAGTGTCAATGTCAAAAACACAGGAAGGTTTGATGTTTAGTAACTGGATAAACCACAGGTAATATCCTTAGTCTATGTCCGGAAGTGAAATTCCTCTGTAGTTTTTTATTTAATATTAAATTATATTGTAGGAATGAAATGAAAAATGTGTATAAGTTTTCATAGTGAATAGGTTTTCGTCAATACATTTGTTATATTATTTTTAGATAAGAAGTAATGTAAATTATATAATTTGCGGTTGAATGGCAGAATAAGCTTTGCTTATTTTCTTACATATGTAACAATCAATTCTTTTATTATTTGTGCGTGCACGCAGATAACACGTATTACGATATATTAAGTTTATGGTGATAACAGTGAACAATAATACAAAAGTAATATATAAAACACTTTCATGCATAGATTTAGAAGAGTATTTATCTCGTCTAAATGTTTAAAAAAAAAGAATCTGTCAGCTGTCAAAATTTGTCAAAAATCGCGCCATTCGTCTTTTTTGTTATCAGAAAATGGTCATCTTTTATCATTCGGCACTTTTTTTAACAGTATTTATATGGGAAGTACGCTAATTTATCAGGAAATTTTAACATAAAACATTACTTGAGAATAGTTTACACGTGTCAGATTTAAGGTTTTGCAGCCATTGTGGATGTTGACAACAAATTTTGTGAGTAAACCAACCTATTGATACAAGGAAAGAATAATTTTTCCTTTTTTAATTAGTTTTATATTATATTCGTTATACATAAAAGTAATGAAATTAAATTTAATGCCAAAACTTGATTTGCTAAGCAATTGTAAGTAATTATATTTTCCAATTTGAATAATACGGTTTTTCCGATACCGGTCCGAGTTATTCATTACTATATCTTCGGTCCGGCTCCGCACGGGAAGATAGAATTTTCATAAATAATACATACATATCTGTCACGCGTGTCTCCCATTAGGGTAGGCAGTAACAATGGAACGCCAAATGCTTCGATTCAAACAAACCTTTTGCTTCTTCCACATTCATCAATCTTTTCATACACGCTCGCCGGTTGCGGGCACTTTTAATTTGGCCTTTCCTCAGCACGTCGCCTATTTGGTCGACATACGTCCGTCTAGGGCGGCCCCTACCGACATCTCCATTCATTCTTGCTTGATAAATCTCTTTCGTAATTCTTTCATAAATAATATATAGCCTATATTATTTGTTACCTATGTTGCTATCATAATGTTGCTTTCTATAGGTGAAAGAATGTTTTAAATTGAATTTGTAGAATTTTGACTTTTTCCATTAATTTTAAACAAATTTTTCCTATTTGTAATTTTTTGTGTACAATAAAGTATTAATAAATAAATTTTTCCTCTTTTTAATATTAGTATAGCAATTACATTCAAGTTTTTTTTAACAGCTCTCTATTCTCATGCTAGATCCTTTATTTATTTATTTACACTTTATTGCACCAAATAAAAAGAGAAATAACAAATACAGTAAATATTAATGAGAAGTGATACAAAAGGAGGCCTTATCGCTAAGCAATCTCTTCCAGACAACATTTGGCTAGAGGACATTGAGAACAAGACCTTTATATGTAGGTACACAAAACTATGATATATGTAAGTTATTAAAATAACAAAAAATTATTCCGTAAAACATGCTTTAAAGGGAAAGATAATGGAGTTTAGTAGTACCATGGGTTGCAATATCACTTATTAGGACCCTCGTGGAAACCTTTGTGGATTAATTCTATTGCCATTGTTTTCATCCTATTAAAAATTAAACTAAATGCCTTAATAACTGTGAAATTAATTTGTTAATGATAGTGTGGGTGTCATAAGAGACCACTAAGTGAGGGTGTGGGATGAGCAGCGACATCCCTATTAAAACATTCGTGTTTCTACTGTGAAGCAGTTGTGTTTGCATGGCTGTGTTTCGGTTTGAAAGGTGGGATATGGCATGAATTTACTGGGTACAGAGGAATAACACCTGAGTCCTCAGGAATGGCAACTCATGGGGGGTATCATGTGCGAAACAGTATACTCTGTTATGTCCATGGTAATGCTCATGTCTATAGACGACGGTTACAATTTTTCATCAGGTGAGCCCTTAGCTTGTTTGCCATTCTAAGTTGTATAAAAAAAATACTTATTTCTTTGTTCATCCAATGGTCGACTGGTAGAGAACACAGTCCGGTGTTAAGTCCATCATGTATACATAGTTTCATTGTGCATTAAAACTTAAATAAATAAATAAAAAATAATTGGAAAATATTTTTGTTGCAGAAACACCAGTAATAATGAAGTCAAGCCCAAAATACTACTTGATCCTCTTCCTCACCGTAGCTGCATACTTTGGCGTGTCAAAATTCATCTTCGACAAGGTCTATGGAACGATACATATCGTAATAGATGAATTGTTCCACATACCACAGGGCTTGGCGTACTGTGAACGTAACTTCACGTACTGGAACCCAAAGATCACCACATTGCCGGGCCTTTACCTCGTCTCAGCTGCAGTTTTGGGCTCGCATTTCCAATGCAATACATACAATTTACGTTTCATCAATTTAATCGCGTCGTGTATTAATTTAATTCTGTTTGCATCCATTTTGAAATTCGTTTATGGCAACACCAGTTATGTGAAAACGGTGTGGCAAGCTTTAAATTTGGCTCTACTGCCGCCGTTGTATTTTTTTTCGCACGTCTATTACACCGATACACTATCTCTGACTTTCCTGTTAGTTTTCTCTGGCTTCGTTAACAAGTTTAAACTGTTGAACTTTATATTTGGATTATGCAGTGTGGTTATGAGGCAGACGAACGTTGTTTGGGTGGCTATGATATTTGGCCATAAACTTTTATATATTTTCATAAAGAGCTCGAGAGTGTTTGGTAATCAGTACTTGACTAAAGCGAAGTTGAGCCGCCAGTCGTTGATCGCGAAAGATTTGGACGCGTCGAAACTGAAACGTTACTATGGTATTTCGGACTTGTTCAACGCCTTATTCTACCATATAACCACTTGTTTCGTAACATTTTTCAAGTTTATAACCCTTCAAGACTTTCTCGATCTATTCCTGCATAGTATAACATTGATATCCTTCCTTGCATTCGTTTATATCAACGGTTCCATAGTGGTAGGCGATAAGGGAGCACACGAAGCGGCCCTGCATCTACCACAGTTGTTTTATTTCCTAATTTTCTACGCAGTATTCGCATTACCATACGTTTTGGTTAAACTGCGTACGACTCTAAGTTTAATATTTAGCAATAAAATTAAAGTTGTTTTTATTTGTATATTATTTGTAGGCATAGTACATTTTAATACAATAGTGCACCCATATTTGTTAGCGGACAATCGTCATTTTACGTTCTACATTTGGAATCGATGGTACGGCAAGTATGATTTCGCCATTTACGCATCTGTACCTATCTATGTGTTCTTACTATTCAGCCTTTATGATAATTTAAGACAACAGAATTGCATATCGTTCCTAATGCCCTACACTGTATGCTTGTTTCTAGTGTTGGCCCTACAGAAAATGCTTGAAGTTAGGTATTTTATAGTTCCATACATAGTGTTGAGGTTGCGTTTCGTGAGGCCGTCCTTTAAAATTATTTTATTCGAATTCGTTTGGTATTTAACGTTGAATTGCGCTGCGTTTTATGTGTTCTTCAATAAAGACGTTGTATGGAAGGATTTTGATTATTCCCAGAGGATAATTTGGTAGTTTTAATTGTATGTATGTAAGGTTGGGTAATGTACAGGGTGTAAGGGACACATTGGCAAAAACAGAAACCATTAGTTCAGACAGATATTTTTTTTTTATTAAAAAAATAATGTAATCTATGCTATTATATCATAATATATAGAAATAATATGTATTTTTATAGTGAAATACCAAAAAATAGCAATTTATCTAATATACGTATTAAAATGCTACCGCGACGCGCACAGTCAGCTGTACGAGGTGAACGCCACGAGCGTACGACACTACGTACTAGGAGGCGGCACTGACCGCTGACCGCTGACCGCTGACCGCGCGCTGTACGCACGAGTATCGCGCCTCGCGGCCATCGTAATATTGCAAATACATTGCGCGGCGTCGACACTGAGTATCGCTAATTATACGGCTGCGGTGCATTACCGGCGGGAGAACAATATGCCATCTGATTCACATGTTTTTCGCCAACCTGTCCCTTTCCGCCTTTATAGCAATATCTATATATCGTAGTTAAAATATCTATACATATATTGGCCCAATAACAGATAGATTATCGGGCATCCAATATATAATATCGAAAAGAAGTACCCGCTCGTAATGAATATATATATCCGACTGGTATGAACGATATCGCAACGTGTTGCCATCAATGGCCAGAAGAACTCGATATATAGATATTGGATATTACTTGTCCCTATATGTATGGCATGTTACAACTGGGTGACGCCCGTTTTGAATGCCGTTAAGAATTTGCTAATGTATTTAAGTTTACTTGTCTGAACCTAATCCCTTTATTCATAAAAACGTCAAATCATAAACCTATTTTAGATATTGAACTGTTTTTGTCTCTTTCTTACTCTAAATTCCCATTTTTTTTTTTTGTACAACTTAGAATGGCAAACAAGCTGACGGCTCACCTGATGGAAAGTGGTAACCGTCGCCTATGGACATGAGCAGTAGCATGGACATAACTGTTTCGCCCATGATACCCCCCCATGCGTTGCCATTCCTGAGGACTCGGGTGTTATTCCTCTGTACCCAGTAAATTCACTGCCATATCCCACCCTTCAAACCGAAACACAGCCATGCAAACACAACTGCTTCACGGTTGAAACAGTTGGAAAGACAGAATAGGGTAATAGTTATTTGAACTATATTCCTAGAAGATTTAACTTTTCAAACTTCAAAAAAGGAAGTTTCAATTCGGCTTTATATCCTTTTTTTAAGTTTGTCACCTCATAACTCCGTCAACTGTGAACCGATTTGGAAAAATCTTTTTTTATCTGAAAGGATACACTTACAGATTGGTCCCATAGAGATTCCATCAAAAATAGTTCCATTAGTTTTGTTTTTAAATCGAAAACAACTGGATTTGCTACAATTAAAAGTCGGTTTTTTTTTTGTAGAATACACTTGTCATGAATAAAGGGATAAACTATGTAGACTCTTTCAATAGAAGCTAATGAAAATGTAACCGCGTCTCGTTGTGATCACTTCGGGAGCACTCTCCGAGTGTAATCAGTGACGGGTCGAGACGTCCAGTCGATCGGTCGCCATTTTGATTTGTACTGCTGGTGGACATCAGCGGACTGGCTTATGCCCGGATCGATTATTTCCTTGTTTATATTTTCATTAATTCCTATTTAAATATAATTATTTTTACATAATTCACAAGTGTCACCCATTTTTTTTTTTTGTAATTAAATTAAATTTCTAGAAAAACTGCTAGTCTGCCTCCAAATCAATTATTAATTAATCTTCTACAATAAAAGGAGAATTAAATCATTATTTTTTTATACCATCATGATTATCATTTCAGCCATTATCCGTCCACTGCTGGACATAGGCCTTCCCCATAGACCAGTGATTCTCGACCACTGTGCCGCGGCACTTTTGTGTGCCGCCAAATTTTAAAAGTGTGCCGCCAAATTTTGCAAATATTTAAAATTGTTGTCTTAACCTATTTATGCAGTGTGTTGTAGTAAGTAAATAGTTTTTATCTTTCTCTTTGTGTGCCGCCAAATTTTGAAATCGTTAAATATGTGCCGCAACAAAAAAAAAGGTTGAGAATCACTGCCATAGACTATTATACGCCATAGTTTTTTTTAGGTGTTTTCACAAAAAATCATAAAACTGGTTATTCTATTAAAATTATTATGTTTAATTCGGTTACCATAAAAAAAAAATATGTTAATCAAATAACCAGTGATATGGACTTCTGCAAGATGGCACCTAGTTCAGTAAAATAATAATAAATAAATAAATAAATAAATAAAAGTGAAATATAATTTTATTAAATATATAATAAGTAATGGCTGTAATCTATATACAAAATGTCTATGTAAATGCCCAACGGGAATTTAACGAACTTAGGTTATTTGTCGTTTCCAACAATTGTTTCGACTCCATCCGGTTTTTTTTTTATTATTATTTATTCGAATGAAATCCCCATTGTGGATGTACAGTAGTATCTCGATTATCCGAATCAAATAGTCAGCTGTATTCCGTATAATCGAGAATCCGGATAATCGATTTGAAAATCGAATCAATAATTAAATGAATTTTTTTTTTGTTAATGCGTTTTACATATGTCATTTAGATATTATGATAAAAAAAAAAAAAACTACTCCTCAACTGTTAAATTCCTTTAGTTGCTTCTAACGACACCCACGAGTGTGTAAGGGGTGGTCCATTCTATGCCGGGACCACACGACGGATCTTACAATTAGGAACTTTATAATGTCTCATTTCGATAAATATCAAGATGGTTTATTAACTGTGCCAAGTATAAAAATGACGTAGATAAATTATAGATTAATGTATAAAATATGATTTGTGATATTAATGTATAGAATCCTTGTATGAAGTTTATAAGTTTTTTTTTTTTTAATTATATAAATTGAATTTGGAATGATTTTGTTTTTTTTTTATTGACACCTTAGAAAGCATAGACTAATATAGCTGTGTTACGGTTTGAAGGGTGGAATATGGCGTGAATTTACTGGGTACAGAGGAATAACATCTGAGTCCTCAGGAATGGCAACGCATGGGGGGTATCATGGGCGGAACAGTATACTCTGTTATGTCCACGGTACTGCTCATGTCTATAGGCGACGGTTACTACTTTCATCATCAGGTGAGCCGTCAGCTTGTTTGCCATTCTAAGTTGTATAAAAAAAAAAAACTAAATGTATTAAGGCGGGCAGACGAGATTGTCGTTCCGTTATCACCCATTTTTTTTTTTGATGGGTGAAAATGGTATGGCAACCCCGCCTGCGTTAACGGGATACGCTGGCGGAGCACCAGTGAAGGGTGATAGATGAGAATAGAAACAGGCCAGTTAGCCCATCATGATGAATTCATCAGGAATTAACCATGATACTTTCCAGGGGGAACCGCGAGGAGGTCGACCTGGTTGGGTATATTGCTGCAATGGGATTCTCAGTCGTTATCACCAATTAAAAAAGCTCAGAACATTTTATTTTCAGAATGTCTTATGTAAATAAAACCAGTATATTTTTTCAAATGAATGTATTTCAAATATATGATATGGACATCTTTGTATATACTCTATAAAGACATACAATGTATATTTTGATCACAAACAAGTACATATTTACATTAAGAGAACGAATTTAATTTAAAAAAAAAAATTCAAAGAAATTTATTCGCATAAATTTGTGTGTAGTAAGTAAATTACTGGGTATTTTAATGACATTACAGTTCGGCCATGTTTTACCAACATTAGAATGTAAATTTTTTTGTTAACTTTACAAAAGAGACTGTAACTTTACAAAACCATATATCGCAGATATATATATATATATATATATATATATATATATATATATATATATATATATATATATAAATTAAGTACAAAAATGTAGCACGACTCTTAGTCCGAATATCTCTCTATACTTTGTACTCCAGCCTAGTAACTCATAATACTTATTATAATGTAAACCGGTGTTTCCCAACGTGGGACCCACGCCCCACAAGGGGGCAATTTTAATTTGATAATTGTAATTAAAAATGGACTCGAAGCGATTTTAACCCTCTTACCCCGGACCATTTAAATGCAATGCTACGAGTAGATATCGGTGCCAAATTTAACAAAAAAAAAAAAGTTAAATTAAAAAAAAATCTGTAAATACTTATTAGGTATAATTTCGTTTGACGTTACCAAAACGTCAACCGGGCGATTAGAGTCGTCAAGTAAACTTTGTCGGGAAAAATTATGTATGGGGGCGTAAAAATTTTGGAAATGTTCAAGTGTTGGGAAAATACTGATGTAAACTGTAGCAAGACGCATCGTTACACCATATCTTCATCATCTTCCTACCCTTATCCCAATAATGTGGGATCGGCGTAATATGATTTTGTCCATATTACAAAAAGACTTGGTTTTTAGTTTTACGACCGGCCACCTGCCTGACGTCAACCCTCTTTGGGATACGTTTCGCAACGTTACACCATAATATAACCATGAAACATAATACAAAGGTTACTCAATATTTACTATATCTCATATTGTTTATCGTAGTTTTGATATATGTATGGTATGTATGTATGGTAGAGAATGCCATATGGCATTAAGCTCGCCACTTGTACAAACTTTTATTGTGCAATAAAGAATAAATAAATATTAAACACAAGATTTCGTTTACCTAAGTGTTGAGGGCGCTGTCAGTAAAACAATCGTGTCGCTGTATCCGCGATAGTGGATTTAATGTTAGCGTTCTAAGGTCGCAAATACGGCGACAACGGAGCGGAAAGGGTTTATTTCTGCAAATCCTAATGGTTGACTGGTTAACCGACCTGCCTTTTCATTCTCACCTATCATTCCTCACTGGTGCCCCGCCAGTGTATACCGATAGCGCAAGCGGGGCGGGGGGAGAAGGGATTGTTAGTAATGGGGATTAGTAGTCCCATTGCTAGCAATATACTCTGTCAGGTCGACCTCCTCGTGGTTCCCCCTGGAAACCATCGTGATTGATTTATTTTTAGATTCGTCACGATGGGCTAACTGACCTGCTTCATTCTCACCTATCATCCCTCACTGGTGCCCCGCCGGTGTATGCCGATAGCGCAGGCGGGGTTACCATACCATTATCACCCATTAATAAAAATTTAAAAAAAAGGCGCAAGCGAGGTTGCCATTCCATGGTAAACCATAATAAAAACCGAAAATATTATTTTATAGCTGAAACCGAATTTCACTTATTTCAATTTCAGCAAAAACTAAAAATATATTTTTGTACTAATTATTTTTAATTTGATATAACTATTTATAAATATACGAATTTATAATAATAGAAAAATTTTCTAAACATTGTTACTTCAAAGTGATTACACTATAATTATAAATAATTAAATTTCTCTTTAAAATTCCATTCTGCTAAAACTGATTTATATGTACATTAAAATATTACCTTATAGTGACAGTAAGAAATGATACATAGCTGTATGAATAACATACTTTAGCCTTTTTACCGTCTAAAAAAAATCGCAAACTTTTTTCCTTTGTTCTGCTTAGTTTTTTTTTTTTTTGCTCGAAAATGTTAACTTTGTTCATAGAAATTGATAAATAAATAAAAAAATCAATTTATTAACAACTATAAATGCATTTTCACAATATCTATCACATAATTAGGAATGGTTTTATAAACGAACATACCCAATTTGTTACAATAATTTAATACAAAAAATTGTATTAAATTATTGTAACAAAACAACGAACCCTGTTAAAAAAAATGGCGGGAAACGTCAGCCATTTTAATTATCCTTACATATAAATCTGTTATAATATTATTACTATTATTATTTATACTTAGTTTTTATTTCTGTTAATTTAATCTCTTTATTTAATTTTTTTTACTTAATTTTTGGAAAAATATATAAAATATCGTTATAATTACAATAAATCTTAGATTTATAACCTCAAAATAACAGCTACAAATGTAGTGACAAAAATGGCGCGCTTTTAAAACTTTTAATCCAATATGTAGCGACTTTTATTTAGCGATGGTTAGTATCCAATATCTATATATCGAGTTCTTCTGGCCATTGATGGCAACACATTGCGATATCGTTCATACCAGTCGGATATCTATATTCATTACGAGCGGGTACTTCTTTTCGATATTATATATTGGATGCCCTATAATTATATCTGTTATTGGGCCAATATATGTATAGATATTGTAACTACGATATATAGATATTGCTATATATTACCCAAATTTACTTTTATTGGATAAACTGTCATCTTAATTATGCATATTTACTATATTATCAATAGTATGTTTTACAAAACCGATCGCTTCTAAAACGTCTTTTGACACTACGCGCCATCTTGAATTACAAATTTATAGACTATTTCAATAGAATTTAATGAAAATGTATTATCGTGATTTTATTTTTTACTTCAAGTATTTTTTATGCATAATTAAAAAAAAAAAATAGCATTCCATGTACTCCTTTTCTATATAAACTATAAGTGTGCGAAGTTTCATCCTCGTCTGCTCGCGCAATTTTCGTAAAAAGGGGTACAAAGTTTTTACTTTACGCATTTATATATATAGGTGCTCTAAAAGTTCTGGGACACTGTATATAAATATTATATTATGAATGTACAAAAAAATCTTTTTTTGTATATATATATATATATATATATATATATATATATATATATATATATATATATATATATTGAAGTCTCAAAAAGAATAGATTGATATTGTTTGCCTTTAATATTATTTGTCTATAGTATCAAACATAACCATAATAAATTCATTTATTACAATATATGTTATGGTCGAATTTCGACCACGTGGCGACCACTAGTATAAAATGAATATGAGAACTTACTTTTATGTTTTCATCTGGTGCATTCTTTTATCATGTCTTGAGGAAGATTACAGGATACTCGACGTCACTATACGATCACGGGCGAAGCCGCGGGATACAGCTAGTCGTATTCATGTCATCTGTTTGCTTGACAATACTGTATTATGTACCATAAAGCATTCTTGCAATTTTTTTTTAAAGTTAGTTTTACACTTGTACGTTGCTTCACTGTTGACATGTGAAACAAAAAAAAATGCTCTCTCTCGTGTCTATGGGTAACTATTTGTTTATGGCGGCATACGTATTAAAAATCTTTACGAATACCATTTATCTATGATAATATAAAATTTTTTTTTATAGTAAACTTTATAGACATATCACTATTTGTGGAACTTTGTAAATTGGAACGAGATCAATAACGCAGCGTAAACGCAACGATAATGCAACGTAAACACATTGATATACATGTATTTACGCAGCATAAATGCACTGGTAACGCAGCATAATTGTTACGCTTACGCTACCTTATCGTTGCATTTACTCTGTATAAACGTAATGATTACGTAGCGTAAACGCACTGATAAAACAGCGTAAACGCATTGATAAATGTAGCGTAAACGCTCCGATAACGCAATATAATTGTTACGTTTCCGCTACCTTCACGTTACGTTTACTCTGTACAAAGGTAATGATATCGCAGCGTAAACGCACTGATAACGTAGCGTAAACGCTCCGATAACGCAATATAATTGTTACTTACGCTTACGCTACCTTAGTGTTATGTTTACTCTGTATAAAGGTAATTATCGCAGCGTAAACATATTGATATTGTAGCGTAAACGCACTGATAACGTAGCGTAAACGCACCGATATTGCAGCGTAAATGCTACTATTAATTTTTTACATTTATATCCACTTGTCCTCTTTCCTGCCGTTAAGTAGCGGCGTCGATTCCAATTCTTTGCCGTCGCCCTTCACTGGGCTGACGTCGGGTTTCCCACTCACGTACTTGGCCAAGTTCAAGTTGGACACCACGTATGGGACGCCGGCCAGGTCGCTGCTGAGCGGGTTATAGTACTGGCGGTAACAAAATATCGCCGTTGTGTAGCCAAGGATAGAGCCCACTAGCACATCTGCAAACAAGCATGTGGATAATGTTAAAATAGCTGACTGATCCCGGCATAGAATATATATATATATATATATATATATATATATATATATATATGTAAAACATACAGTAACAACAATAAGTTAATAACATAATGTTAGCAAACGCGAACTTATCTCTAAAAGAGATCTCTTCCAGTTAACTTGACACAGTGGCATAAGAAGTAGTAGAATGGGCCATCGTTCCCTTTCCCGTAGGTGTCGTTAGTGGCGACTAAGGAAGCTCTATGGTTGAGGGAAAGACAGCAGCGTTTCTCTTAAAATATTACCAAAAGTCTAACTGCAGTTGTCAATTCGCTTACCAATTATTGGCAAAATCTCCCTTTTTTTTAGAATAGAATGACTGACTTAGAATGACAAACAAGCTGACGGCCCACCTGGCAGGAAACAATGTCGCGCCACGGCTGTCTTACCAGAGGGAGACTTTGTACAAAAGTCGATTGTTTGGGTACCTCTGTCCATTCGCGTTTCAACCGTGAAGCAGTTGTGTTTGCATGTCTATGTTTAGGTTTTAAGGGTGGGATATGGCGTGAATTTACAGGGTACAGAGGAACAACACCTGAGTCCTTAGGAATGGCAACGCATGGGGAGGTATCATGGGCGAAACAGTATACGAGGTCTGTCCGGAAAGTTCGTATAAAAGTGTTCTGGAATGCGAGAAAGAGGAGTGGGGAGGCCAGGTAAGCGCAGGACCCCTTCCTTATGTCCCTAACAATGCTTCAGTTCTGGTCTGACCGCCGTGCGGTGCGAACTGGCTTGTCACGCCATCTGTGAAGTTACCTCTTAACGAAACCCCGTCGGCATGGAGCCCGCTTCCGTTGAAGAGCAGCGCGTCGTAATCAAGTTTCTCTCGAAACTCGGCAAGAATGGCCGTGAAAGCAAAGAGTGGAAGACATCCGGGGAACCACGAACAAAAAAATCAAGAAAATCCCGCTCAAATGTCAAGACAATGTTGATTGTTTTTTTCGATGTTCGGGGGATTGTCCATCAAGAATTCGTCCCTCCAGGCCAGACAGTTGATGGAAAATTCTACGTCGATGTGCTCAGACGCCTCAAAGCTCGTGTGGCACGAGTTCGTCCAGAATTGGCGCGAGAGGGGCGTTGGATTCTTCACCACGACAATGCCCCTGCCCACACCTCTCTTGTTGTCCGTGAGTTTTTGAGTAAAAATTCCATTACGGTGACCGAACACCCCCCTATTCGCCGGATTTGGCCCCGTGTGACTTCTTCTTGTTCCCAAAAACCAAATTGGTACTTCGGGGGCGGCATTTGGGGGACATAAATGAGATAAAAAAAGCTACGACGGGGCAGCTGAGAAACCTACAACCAGAGGACTTTCAAGGAGCCTTCTCACAGTGGAAACGGCGTTGGCACAAGTGCATTATGTCACAGGGGGAGTACTTTGAAGGGGATAAAATTGATTTACCTGAATAATTGTAAAATAAAATTTTTAAAAAACTTTTATACGTACTTTCCGGACAAACCTCGTACTCTATTACGTCTATGCTACTGCTCATGTCTACAGGCGACGGTGACCACTTTCCATCAGGTGGGCCGTCAGCTCGTTTGCCATTCTAAGTTGTATAGAAATAAAATAGTGAGGGAGCCGGCGGTACTGACCCTGCCAGTGGTGGTGGTAGTCGCAGGTCCTGGAGAGCGCGACGGCGGCGGCGAGCGCGAGCGGCGCCAGGCTGGCGAGCAGGCGCGCGCTGCTGCCGCGGCGCCGGCCCAGCGCGCGCAGCCGCCCGCACGCCCACGCCGCCGCCACGCCCAGCGAGCAGAACGACACTGCGCACGCGCAACGCTATCACCTCGCACAACGCTCGCGCGGCTCCAAGCGCCGCCAACCGAGGGGGGAAGGGATCGCTAATCTGGACCTACCACTCCCATTGCTAGCAATATACCCTGTCTACCAACATACCCTCCACGTGGTTCCCCCTGGAAACCGTCGTGCTAGACTCTAACTGTATTCATCACGATGGACTAACTGATCTGCTTTTTCATCCTCACCTATCGTCCGTCACTGGTGCCCCGCCAGCGTATACCGTTAGCGTGGGCGGGGTTACCATTTCATTATTATCCATAAAAAAAAAGAACCGACAACCTATGGAGAAGAAAGGTCCTTGGTCCCATACCAACGCAATGTAAGGCGATACCCCACTAGATGGAGTGACGACCTGAAATGCATTGCAGGGAGTCAGTGGGTGCAGGTGGCTCAGGACCGTTCTTTATGGCAGTCTATGGGGGAGATTCATGTCCAGCAGTGGACAATGGCTGAAATGATGAATAACCGTGTGTGCGCCGGCGTTTAAACCGTGAAGCAGTTGTGTTTACATGGCTGTATTACAATTTGAAGGGTGGGATATGGCAGGGAATTTACAGAGTACAGAGGAATAACACCTGAGTCCTCAGGAATGGCAACGCAAGGGGGGTATCATAGGCGAAACAGTATGCTCTGTTATGTCCACGGTACTGCTCATGTGTATAGGCGACGGTTACCACTTTCCATCAGGTGGGCCGTCAGCTTGTTTGCCATTCTAAGTTGCATGAAAAATTTTGGAGTAAAATAAATGGCTATTTTATTTATTTATTTCATTCATTACTATCGAGATTTGCTTTCATCTCTTCAACCAGACTACAGTCGAGGAAAGTTTCAAAGTACTTACAGCTACTGTGTCCACTGGGGAAGGACTTCCTGCCCTCCATTATGTCGAGGGGGTCGCCTGTACATTGCAGGTCTGGTCGCTCCACACCGTCCGGGAAGCAGCGGTAGAAGAAATCCGGTCGCGGACGGCCTGAATTCGAGACATTATTAAGAATCGCTAGTAAAGAAAACGATTTTTTTTTACAACACGGGGGCAAACGAGCATGCGGCTCACCTGATGGCAAGTGACTACCGCCGCCCGTGATCACTCACAACACTAACGGCATTGCAGGTGTGCTGCCGTCCTTTTAAAAAGGAATATGCTCTTTTCTTGAAGGTTACGTTGTCGTATCGGTTCGGAAATACTGCTGCTGGAAGTTGATTCCAAAGAGTGGTTGTGCGTGGGAGAAAGTGCCTTTAAAAATGCACTGTGGAGGACCGCCACTCGTCCAGATGGTTGGGATGAAATTTTATGTTTATGGCGGGTTGTACGATGGTGAAAATCAGCAGCAGATATCAATCCGAACAATTCTTCCGAACGATTTCACGTTAAAACATATATTAGGGATAGCTCCTAACAAGTATACTATGTTATCATCACATCAGCTCTAACTGTCCACTGCTGAACATAAGTTTCCACCTTAGGGGGTTTGGCAGTAGGTGCCACGCTGGGGAAAAAGGGATTGTTAGCAATGGAGTTTGACAGCCCCGTTGCTGGCAGTGCGCCTTATTAGGTCGACCGTCCACGTAGTTCCCACTCGAAACCATCGTGAACAATTCTTGTTGAATTCGTCACGATGGGCTAACTGACCTATTTCATCCTCACCTATCATCCTTCACTGGTGCCCCGCCGGTGTATACCAATAGGGCGGGTAGAGTTACCATTCCAGTATCATCCACTAAAAAAAGTAGGTGCCACGCTTGACAGGCAGGTCAGCAACCGCATTTAGGCTTTGGAGACGTTTTAAGAGAGACGCTGCTACTCATCCCTCGCACTCTCTTAGTCGGCTCTTACGACACCCACGGGAAGGGAAGGGGTGGCCCATCCTATGCCGGGACCACACGAGATAATAAACTCACCTGCTATTAATTTTACGGAATCAGTTAGAACTCCGTTTATGCCTAGTGCTAACGACCACGCCAGTAGAATCTGGAAATGCAAAAATAGAATTATAAATCTTTAAATACCCGAGGAATAACTACATGGGACAGATAAAAGAAAGACTAGGTGTCATGTCGTGTCGCCGTCGGAGATGTGGTGAGTGCGAAAGCGAACCCATGTCTCCGACATATGGCACCTCGAGGGTATATCGTCTGGTTTTTGGTGGGTACACCCCCACCTTACGGGGGGACTCCCACAGTACTCATTCACCTCCCACAAGGTGTATGGGTCTGCATAAAGCATTTTCCAGACGTTTTAAAAAAAAAAGAAAAAAAAAATAGGTGTCATGTCGTGTAGGGAGGTGAAGGATATGGCCTGGGATAGAACTGGCTGGAAGAGAATGCATGAATTAGTTGCACCGACAAGAGGAAACTCTTAAATGAAAAGAAGATATGCCCTCCATCTATCCGCATTCCTTATGGCAGTCTATGGGAGAGGCCTATGCTCAGCAGTGGACAGGTAACGGCTGATATGGTGGTGATGAAGATGATATGCCCTCTGAAGCATGGAGCGAATGGAAATTGTTCTATTTTTTTAATAAAACATAAGCATTGGCATACTTAAGACTGTTTTTCAGGCGAAGCTGATCGTTGAAAATTGTTTTATGTTTCATCACACATTATACCTGAAAACTATTGTCATATCATTATATTAGCCGTCAACTGGCCACTGTTGGACTTAGGCCTCCCCCTTGGGAGTTATTGACAGCAGCTGCTACGCTAGTAATGTTGACAATCGCAGTTAGGCTTTAGTGATGTTTTAAAATCCCTCTTTTTTTACAACACGGGGACGTACGAGTTTGCGGCTCACCTGATGGTAAGTGACTACCGCCGCCCATGATCACCAACAATACCAACGGCATTATAGGTGCTGCCGGCCTTTTAAAAAGGAATATGCTTTTTTCTTAAAGGTTATGATGTCGTATCGGTTCGGAAATACTGCTGCTGGAAGTTGATTCCAAAGAGTGGTTGTGCGTGGGAGAAAGTGTCTTGAAAAACGCACGGTGGAGGACCGTCACTCGTCCAGATGGTTGGGATGAAATTTATGTTTATGGCGGGTTGTACGGTGGTGAAAATCAGCAGCAGGTATCAATCTGAACAATTCCTCAGAGCACTCCCTATGATAAATTTCGTAAAAGAAGCACAGAGATGCAATATCTCTGCGCAGTTTCAGTGGGTCGAGTCGTAACAGTTTCAGTGGGTCGACAGTAAGGCACTAATCGTCAACAATTCGAGTCGCCCGATTTTGAATGCGGTCTAACGGAAGGAGCTGGTATTGTGGCGCTCCTGCCCATAGGTGAGAACAGTATTCCATATGTGGCCTGACTTTATACAATTTCAGGCGGTGTTCCTGCGTGAAATACCGTCTCACTCTATTGAGCACTCCTAATTTTATGGAAGCTATCTTAGCTTTTTCCTCCAGATGACCGCAAAACTGGATGTCGCTAGATATACCAACGCCAAGAACCCCTAGATTTGACTTATTATCAAGAGAAGTGCCCTGAAAGTGAGGAGATATGACAAACGACTTTTTTTTAAAATACTGCTGCAAACAAAAAAAACTAGTTATTAGAGTTTCAAATCCCTTAGTATCTCACCTCTAACGCATCATTGCAATCATTGCAAACCGCCCACGCCAGTAGAGACAGTGTGAATGGTACGGACAGCACTATGGCCCACAGCGCACCGCTTGGCACGTACGATTCTCTCCTCGGATACTTGTATTCCGTTTCTAAATCTGCTTCGTGGATAACACGGACGAAGGGTGTCATTGTTTCCATGTAGCTGAAATTGTAAATATCATATTTTTTAAATAATTGGCGCTTCCAATTAAAGAAGGTGACAGTGCACCTGATAATGTATACTACATTATCACATTACATTTGGGCGCACTGTCACCTTCTTGATTGATTAAAAAAAAATGTCTATGTTAGATATATAATTTATTTGCGTCACTTACAGCACACAAATAACATTAACTATTCATACATGCCCTGCCGAGATTTTCCCAAAAGACTACAGCATGGGGTTATTCAAAAGGGAGGTAAAGAGGTTTCATCAGGGTCGGCAACGCACACGTAATACCTCTGGTATTGCAGGTGTTCATAGGCTATGGTAACCACTTACCATCAGGTGGGCCGTATGCTTGTTTGCCACCTCAGTGGTATAAAAAAAAATATACATATTTAAAAAATAAAATATACAAAAAAGTATGTAAAAGAGGTTTTTTTTTATACAACTCAGAATGGTAATTTTTCACAATTTTCTTGTGAAAAATTGCCTTTCTAAGTTGTATACACAAACACAAAATTGTCACAACTGGTTTATTGCTTGTCTATGTTTAAATTTATACTTAATTTGAGCATTATTCCCACCTTCATGTATAATGTAGTTATTTCAGCCTTCACTGTTGAACATAAAGCTTCCCCATAAGGGGAGTTTTGACAGAATTCACCACTTTTAGTACGCAGATTAGCAACTGCAGTTAGGATTTTTTTTTATAATGGAATGGTTTACCCCACCTGCGCTAATGGTATACTGGCGGGGTACCAGTGAGAAATGATAGGTGAGGATAAAAAGGCAGTTCAGTTAGCCCACCATGATGAATACACCTAGAATTCAGCATGATGGTTTCCAGGGGAGACCACGGGGAGGTCGACCTGTTAGGATATATTGTTAGCAATGAGAATGCCTCTACTGTTAAGTTCCTTTAATCATCTCTTATGACACCCACGGGACAGGTAGGGGTGGCCTATTCTATGCTTATCTTATATATATTTGTTTTTTATATATATTTATATATATATAAATTTTAATAATTATATATTATGTTTAGAAGACTGTCATCATTGTGTTAACTTTTATTTGATATTTATATGTTGTATTTAACACACACACACATATATATATATATATATATATATATATTGTTTAAAATATTGGGAGAAATCAAACTGACTGAGACTGAGAGCTTTCACTGAAAGTGCTGAAATATAACAAAGTAATATAGGTATAACAAATTAATAAACTAGATAAATTTTTAATTAAAAAATAAGCAGTTTTGTTATACCACTTGAAGTTGGAGTTTGTTTTAACACAATTCTAATTCGTGTAAGCAAAACACAGTAACTTTAAAATTATTAATTTCTAACAGTTAAGACTGGTGTATTAAATGAGTCATAAAACCTCAGTTCTTTAGCTAAAACACTATTATAACAAACTAGATTACAATAATTACATACGTACCATAAACAAGCTGTATAAATAATTACTAAATTTATCTTTATCTTTATCTTTATCTAAAAAGATAAGATTTCAACATTTGCCTATCATAAATTCAACCTAATTTCAAACGAGATACAATCTCAATCTCATTGAAACGTTTTTTTTATTTAAGTTTTCATAAACAATACAATTATAATAATATAATAGGTCCAAGGCGACGTATTAGTCAAACTGCGTATACGAAATCGACATATTTAATTCGTTTAAACTTTACAATTAATTATGCGATTTATTTAATTTTTAATACAAATAATTCTATCTATATTCATTGTATATACATCTAACAAGATTTTACTGTTGTTAGAACATATCTAAAATATACAGTTACACTGGAAATGTATTTCGAATGATCACAAATAAATTCGTTCACCATATGTTGTAAACTCACCAAAATGCTGACAATAAACATATCCTTATAAGTATTTCAATAAAGAGATTGAAGCTAGCGGAACGTATCAGAGGCATTTCTTATGGAAATTTCGTGATTTAGGACCGAATAAATAATGTTTTCAATATTTTTGCGAAGTAAGTGCAAATAGGTATACGCGAAATTTTGACAGTGGCTTTGGGTTCAGAAATAGGTTATGTATGACAGAAAACTGTCAACGTCGAATTCTAGATGTAGGATTTCTGAACGAGTAAAACGTTTTGTTTTTACATTTTACTCAAAAAATTATATGAGTTAACCAATAAACAGTGGTGATGATGTAAAGAGACAGTGATACTAAAAAAAAAAAAAAAAAAATGCTCTAAGTAAATCAGTGTCATATTATAATTAATGTTGTAATCGAGTTCATACAAAAAATGTTAAAATATTACTAAAGTTTTTTTTTTTTATTTCGTGTAATGGCAGAAAGAAAATATTCTCAATCAAAATAAAATAAATCTATCAGTTGTATTTGTTATTATCACCGAATAAAAGTGATTGTTTTGAAAAGATTCAGTGGACCAGAATAAAACTTACTAAAGACCAGAAAGAAACATAAGTTTCTTTCTTTAAAAAAAATAATGGTAGATGCATTTTGTAACAATAAAACTAATTCTGATTCAAGAATCTCATTTTATTTTCTTATAACAATGCTTAACTTAAAACAGACGTTTACTTACAGATAAATAAAACTAAAGATAAATTAATTACTAAAATATTTACGTTTGATTAACAGTTAAAGAAATAAAAAAAAAAAATATAACTCCTATGAAAATAGGGGTTATAATTTATTTATTAAATAAATAAATAAATGTTGGCAACATTTAGTTGACATTAAAAATAACACTTAGTTTGAAACACAATTCTCGGCAAAAGTACATAAAAATTAAACTATGGGCTTGTAATAACTATAAATTATATATAAATTAAATATACAATGATAAACCAAAATTCAAACACCTTTAGAGCGCTCTACCGGCGACTCTGGGGGTCTACCATGAAATAAAATTCCGAATTTTCGGACTTTAATTTTGTAAATTTAATGTTTTTTTTTTTATTATGAAATTTTCTAGCTATTGGTTTTTCTTTTTTTTTTACTACTTAGAATGGCAAACAAGCTGACGGCCCACTTGATGGAAAGTGGTAACCGTCGCCTATAGACATGAGCAGTACCATGGACATAACAGAGTATACTGTTTCGCGCATGATACCCCCCATGCGTTGCCATTCCTGAGGACTCAGGTGTTATTCCTTTGTACCCTATAAATTCACTGCCATATCTCACCCTTCAAACCGAAACACAGCCATCCAAACACAACTGCTTCTTGGTTGAAACACGACTGGGACAGAGGTAAATCTTTAATAAAAAATAAAAAAAAAATACCGAAATCGGTACAGTAAAAGGAACTTAACATTTCGTTCGTCACAACTCGCACCATAAAAGTCCAAAAGAACGATATTTTAACATTTTTAATATTATTAAACGATATAATGCAATTTTAACATGATTTTGGAGTTTCATTCGGTCACGAAATTTCGAAAAACATTTCATAGTAGACCATCAGAACATTTTCACCAAAAGTACATAGATCGAAAAATGATAGAAAACTTTGATTGAGCTTTTTATATTAACATAGCACATACATATGCTATCAAGTTAGTAAATATGAGAGATTTTAAAATTTTTCATAGGTTTTTTAGTCTATGTATCTTACATACTTGGATAAATGTTTAGTGTTGCTAGTGGACACGCCCTTAAAAAAGATATTACAATTTCAATTACACTTTGTATAACTAGTTATAATTCTTACATAAGTACATAATAAAAAATATATACATACACTTAATTAAAAACTAGAAAAGAATAACATTAATAAAAGCAGATCTTTTTTTTTTTTTATTTAATTTAAGATCTCTGTATTTCGATAACTCAATTTATACACATAGACAATGTACTATATTTAAATAAAATGTGGTGTAATTTTTTTTTCATTTTAGCCACATTGATTGCGTATAGAAATGCATATTTGAAATGCTTAATAACTAATATCTATATGAATATATAAAATATCTAAATCTAAAAATTAAGTACACTGAAATAATAATTAAGGCACAATCTTGATAAGTTTTCTTGTATCAAATTTAAAGTTTATAGTTTGTGTGGTGTATTTAGTATTTTTTTTTACTTATGAAGTTTCTACTGTTGCTTGATGTTTATGCAAATTTAAAAAATAAAAAAGTTCACTTGAACGTTATGAGTGGAAACCATAGATTAAGAATAGTACTTGGAATAGAAACTTTTTTATTTTGCTTTTAACAACGCTTTATATATTTATGATCATAACGTTAATTTGTTTTTTTTTTTTTACGATTTTATTTATTTTAAAATTAAATTTGAACATAAAACTGTTCGTTGTTTTAAAACTATAAAATTAATATAAACGCGAATATACCTAATTAGCAAGCTTTTTTTATTTGTGCTTAAGCCCATTCGCGCATTCCCGTCACTAGCGAACGTTAGGTAATAATAAATCTATAATAATTTTAAACATTGAGCTACCTATATTAGAACATATCTATGCCATTTTTTTTAATCTCTGAAAAAAAAAAACATCAAAGAAACAAAATTGGTTTATAAAGAACATACTTTTTTTTTATTAATTTATATACTTAAAAAGCAAGTTGACCTGCAATTTGGCTTCTTGAACGTTAGAAAAAATATAAGATTTAACTTGAATGACTTTATTCTTAACTATAATCGTTTACCGGTACCCCAATCCGTTATTTGTTTATTGGGATACCAGCAAAACCAATAGCGCGGGTTCACCATTACATTATCAACTATTAAAATGGCATTTACTCTATGTGTTAACGACTTATACTTATTTAAGTAAATTTAAATTAAAAAAAAATGCATAATAACATATTTATGCGAAGGTAACGAGTTCCATACAAATAGGTAAAAAAATTTTTCATAATACTTAATACTAAATAATAATATTTTATACTCAGCTCACTTAAAAAAAAAAAAATTCAGATCTGCCGCCAATTTCTCTTCACATCTCTAAGTATAGTGACCCTCTTCATTGTACGCAACTCCAGTGTTGACATTACAACCAATCTTGTGCTATACATAATATAAAAATTAAATAATGCGGTCCTTGTTATATGTACAGAATCAGACAAAGATATAACTTATTGTATTGGCACATTCAGAATTCGAATTTGCGCCAGGCATAGTATTCGAAATTCAAATATGTGAAAATAAACAATGTAAAATTTCTTAGCATTGTGGCACTTTTTATTTGTAGAATATTCGACAAGGACACAACTGATTCTAGAGTCGTCACTTCATGCAAATATAAGTAACATTCTCAACCACTCCTAACACCCAATGTGACTACATTTTGTACAATACTCCACGTATCTTAGAGTAATTACCTAATTATATAGAATGAAATTGAAAACAGTTTTTCCAAAAAAGCAAGCGTAATGATGGTTGGTATGTCCGTCATACTTATGAACGGGTGCTGCTTATGGACACTATTCTGCTCATGTTTGCATGTTTTTTTTTTCCATTTAATAACACATATAAATAAAATATATTGAGAATTATAGTCACAGTAGCCATGTAAATGTAAAATTATCTTGTACATTATAATTTGGAAAGAGAAACTATTGAGTTTCTCGCGGGTTCTTCTCAGCAGATAACAACATCTCGAGCCGAGCAGTACAATCATAAAAAATTGACGATTTAAAAGAGCTTGTAAACAAGCCTATTTCAAAAAAAGATTATTTCTATTCTATTCTGTTCTATAGATCGAAAAAGGACGAAACATTTAAAGAAAACGCTCAGATTCGCACACTTCTTTAGAAGAATGTGAACCATTTCGATTTCATCCTATATATGATCGTATTTCAGTCAATTTATCAATTTGCAAGTCCGTGATATATTTTCAATATTAATAACATTGATTCAAAAGCTAAGGGAAACATTGACAGCTAAATACAATAAAAAAATATCACAGACGTGATCATATTTAGCAGAGGGGCATTGTATAAAAGTCGTTTGCTTGGACACCTCTGTCCCATTCGTGTTTCTGCAGTGAAGCAGTTGTGTTCGCATGGCTGTTTCGGTTTGAAGGTTGGGATATGACAGTAAAATTAAAGGGTACAGAGGCATAGCACTTTAGCCTTTGGGAGTGGCAACACAAGGATGGTAACATAGATGTATTATCACAGTTTGTTTTGTAGTGTCTATGATGCTGTTTATATCTATAGACAATACTTTTTATTTTTTTATGTAAACTTAGAATGGCATACAAGCTGACGGCCCACCTAATCGAAAGTGGTAACCGTCGCCTATAGACATGGGCAGTACCATGGACATAACAGAGTATACTGTGTCATTCATGATATTCTTCATACATTGCCATTCTTGAGGACTAAGGTTTTACGCTTCTGTAACCTGTAAATTCACTGCCATATCCCACCCTTCAAACCGAAACACAGCCATGCAAAAACAACTGCTTCACGGTTAAAACACGAATGAGACAGAGGTGCTCAAGTAAACGACTTCAATACAAACTCTTCTATGGTGAATCTACTTTCCATCAGGTGGACCGTCAGCTTGTTTGCCGTTCCAAGTTGTAGCAAGATCGAAGCTTCAGAATCAACTGTAATAGCCTTATAAATTGATAAACTGACCCATGGATCCTACATTTTTATGGTTATACCTATGTATATTCCCTATAGATAATAACCCATGCAATGCGCCCGCGCATTTTTATAATAATCAAAATACTCCATCGGCGAATGCGCATGTTTCTTTACGATGTCATCTAACTGCATTTGATCACTCCAGTCTGCCTGTAAACCGAGAGATATGGAATAAGTGCAGGACATACCACTGTCCAACAAAGATCCTTATTGATATATATATATATATATATATATATATATATATATATATATATATATATATATATATATATATATATATATATATATATATATAACAACATGCTTTCCAACTGTATCGGGTTGACTGGAAGAGATCTCTGTCAGAGATAAGTCCAGCCTTGCTCACAACATTTGTAAATGCATTAACAAAGTAATTTAGGAGTGAAATATATTTCTTGTGGTTCCGGCATAGAATGGACTATCCCTTCCTTTCCCCTGCATGTTTTAAGTGGCGACTAAGAGAACTTAACAGTCAAGGGATGGGCAGCGGCGTCCCTCTTAAAACATCAGCGGTTGCCAACCCGTCTGCCAAGTGTTGGCAATAACTGGCAAAACCCCCTTAATGGGTCTTCTAGATAGGGACAATAACGGGCCATTGTCCATTAAACAAACATACACAATATGAGCCACAGACAGCCCTCTGTGTCGAGACTGTTTCGACGCCGAAGAAACGGCTGCTCACGTAATCCTGGAACGTGAAGCTGTGGCCCATCAACGTTTAGAAATCCTCGGAACAGTGAGGTCGCTCCATGAGGCCTGTGAAGATCCCAGGAAGCTTTTGTGCTTCTGGGCGGAGCTAGGTTGGCTGTATTAGCCACGACTCATACGCACAACGGTCCAAATGAGAGGCTAAGCGCGGAAAATAGAGTCCTATTTACATTAAATTACATCGGGTCGGATAGTTTGATAGAAAACTTACAAAGTTCGGGAAGAGGGAACGCTTGCTGTCAAATTTCTTGGCGTTGACGCATCTCAGGAGCAACAGCCGCTCTATCCACGGCCATATCATGTAATCTAACATGCCTGGCCGGTTACCCCCGAAATAATTGGTACCTGCAATTAAAAGATTAAAAAAGATTAGAAAATATAGATAAAAAATTGCCGTGTGGTCCCGGTATACAATGGACCATCCCTTACTTTCCCGTGGGTGTCGTAAGGGGCGATTAAGGGAAATTAGAGAATGGCCGAGGGATGGGCAGCAGCGTTCCTCTTAAAACATTACCAAAAGCCTAACTGCAGTTGTCAATTCGCTTGTCAATTATTGGCAAAATCTCCCTTTTTTTTATACAATTTAGAATGGCAAACAAGCTGACGGCCCACCTGATGGAAAGTGATAACCATCGCCTTTAGACATGAGCAGTACCATGCACATAACAGAGTGTACTGTTTCGCCTATGATACCCCCCATGTGTTGCCATTCCTGAGGACTCAGCTGTTATTCCTCTGTACCCAGTAAATTCACGCCATATCCCACCCTTCAAACCGAAACACAGCCATGCAAACACAGCTGCTTTACGGTTGAAACACGAATGGGAAAGAGGTACCCAAGCAATCGACTTTTGTACAAAGTCTGAACATTGCTTAGCAGTGTTTAGCAGTGGGCAGTTAACAGTTATTGTAAAAATAATTAAAAATAATGTAATTAATTTAATTTTGTCTGTTTAAAAACTGTCACAATATTGTACACCGCTGTATCCGCTGATATTGATGTTCCTTTCCACTTTGCGTGTTGCTGGAAGAGAACTCTATTAGAGTTAAGCTCGCCTTTGTACATTTGATTACCTCTGTCATATTATTATAACTGGTGTGTACAATAAAGATTTAAATAAATATAAATACAGATCTTTTTCTCAATGTCCTCTAGCCAAAGGTTGTCTGGAAGAGATTGCTTAGCGATAAGATCGCCTTTTGTATCACTTCTCATTAATATTTACTGCATTTAATTATTATTTTTATAAATAAATGCTATCAAGTGTGAATAAATAAGTTGCCTGTGTGGGCCACCCCTTCTTTTCCCGTGGGTGTCGTAAGAACCGACTAGGGGAGGACGAGGGATGGGCAGCGACGTCCCTCTTAAAACATATTTAAAGCCTAACTGCCAAGTGTGGTAACTATGGGCAAAACCCCCCAAAGGGGTTGAGCATAAAGGGCAATTAAAGGCTGATATGATGACGATGGCATAGTATTTGCATCGGAAAAGGCATAAACCGCTACTTAATATCCAGAGGGTCTACTATGAAATGTTTTTCGAAATTTCGGAGCCGAACGAAACAAATGTGATGTTAGAATTACATAATACACACTGTTTAAATTTATTAAAAATGTTTAAACATCGTTTCTTTGGACTTTTGATAGGATTTATGACGAATGAAATGTTAAGATAGATACTCTCTATTGTTCCCTCCATAAGATTACAATAGTAAACTTATTATAGATACAAACAATTACAAGAAATGATCACAGTGAGACAACAATGGGCGGTCTTATCGCTGAGAGCGATCTCTTGCAGCCAACCTTTGGATGGAGAGGAGTAATTATAAACAGTTTGGTGGGAGGCGCGATGGAAAATTCTGTTAAGCTCCATTTACTTGGCCGATTACGGTATGAACTAAAACACGGGGGGAAAGGGATTGTTAGTGATGCAAACTATCAGTTCCATTGCTAGCAATATACTCTATCAGGTTGACCTCCATGTGGTCCCCCTGGAAACCATCGTACTGAATTCTAGGTGTATTCATCACGGTGTGCTAACTGACCTGCTTGATCCTCACCTATCATCCTTCACTGGTGTTCCGCCGGTGTATACCATTAGCGCGGGCGGTTACCATTCCATTATCATTTATTGAATTAAAACACGAAATTAGGTCCAAAAATTTGGAATTTCATTTCATAGTGCCCTCGTCGTCGAAATCGGGCGTTAAAATTAATTGTATATATACTTAAATATATATAAAAATATACAAATTTATGTCTAACCATCTTCTAATATAACTGATTAATTGTATGTAAATTAATCAGTAAATAACTCAAGAGCGCTGATTAATCATCAAAGCGGAAAGGTCAAAGCAACAGATGTTAATAAAGTAGGTATCATGTATTTTTTTTATTGAAGTAGTATAGCTACACATCAAACGGTCGCTACGACAACAATGCCATTCGTATTAAAAAAAAAAAAAACAGGTTCGATCAAGACCTTTCATGGATATATGTTTACGACATATATTTATCAACGTATGTTCTGTAAATAGGCATAGATAATAGCGTTTAAGTGTGGAGACACGTTTATCGGCATCTAACTGGTCTATAAAATTAAATACTGTAATATATATATATATATATATATATATATATATATATATATATATATATATATATATATATATATATATATATATATATATATATATACTAGCTGACTCGGCAAACGTTGTTTTACCATATACATTATTTCTAGAACTATACATGAAAATATATCGTACTACAATTATTATATTCGATTGCCATCTTGCAACCATATTGCATATAAAAATTGCGATTACAAAACAGAGATTGAGGTGGGACACTTATGACTGAGGGGTTTGAAAAAAAGATGTTGGCCGATTCTCAGACCTACCCGATATGCACAGAAAATTTCATAAAAATCGGTAAAGTCGTTTCGAAGGAATTTCGTAACAAACATATGTATACCAGACGGAGACTTTGTACAAAAGCCGTTTGCTTGAGCACCTCTGTCCCATTCGTGTTTCTACCGTGAAGCAGTTGTGTTTGCATGGCTGTGTTTCGGTTTGAAGGGTGGGATATGGCGTGAATTTACTGGGTACAGAGGAATAACACCTGAGTCCTCAGGAATGGGGATAAGGGTATGATATATACGACCTCCTACTTAGATGGACTTACGAAAACGTTCCTTATGGCAGTCTACGAGGGAAGCCTATTAGGGTCCAGCAGTGAACGGATAATGGCTGAAATGATGAATGAATGTCATATATGTGTAAGTATATTTGTTATTTATATATATTTATTCGTTTATATATGTAATTTTAGTATGTATGTATATCAATAATTACTAGTACCGCGTTCGAGTATTATGCCATTTGTCTATGGTTGACTGAGAGAGAATGCTTTTAGCATTAAGTATACCATGTATACATATTTGTACTAATAAATAAATAAAAAAATAAAATTATGGTGTATGTCTAATTTCATTTGTCTTACCTCTAGAAGCGAGCTCTTTCTCAAATATATCCAACGTTTGAATTATCTGTTCGCTGCCAAATGCGAAGTTAGTGTCGAAACACTCCAAACTGCCCTTTATTAGCTGCAATGAGTTGGGGGAAACGTTAACATCAATAAACGACGGGCTAATAGTGGACAATGGGGTAAAAAATGATTTTTCTCAAACATGCTTGGAAATGTGAGCATTTTTTTGACAATCTTCATAGAGATAAATCAAAATTGCCGTACTGGCCAGATACATGCGGGCAGCGGCCGGCAAAAGTTGTATGAAAATCCATATCTGTCGTGTTTTGCAGCCAGATAAACTACTATGTAAACTCATATCTGTCCTGTAATTTAAAAATGGAATGACCTTTTACTTCGAAACATAGCCGCCAAGGAGGTAACTAATAAAAGGTTTTATTTAAATTTCGAACTGGCTTGCAAATAGAAAGCTGTTTATTGAAAAAAAAAAACAAAGAAACATTATGGCGCATAAAAATTATTATTGTTCGTTATTCGTCATTGAACATAAAAAGTAAAATTGTGTTTTTGATTTCCGCGCATTGTTTGAGAAAAGTACTATACAAGCCTTGACCACAACTAGGCATTGATGGACTCACGTATGTGTGCCTCGGCTACGCTTCGGCCCACATTTGCACGTTCGTCCATCAATGCCTCAGTTGCTGGCCGCTGCAGTAATGTACTAATATTTATTACTAAAATTAGTTAAAAAAAAGTAAATAAATTTTATTTTAAGTATTAATTCAAGAGCATATACGAAATATACAAAAAGAAAAACAATCAAGTTAAGAAACTTGATTAAAATACATTAAAAAATTATGACAAGTGTAGGTATATACATATGCCTACCCTTGTCCCAATTCTTATTTGTGGTCGGCGTAATATATTTTTTATCCATAGTACAAAAAGATTCGGCTTATAGTTTTAAGACCGGCCGCCTGCCTGACGTCAACCCTCTTTGGGAATACATTTGTTGGCGGTTCCCGCCACCTACGGTATGGAGGAAAGGATTGAGGAAAAAAGTATGGGAACGTTGGAAATGCGTAGAGGAAATTAGTAAACGAGAGAAATAAGGGACTTATGTGGGAAAGAAAAGGCGGGGGACACTGCAGTTGCGGAAAGGACTGGGACACTGCAGCGGCTCGGGAGGCCGGGGTCGCATACCCGTATGCCCTTATTCTAGAATCGGAGAGATATAATTAGGCTGTATTAAAGAATGAATAATAAACAAAATACCTCATTAAATCTTTCAATGAGCAATCGGTCTTGGGCCTTCACGTACGGGTCCGTTGAATGCAGGGGGTTCCGTGTATACATCTCGTCCAAGTAATCACAAATAACAACGCTTTCAAACAAAAACTTGTCGCCCTGCTCCGTCGGTATCTCGAGCACTGGGATTTTTACTGGAAAAAAAAATAGTGAAAAAAATATGTAACACTGTTTTTTTTTTATTGGATGAAAATGGTGTGGTAACCCCGCCTGCGCTAACGGTATACGCTGGCGGAGCACCAGTGAAGGGTGATAGATGAGAATGAAAACAGGCCAGTTAGCCTATCATGATGAATTCATCAGGAATTAATCATGAAAAAAAAATTGTTTATGAACAAATAAAAAAAAAATTAATCACGTGCCTCCCGTTACGTTTTATTCGATACATAATTTGTATAAACAATACATTATGCTGTTTGACAATGCAAGCTGCACTCGACAATCAAGACTGTTATCCTTGGTAACGTTATGTTTGAGACGTGATAAGATAATTCTGAAAGTCTACCATGAAATGTTTTCCGAAATTTTAAGACCGAACGAAATACAAATTTGTTATTAAAATTATATAATACATACCGTTTAAAAATATTAAAAATGTGTTTAAGTAACGGTTATTTTGGACTTCTATGGTGGGTATTATGACGAATGAAATGTACCAGAGGGAGACTTTGTACAAAAGTCGATTGCTTGGGTACCTCTGTCCCATTCGTGTTTCAACCGTGAAGCAGTTGTGTTTGCATGGCTGTGTTTCGATTTGAAGGGTGGGATATAGTAGTGAATTTATAGGGTACAGAGGAATAACACCTGAGTCCTCAGGAATGGCAACGCATGTGCGGTATCATGGGCGAAACAATATAGTCTGTTATGTCCACGGTACTGCTCATGCGACGGTTACCACTTTCCATCAGGTGGGCCGTCAGCTTGTTTGCCATTCTAAGTTGTATAAAAAAAAAGCTTGTAAACAAATCTATTCGAATAATGATTTTGGATTTAATGATTTTTTTTGCAGCTGACTTAAAAAAAAGAGGTTTCCATTTCAGTTGTATTTTTTTCTTTTTTTTTTTACATGTTTGTTACCACATAACTCCGTCAGTTTTAGACGTATATGAAAAAAAAAAAAACTTTTTTTAAACTGAAAAGGATATTGTAGCGAACTCCTTGCTACATTTTTATATTCTTATTGTCGTTCGAAATTTATATATATATTTTTTTGACATATTGTTAAAATATATTTTGCTTAAGTCTGTCCCCTCATCTTTTCTATAGTTTTCCATTCTAAAAACCTCTCATTGCATATTAAAAGTATTATCTGTGTTTCAGATATACTTACAGATTGGTCTCATATTTTTTTTTTTTATCAAAATTACAGTATTTGTCGGTTTTTAGATGAAAAATAAAAATTTTGTCACAATTGAAACCAGAGGGCCTACCATGAAGTATTTTCCGAAATTTCGGGGACGAACGAAACAGAAATTTGATGTTAAAATTACATAATACATGCCGTTTAAAATTATTAAAAATATTAAAATATCGTTCCTCTGGACTATTAGAATAGGATTTGTGATGAACGAAATGTTAAGCTCCATTTACTGGGTCGATTTCGCTACGAACAAAAACACGAAATTGAGCCCGAAATTTCGGAATTTCATTTCATGGTAGACCACTACCTTTTTGTCTGGGACACAATCTTTTAATTATTTTTTTTTTTTACTCACGTCTCGGGTTTTTCTCTTTAAACCACTCCGGCAGTTTCAGTGGGTCCAGCTTGTAGATCTCGTATTTGGCTCGCTTCGCTTCCAGGATGAGCAGGACCCTGTGGCCGTAAGGGTTCATATTCACATGGTACAGCCGCAGTTTGTCCGACAGATGTGGTGGAGGCACGACGCCTGCAAAACAAGATTTTTTTATTCTCTCTCAATTATACAGTATTATCATACCTACTTGTAAAACAAGTAGCCGATACTCTAAGGTGAGGGGGAAAGGGACAGATAGATACTCTTTACTGTTCCCTCCATAAGATTACAATAGTAAACTTATTATAGATACAAACAATTACAAGAAATGATCACAGTGAGAAAACAATGGGCGGCCTTATCGCTGAGAGCGATCTCTTGCAGCCAACCTTTGGATGGAGAGGAGTAATTATAAACAGTTTGATTGGAGGCGCGATGAAAATTCTACTATTTCTAAATATGAAGATGTGATACATGTAAAAATGTAAATATATATACCTACTTAATATATACACTTGGGGGGAAAGGTATTGTTAGTAATGGAGACTAAGAATCCCATTGCTAGCAATATACCCGACCAGGTCGACCTCCTCGCTATTCCCCCTGGAAACTATCATGGTTAATTCCTGATGAATTCATCATGATGGGCTAACTGGACAATAAGGGATTGTTAGTATTGGGGATCTTACAGCCTCGTTGCTATCACTCTCTCAGGTCGTCTAATTCGTCACGATGGACTAACTAACCTGTTTCATCCTCATCAGTCATTTATCACTGGTGCCCCGCCAGTGTATACCGATAGCGCAAACGAGGTTACTTTTTTATTTTACTTTAAAAGGGAAACATACAACACCTGAGACATCTCATTATCGCCCAATAAAACTTGACAGGCGGTTTTTTTTTATGAGTATGAAAAGGCAGGTCAGTTAGCCCACCGCGTCGGATCCAACGATAAATCAATCACGATGGTTTCCAGAGGGAACCACGAGGAGGTCGACCTGACAGGGTATATTGCTAGCAATGGGGCTACTGATCCCTATTACTGACAATCCCTTCTCCCCCCCCCCCCCTTGACAGGCGGTTGCCAATCCGTTTGTCAAGCGTGGCAACTACTGACAAAATACCTCAAGGGGAGGCTTATGTTCAGCAGTGGACAGTTAAAGGCTTATATTATGAATCATCATATCAGATCATCATCAGATGATGATGATGATGGTCATCACCACCACCATCAGAATCTGAGGGTGGTAATCATCATCATCAGATGATGATGATCATCATCATCATCAAATTATGATGATGGTGGTGATCATCATCATCATCATTTCAGCCATTTTCCATCCTGTTCGATAATAAAGATACTTTACGTTAAATTACATAGCCTTCTGAATATATTTTTTTAAGAAAAAACGTTGAATATTCAAATATAAGTTACCAAGGCGACATAAACCATTAGCTAATTAAAATTCAAGTAAACGCATCAATTCTAATCAATTTTATTACGTAAGTCGAGACCATTGCTACTTGTCCATTATAAGTATTTACGTTTGAACATATTAAAAATATATTTAACCCGGTAACCTGTACGTTAGTCAAGTAAATATACGGAGAAACCAAACCAGACGTCGTGTAAACAAACGAATTATGGCGAATAATAGGAAGTGGGTCGGTAGCGGTGTTGCCAGGTGTTATATTTTATTTTTTTGCCCAAAATTATAAATATTTGTTAATGCAAATTGATACGACGTCTTTCACTTTTCTATGAGTGAAAGTTTCTAATCCCTTTTTTTGTTGTTTTGAAAAATATTACATCAGCAATGGAAAAAAAAGAAAAATAAACTAATGTGAATTCTTTAATGATAAAATCTGACAAAACGAATATTTATTTATAGTTATTAACATCATTGTGACATCGTTCTTTTAATTTTGACTGACAATTACTATTTATTTAAATGTATTTGAAAATTGTAATGTGATGACGATTAATGGTATAAAATGGACTTGATGTATAATGTGAACTATCTGTGTAACCACATATGTTTGTACAGGCTAAACATGTCGAACGTTATTATATTGTCGACATCTGCATGTATTTATACGCATGTTTTACAAATAAATAAATCTTGAATCTTAAATAATTTTAAATTATGTCCCGACACACAAAAAAAAACGACTTCAATTGTGGCAATATCGATAATTTTTGTTAAAACTACTTTACTGAATCGGTTTTGATAAAATTTCTATGTGACTAATTTGAAAGTATATATCGTTTCAGATAAAAAAAAAGTATTTCCAAAACCGGTTTGTAAATGACAGAGTTCTGAGGTAACAAACATAAAAAAATATATAACTGAATTGAAACCCTTCGCCTTTTTTGAAATCGATTAAAAGAGCGTCTCCACACTAGCCTCATAACTTTACTGCCTTCAATGATATATTTTATAGTTCTATGTAACGTTTACAATTTCTAAAACATTCAAATAAATTATGCAAAATTTCCACACAGATTTTTCACCTTTATTCAAATTTTGAAGAAATTATTTTTAGACTAATGTTTGCCTAAAATTGTGGAAAAAGTACACAATCTGGCAACACTATAACATAGCTGGTGCGTGATGTAGTGGCATACAACCGGGTCAAGGCTCGAGATGGCATAATTTCGTTACATCAATACTGCTCTGTTGCAATGCGTCACCGCTTGCTGGAGCTTATAAAAATAACTAAATGTTTTTTCTAACCTACACATTTTTAAATATTGAAAAAAATACTCTTTAAATATTTTTTTTTTAAATAATGCTAAGGACGTCGTTTTCCAATATAGGAACAATGTAAACATTAGATATCGCCTACTTCTTGAACACATTTTCAAATATCGAATTAAATATTCTATATTTGAAAGTTTAAATGGATTTTAAACGAAGTTTAAATGGAAAAAAAATGTAAATGGATCATTACTGTAAACACTAGGTACTCAATATCACTCTTATATTTTTTTTTATTTCATAAGTAATACAATTAAGCTAAAGTTAAAAATAAAATAAGAAGAAAAAAGTAAGTTATTCTAAAATGTAAGTTTCTAAAGACGTCATCGTTATTTGGCATAAATTTGCATATTTTTAAATGACAATTATTTTTAAATTTGGTAATTACTGAAAAAAAAAACTCAAACTAATTTTCTTAATATGCAGATTTGCAGAACAACAGACATGGGTAAATGTAAACAGTTTAGAAAATAGACGATAGGAAACTTGTAAGCCTCTGCCTATCTCAAAAAGATAAAGTCGTGACCTTAATAATAACTAGATACTTATAACATAAACATTTTATTTTTTTTTAATTTACCTTCATAAAAAAATATAAAACCCATGTTTTATGCTACAAAAAAAAAAAACTATATCGGTAGGTAATAATTTAAACAAAATGTAAAAAAGATTTCTAATCGATTAAATCATTAGCCGACTGAACTCTAATACGACAAAAGTACCATACCATGACATCATCAGAAAACAGCTGTTCTAAATGTTGACACACCTTTAATTCCAGTTTCTGAGATCTGTATTTTAAAAATACACTTGATACATTAATTCTTAGCGAACCGGCTTAAAAACATGTTTTAACATTTATTTAATGTAGTTAAATTATTTAATCAAATATTTGAAATAAATAGTGTATCTATTGATTTTTATTTTTTTATTTTTTTTTCTATAACAAATAAAAATAAATAGGTTTATGTCTGCCAGAGTTAGTAACGTTAGGTACCGGTAAATAAATAAAAGATATGTAATTATTTGAATTACGCATTATAATAGTACTGAAAAACACTCACCTATGTTTTTGGTTTGATAATAAGTCATTTTATTGATATAATCACACACGTAGTAAATGCACTTAATTAATAAATTTGCACGGAATGTGAATATGTGTTTACTCAAAAGATTTCGGTGTAGAAGTAATGTAACGTCACATTTAAAATTATATCTCCAAGCTATGACATCATACTGGCCCGAATATACACCTAACACACGGTTATCTCCAACACGATTCAATGCAGTTTACGGTATTACGCCATTATAGTCCAATTAGTGACAGACCTTTCTAACTTGGTCGGGTAATAGCAGAAGGTCGATGAATATTTAACTGCTTATAGGTATTCTTTTGTAGTTTTTCATTTACCCACTTAGATAATTTATTGCTCAACTTCGTAATCAGTTTGTAAGTAAATAAATATTTATTTAAATGATTCAGTTTTTACATAATGTATTAAATCACATAATTAAAATTTTTAAAAATGTAATAAGGACAAATCAAAATAAATCTTCCATTTGTATTATATTTTGTGTGACACTTATATTTAAACGTCAAATAAATTGAGAAAACATTAAGATTAATCTCTTTGTTAAGAGTCCGATTTCCTATTACCATTCAAAATTACCGCTCTTTTACGTATCGTCACAGATAATATAATACTATGGTATCGTCAAACGATTCTATCAATGAAGAATTTACGTCATTTAATATGCGATGTTAAAATGTTTACTTATTTTGCTTATGATCGTATCCAAGCTTTTAATGTAAATTATTCTAAAGAGTGTAAATATTATTAAGAAATCTAAACTACATTCAATTAAAATAAATATGTCCATAATTATTTTAGAAATAACAAAACGCAGAAAATGATAAAGAATTGATGGATAAATATAATTCTAGTTAATAGCACAAAAAAATTGATCTGTCAAATGTCATTGAATGACATTTACGTTTGTCAAAACGTCAAACGTAAATTTTTGTTTTTAGTTGTTCGTTGTCTCCGACTTGTTTTGTTTCATTGAAGCGTATAAATTGGATAATTATTCGAAAGTTGTTAAAAATCTTCAAAACGTTTCATATAAAAATAAGATGTACTTTTTAACAATACCGCCACAAATGTCACAATAATGAATATATCTGAATAGGAGCGCACTTTATGACGTCTGTTTATTGAATTTTTTTAGAAAATAAATACAAATTCATTGAAATATGTTGTTTATTTGTAAAAATTAAAAATATTTATGTCGATTGTATGGTAATGAATTAGTGTTACGTCTCAAGAGTAAGTAAATGTTTTGAATAAGTTACTATCTCTTTTGTAGATAAATAATAATCACCTATAAGATAAAACCTGTTTTGTAGATTTTTTTTCATATTTAATTTTTTATTTTATCTTTATTTGGTCTCCTAGCAATTGTTACACTGATAAGATTTAATATTAAAATTACTGTCTGTTTATACTTAGTGTACAATCATTTTAAAGGAAACACAGCGTGCTAATTTATAAATAAACAATAAATTGGTATAACAAACTCTTGAGGTAGTTATTTAAGCTAAACAGCTGCTAGTTTTTTCGTTTCATTTCCAAAATTGAATTAAATATTTTTTTTAATAAAATTTATTTTTCTTTTTTCATTATCTAGATATGTATTTAGTCATTAATCAATTAAATTTTACCACAGAAAGACTTCATAATGATGTTATCTGTATGGGTACTGCTCTCCCCATATTTGTCTTTCTGCTGTCAAATAGTTATGTTTTTTTTAAGGGGTGATAATTAAATCCCACCTGCGCAATCAGTATACACTAGCAGAGCATCAGTGAGGATGAAAGCAGATCCATTAACCCATCGTGATGAATTCCACAATTTTTTTTTATACAACTTAGAATGGCAAACAAGCTGACGGCCCACCTGATGGAAAGTGGTAACCGTCGCCTATAGCAGTACCATGGACATAACAGAGTATATTGTTTTGCCCATGATACCCCCATTTTTTGCCCCTGTTGCCACTCCTGAGGACTCAGGTGTTATTCCTCTGTACCCAGTAAATTCACTGCCATATCCCACACTTCCAATCGAAGAAGCAGTCAACTTTTGTACAAAGTCTCCCTTTGGTTAAACTAGAATTAACCACTATAGTTTCCAGAGAAACCGCATGGAGGTAGACCTGATTGGGTGTATTGCTAGTAATGGGAAAATTAGATCTCACTACTAACCATCCCTTTCCCACCAACAGATATGTTTTGGTTTTAAGAAATGCGGCAGTGAAATTAAATGGTATAGAGCCATAAAATCCTAGTTATCAAGAATGGTATGTGTGATGGGTACTGTGGGTATCACAATGTATTCTATCAAGTCTACATTATTTACCGTAAAACCTATAATATACATGGTGTTATTTATCCTTATAGGTGACAGTTATAACTTTACATCAGGTGGGCCATCAGCCATTTTAAATTTTCTAAATTAATACATTCATTTTCAAGATTACGATCTACATTTATACTTTAACAATGAAAATCAAGGTATTCAAGTTGGCGGGAAAGGGATTGTTAGTAATGGAGACTGAGAATCCCATTGCTAGCAATATACCCAACCAGGTCGACCTCCTTGCGGTTCTCCCTGGAAACTATCATGGTTAATTCCTGATGAATTCATCATGATGCGCTAACTGGCCTGTTTTCATTCTCATCTATCACCCTTCACTGGTGCTCCGCCAGCGTATCCCAATAGCACAGGTGGGGTTACCATACCATTTTCACCAAGCAAAAGAAGGTATTCAAGTAAAAATATCATTAAAAATAATTTTAAAATTTAATCATCACCTATTTCTGTGGATAAAATATCCCTGATAAACTGGTCTGACAAAACTTACATACAAATATGGCTTATGATGGTAGCATAGTCTAAACCAGCTCTAGTTACAGGTTACTCAATAGTTATTATATCTCATAATGCTTATTGTTGTTTTAATTTATGTATATGTATATATATATATATGTATATATTTCATATGTATTAGTTTATCCATATATATTAAAGGTAATGTTTATGTATTATATGTGCATTTCTTATGTGTATATTATATTTATATTGTGTATTGCCTTAATGTGTTACTATAATTGTCACATATTTTTCACCACATCTGCCCTTCATACGCTTTCTGTTTTTACCCAATGGTTAGCTGGTAGAGAATGCCATATGGCATTAAGCTCGCCATTTGTACAAAATGTTTTATTGTGCAATAAAGAATAAATAAATTAATAAATAGTCACCTAGGTGTACCGCAACCTCAATAAATATTATAATAAGAGAAGAAAATCAAATTTTCTATAACTGTTCTACAGTGGATGCACCCACTGTGACCGAGAATCCAATCAAAGAGAGTGCAGTCACGGCAGAGAGCTGCGAAGTAGCCGAGAAGCAAACGGTGAAGGCCGCACCCATTGTTTCCGATACACCAGTGGAGGAGGTGGTGATCAAGTGTGAAGTAATAGAGATATCAGACGAGGACACGGATCAGACAACTCAAAAGAAGTATGAATTAACCTTTTATTAGATATAAAGATACATTTTTTTTTAACACATTAATCACCATGACAATATCAGAAAATTTTTCAGTCTATATTTTTATAATAGATAGATAGATAGATACTCTCTATTGTTTCCTCCATAAGATTACAATAGTAAACTTATTATAGATACAAACAATTACAAGAAATGATCACAGTGAGACAACAATGGGCGGCCTTATCGCTGAGAGCGATCTCTTGCAGCCAACCTTTGGATGGAGAGGAGTAATTATAAACAATTTGGTGGGAGGCACGATGAAAAATTCTGTTAAGCTCCATTTACTTGGCCGATTACAGTATGAACTAAAACACGGATGGAAAGGGATTGTTAGTGATGCAAACTATTAGTTCCATTGCTAGCAATATACTCTATCAGGTTGACCTCCATGTGGTCCCCCTGGAAACCATTGTACTGAATTCCAGGTGTATTCATCACGGTGTGCTAACTGACCAGCCCTTTCAACCTCACCTATTTTATTCATATATTTATCATCACCTAATTTAACTTGTTATTATAAAACGTACAGTTTCCTTTCAGCTTCTCAAACGTTGACTGTAAGAGATCCCTTTATGGGATAAGTCCGCCATTGTGTATTAAATCTTTTTAATGTATTCAGTATGAATTGTGTACAATAATATTTTAATTTTTTTTTTATAATATGTTACAACAGGATGATAGTAGCAAATGAATTCCAATCATATTCAGCTGTTTCCCGTGTACGAATATTTAAAAAGCATATATAAAAAAGCAGCAAGGCCACTGTAACAGACCGTTGTTGGAAAATGTTTTTATGGTAGTTATCAAAATGAAACGGACGCTTGCAAGACACTTTTTTAATCAATTCACAAAATATAGCAAAATTACGAACTAACAACAACAACTAACAACTCGTGCACACACGTGTCACGGGACAATCGTTTGGCGCATGCGCGCCGGCATTAATTCAATCAAATGCTAACAGATGGCGCTAGTGGTTACAATTATAACATTTTACGAGGTGCGAGGTGCATCGCTTACAGCCACATCACAATTAACCAGTCAGTTAACAATTTTAATTCTTTTTTAATGGACGATAATGGAATGGTATCCCCACTTGCGCTATCGGTATACACCGGCAGGGCACCAGTGAAGGATGATAGGTGAGGATGAAGTAGGTCAGTTAGCCCATCGTGACGAATTCCACAAGAATTGTTCACGATGGTTTCCAGGCGGAACCACGTGGAGGTCGACCTAATAAGGCATAGCTAGCCCCATGCTAGCAATGGGGCTGTCAAACTCCATTACTAACAATCGCTTTCCCCCCACCAATTTTCATTTATGCAACCGTAGATATTTCAATAAACAACCAAAGATTTCGGAATAGAATAGATGGAATGCATAATTCACATAGTGTGTTGCTCGTCGTATTTATGACATTGCCAATACGTTAGAGAGGGATAGACATATGAAAACGCATCTGCCTTTTAACTAGTCCGTAGAAGACAAATTTATCAAGATAAGTCACTTGGTTTTATTGGCCGTATGACTCTACCAAATTCAGATACAACCCGCTCGCATACTTCCTACATAAACTGTGTCCAATATATAATCTAGTAATGTAAAATTTGACATTGTCAAATAATTGACATATCAAACATTTTCTATACACTAGCCTTATATGAATTGAGAAAAATGACAACCGAAGGTGTATCTTTCGTCCTTTTTTTACTAATTATATTTGCATAAGAAGAAAGGAGGCAACCATATTATGATTTACAGTTTTTATTGTATCATTCCCAATTTTTCTAACATTTCCCAAGAGACTACAGTATGGGGTTCTTCAAAAGGGGTAAAGAGGTTTCTACAGTGTCGGCAACGCACGCGTAATACATCTGGTATTGCAGGCGTTCATTGGCTATGGTAACCACTTAGCCGTACGGCCCACCTGATGATAAGCTTGTTTGCCACCTCAGTGGTATAAAAAAAATGTAATTCCTTGTTATTAGTAAATGTCATTATTAGATGTCTAAACTGTATGTTACTTCTGTTGCAGGAAAAAAAGAAAAAAACCAAAATTGCCCAAGGAGCGGATACCGTGCGACCAGTGCGACAAATCGTTCCAGACAGGTTACGAGCTCAAGAAGCACATACGAACACACACGGGCGAGCGGCCGTACATGTGTACCACCTGTGGGAAGACATACACGCAGCTCGGTCACCTCAGCATACACCAGCTATCTCATAAAGGTGAGCTCGCCAATTTAATTCTGTGCATCCAAATGACCAATTGCAGGAGGGGGGGGGGGAGGATTATTAGTAATAGAGTTCGCGACCGCAATTAGGCTTTAGTGATATTTTAAGGGCAGCACTGTCTCTCCCTCGGGTGGTTTTGACAGTAGTTGCCATGTTTGGTAAGCAGATTGGCAACGGCAGTTAGACCTTAACAATGTTTTAAAAGGGACGCTGCTGCCCATCCTTCGACCATCAAATTTTTAAGAATGGATTTCGTTAATTAACATACTGTATGTAAAACCACGCTCTGCTACCAATATTTACAACCCTAATACAAAGGGGGTAAGGGAATATTAGCAATGGAATTTGACAGCCCCATAGCTAGCAATATGCCCTATCAGGTCGACCTCCACGTGGTTCCCTCTGGACACCATCGTGAACGATTCTAGTTGAATTCGTCACGATGGACTAACTGTCCTGCTTAATTCTCACCTATCATCCTTCACTGGTGCCCCGCCTGTGTATACCGATAGCGCGGGTGGGGCTACCATTCCATTATCATCCATTACAAAAAAAAAACCCTAATACAATGTTGGCAACGTCCACCAGGTATAAAGAACTTCAACTGTAACGAATGCGGATCATCGTTCTACCGGAAGGCGGACCTGGACCGCCACGAGAAGGCCCACAAGGGCATCAAGCCGTACTCCTGCGAGATTTGCTCCAAGTCCTTCACACAGAAGAACAATTTGGTGATGCACGTGAAGATGCATATTGGTGATAAAAGGTATTTTTTTTTTATGCAACTTAGAGAAGCAAACAAGCTGACGACCCAGCTGATGGAAAGTGGTAACCGTCGCCTATAGACGTGAGCAGTAGCATGGACATAACAGAGTATACTGTTTCGCCTATGTAACCCTCCTTGGGTTGCCATTCCTGAGAACTCAGATGTTATTCTTCTGTACTCTGTAAATTCATTGCCATATCCCATCCTTCAAACCGAAACACAGCGGGGGGAAAGGGATTGTTAGTAACGGAGACTGAGAATCCTATTGCTAGCAATATACCCAACCAGGTCGACCTCCTCGCGGTTCCCCCTGGAAACTATCATGGTTAATTCCTGATGAATTCATCATGATGTGCTAACTGGCCTGTTTTCATTCTCATCTATCACCCTTCACTGGTGCTCCGCCAGCGTATACCGTTAGCGCAGGCGGGGTTACCATACCATTTTCACCCATTAAAAAAAAGAACCGAAACAGCCATGCAAACACAACTGCTTCACGGTAGAAACACGAATGGTACAGAGGTGGCCAAGCAAACGAGTTTTGTACAAAGTCTCCCTCTGGTACAATTAATACAATTTGAAGATACTTATGATGTTATTGTTAGAGTAAATGACCTCAATGATAAAAATATTAATTCTTTTATAAGTATTGACAGTCTATTGACGTGCATGAGTCTGCTAATAAAACTTGAAGACCGATCTCTTTTTCCCGCTATATATGATTTTATTAAGCTTCCTCCAACAATTATTACCTTTAAATTTTTTTTTGTGCTTTTTCAATAACCTTTTTGTTAAAGTGTAAATAATTTAAGATTGAGAGGCATAAAAAAATCGACTTCATTTGTGGCAAAACCAGTTATTTTGATTTAAAAAGTAAACCGCTGAACCGTTTTTGATAAAATATCTATAGGACTAGTCTGTAACCTTTCAGAGAAAAAAAGATTTTTCCAAATCGGTTTACAACTGACAAAGTTATGAGGTAATGAACATTTAAAAAAATACATTCGAATTGCAAACTTCCTTTGTTGAAGTGAAACGAAAAAAAAATCTCGTTCCATTTTCAAATTTTGTTTCGTCTAATTTATTTTTCTACTTCCAGGTACGAGTGTCCAGTATGTCTGAAGAGGTTTATGACCAGGAGCAAGATGATGCTGCATTCCAAGAGGCACGATAAGGATAAAAAGAATAAGAACGAATTTATGTCCTCCTTTGTTGAATAAAGTTTTGGCGCGGTTTTTTTGTTGTTTTCTTTTCTTGTCTCAATTATTATGGCAAAGGAATTACCTCTTACAGCTATGTTAATTCATGATATATTACAGTGTCGTAACCTCTATCTAATACAGATTTATTGAGGGCAAAGGAATTGTTAATAATGAGGTCCTATAGTCGCATTACTAGCAACATCCTCTCAGGTCGACCTCCACGCGGTTCTCCCTGGAAGCCATCTTGGTTAATTCTTGTTGAATTCATCATGGTGGGCCTACTGACCTGCATTCATTCTCACCTATCGTCCTCCACTGGTGCCCCGTCAGTGTATACCGATAGCGCGGGCGGTATTACCATATCATTTTCACCCATTAATAAAATATAATAAAATTAAGAAGACAAAATAGGTAAACAAATTACAGATCATTTGTACAAACGTACTATTCAGTATTTTTTATAATGGACGATAATGAGTATACTTTATTTGCATTATACAATATAGGGAATAAGTAAGACGATTTACAAACACAACGATACAATTGTATAAGTACGGTAAGGCGGTCTTATTGCTGAGAGCAATCTGTTCAAGACAACCTTAAGGTAATGGACTAGTTGTTGTACAAGTAGGTATGATAGTGCTGTGTAATTAAAAAAAGCATCTTTTGCAAATTAAAAATATATGAAAATTATATACATATATACACACATACACATATATATACACACATACACACATATATATATATATATATATATATATATATATATATATATACATACATATCAATCAAACAAAATTATATAATCCCATGCATATATGTTAAATATGTATTTAATACTAGGATATATATAATGGAATGGTAACCCCGCCCGCGCTTACGGTATACGCTGACGGGGCACCAGTGAGGGATGATAGGTGAGGATGAAAAGGCAGGTCAGTTAGCCCATCGTGATGAATACACCTGAAATTCAGCACGATAGTTTCCAGGTGTGACCGCGTGGTGGTCGACCTGACAGGGTATATTGCTAGCAATGGGAGTGGTAGTCCGCATTACTAGCAATACCTTCTCTCCCACTATTGAGTATTGTATATATCCAGGGTCAAATGTACCATGTTGGGCGTCTTAAGCAATTCGCTCTAAACAGAACTGCAATAATATTATTCTATATACTAGCTGTTGCCCGCGACTTCGTCCGCGTTTCCGTCGTTTTTCGTAAAATAAGTAGCCTATGTCCTTCCTCACGGTTCAGTGGTTTTGATGTAACACACACATTTCCCTTCACTGCTCTGCTCCTATTGATCGTAGCGTGATAAAAAGTGTACTATAACCTCTCCAGGAGTATGAAGAATAATTGTATCAAGTTTTGTTAAAATCCGTCGAGTAGTTTTTGTTTCTATAACGAACATACAGACGGGCAGACAAAAATTTTACTGATTACATTTTTGGCATCAGTATCGATCACTAATCACCCGCTGATAGTTATTTTGGAAATATATTTCATGTTTAGAATTGACCTCTTTACAGATTTATTATAAGATAGATAATAACTTTAAACGCGTTTTTTTTTATACCACTGAGGTGGCAAACAAGCATACGGCGCACCTGATGGTAAGCGTAGCCTATGAACGCCTGCAATACCAGAGGTAACGCGCGCGTTGCCGACCTTGAAGAAACCTCTACGCCCCTTTTGAAGAACCCCACGCTGCAGTCTCTTGGGAAAACCTCGGCAGGGAGCTCATTCCATAACCTGAGTGTTCGCGGGAGGAAACATCTCTGAAACCGCGCTGTACGCGACCATTTAGATTGTTACGAAATGAACTGAAATATGACCATGTACTCCTAAACCTACGTCGTGTGGTCCCGGCATAGGATGGACCAATCCTGCCTTTCTCGTGGGTGTCTAAGAGGCGACTAAGAGAGGGCGAGGGATGGGCAGCGGCGTCCCTCTTAAAACATCACCAAAGCCTAACTGTGGTTGCTACCTGTCTGCCATGCGTGGCATCTGTTAGGCTTTGCAGCATATCAACCTATGTAGACGAAACTGTGGTTACCTTTCTGTAACTGGCTAGCTATAGGTACTTACGACAGACGTCATTTTATATCCAAAATAAAATTAAATTCTGCCTATTTTTCCTTTGAACAATTGGTAATCTTGTTTTTTTCCTAAATATCTTCATAATTATTAGGTGACGAGACACGGACTCTATTTATCATAAAGGCAAAACTCCCCTTATGGGGAAGGCTTATGCCCAGCAGTGGACAGTTCAAGGCTGACATGACGATGACGACGATGTAATAGGAAAATAAAGAAGATAACACTACGTTATGATATTTTTTTTTTTTATACAACTTAGAATGGCAAACAAGCTGACGGCCCACCTGATCGAAAGTGGTAACCGTCGCCTATAAACATGAGCAGTACCGTGGACATAACAGAGTATACTGTTTCGCCCATGATACCCCCCACGCGTTGCCATTCCTGAGGACTCAGGTGTTATTCCTCTGTACCGTGTAAATTCACGCCATATCCCACCGTTCAAACCGAAACACAGCCATGCAAACACAACTGCCTCACGGTAGAAACACGAATGGAACAGAGGTACCCAATACCAAAATCTAATAAAATTGTACTAAGACACAATTGCGTCAAAGACCATATTATGGAATAGTGACATAATTAAAAATTATTGTAAATGTATAGAATAAATAGTTTAATAATATATAAATAAACTAGCCGACTCAGTACAGGTTTTTTTTTAATGTTTTTTTAAGGGCTTTTACCTCCTTCAGGTATATCAGTCCTATCGTACCCTGAACTGATTTCTCAAACAAAACTTTATCTACCTTCCCTAGACGCGGAAAGAGAAGAATTAATGGGCATCAATAATTTACAGAGACGTTCAAAAATTTCTGGTTTAAGTTCAGTTAACATAGATTGAATAAGACCAGCGTTAAATTTATTTAAGTTAAACTGGCTCATGAATTCTTCTCTCAGTAAACGTTGTTTTACCATATACATTATTTCTAGAACTATACATGAAAATGTATCGTACTACAATTATTATATTCGATTGCCATCATGCAACCCTATTGCGGAATATAAAAATCGCGATTAAAAAACAGGGGTTGATCGTAAAAGCGTGAAAATTTGAGGTTGTATGTATTTTTCAATGTTAAATCATAATAAAATAAAAATAAAAAAATTCATCAAAAAAAATATTTTGGGTGTGGGTCACCCTTATGATTGAGTGGTATGAAAAATAGATGTTGGCCGATTCTCAGACCTACCCGATACGCACACAAAATTTCATAAAAATCGGTAAAGCCGTTTCGGAAGAGTTTGGTAACAAACACCGCGACACGTGAATTTTATATATTAGATATTATTATGAATGGAATAGATAAATAGATAGATAGATAATCTTTATTACCAGTAATAAAACTAAAATAAAAATCAACAATAATGAGAAAAAAAAAACAATTAATGTTGCTGGTCGCTTGAGCCGCCTAAGCTGTTGCTATATATGTACAGCTCCAGCGAGATGTACCTATATACAGCGCCGATATTCAGGCGGCATCTTAACTTCTTTACCTAATAGCACCTGAGTCTTTAGGAATAGCAACGCATGGGGGTATCATGGGTGAAACAGTATACTTTGTTATGTCCATGGTCATTTCATTTTCATTTAAGAGTTACCTCTTGTCGGTGCAACTAATTCATGCATCTTCCTCCAGCCAGCTCTATCCCATATCCCCATATCCTTTATCTCCCTAGTGTCTGTGTATGTCCATGGTACTGTTCTAAATTTTCCAAATCAGTTTACGGAGATATGAGGTAACAAACATAAAAAAATATATACAACCGAATTTAAAATTTCCTTCATCTTGAAGTCGTTTAAAAAAATAAAAAGCCAAGACATCTGCCCACACATCCGTATGTCTGTTTTCAGCCAGTAATATGACACTTTATTGTATTAAAAGCAATCTCGTGTCATCAAACACTTGTTTTGTGTTTGTAAACACGAGTGAATACGCTAGGCACGGCCATGATGGCTTATGACTACTTATTATTCACTTTCTTACTTAGTAATATATTATTACTAGTTTTTACTTTATTTTTCTTTATCTTATAATTTATGTATATATGTCTTATAATTTTCGCGTCTTTTTAATGCGTAAACACTCATTTTACTTATTAAATATAAATCTAATATATAAAATTCTCGTGTCACGGTGTTTGTTACCAAACTCCTCCGAAACGGCTTTACCGATTTTTAAGAAATTTTGTGTGCGTATCGGGTAGGTCTGAGAATCGGCCAAAATCTATTTTTCATATTTCTCAATGATAAGGGTAACCCACCCCTAAAAATTTTTTTTTATTTTTTTGACAATTTTTTTTTATTTTTACTTTAATATGATTTAGCATTGAAAAATACATACAAATTTAAATTTTCATCGTTTTACAATCAACCCCTGTATTTTAATCGCGATTTTTATATGCCGCAATATGGTTGCAAGATGGCAATCGAATGTAATAATTGTAGTACGATATATTTTCATGTATAGTTCTAGAAATAATGTATATGGTAAAACAACGAGTCAGCTAGTATATATATATATATATATACGCCAAGATATATCATGTGCGTAAGTATATAGAACACTGATAAAAAAACGAGTCATCTAATTTGACAATTGGCTGACAAAAAGTTGACACGTTTTTGAGGCTCGATGCTCTGTGTATCTAATTTAACCTTTCTTTGCATGATTTTTTTTTTATTGGTGACATAAATCAAGGTGATATAATTCATGTTTAAAATTAAAGGAAAAATGTTTAAAAAAATAAATTTGACAGCTATGGTTTTTTTTTCTGCAATGGCCATTAATTAAGGTATCCAAACACGATCAAATTAAAGTGAACTTGTTCTTTTGTATAATTTTTGGGCGTTCAATGTTATGATGGAAATTTCCACCATTATGTAGAGAAGGGTTAAGGCTTTACTACAGGTGCGAAGCCGGGGCGGGTCACTAGTGAATAAATAAATTTTGAACTGTATTAAAATAAGCTCATATTATAAACTGGTCACGCGTCTCAGTTGAGAATTTAACATTTTTATAGAAAAACTTTTTAATCAATAATCAACTCTAGACGGTAGGTGTGTGAAACGATTTCGAAGTATCGCTAGAGTTCGTGGCTTCTCAAACTTGTAGCGTCCACCGCCCACCTGGTTTTTGGTATTTAATTGTCTGTAACAGTTTCCTTTAGCGGCTGCCTTTTGTTTTATATATGCACATTCTGTATAGATAGATAGATAGGTAATTTATTTACATTATTTCTATCCATCTATCCTATTTAAGAGCTGTGCTCTTGTCGGTGGAACTCTTGCCACTTACTACGATTTTCAGCGAGTCTCTTCACCTCTTGATACGACACGACACCAACTCCTTCCTTGATCTGTCTGATGTAACTATGTCTCGGTCTCCCTCTCCCCCTCCTTCCTTCTATCTTACCTTCTATTATAATGTTCATAAGTTCGTCGTGTCGTATCAAGTGTCCCAACATTTCTCTCCTTCTGTCCTCAATAGTTCTAATAATTTGTCTTTTTTCCTTAACCCTAAGCAGGGCCTCCTCATTGCTAATTCGATCCCTCCAGCTAATTTTCTCCATCTTTCTCTAGCACCACATTTCAAATGCTCTAAGTTTATCCATTTCCTTCTGAGTTAATGTCCATTACATTATTACATTAATTACGTTACTTACAGCACACAAATTACAATACAAACATACACATAATACATAATAAAAGAGATAAAAGAATGAAAAACAAAAAAGCAACGAAAAAAACAAAAAGCAAAATATATAAAACAACAATTTCCTTCTTTCATGCGTGTGCCATAGTAACACAAAATGGTCACAACTCAGTTTATTGCTTTGCCATCAAAAGAGCATAAATACTCCTTGTATACATCTTTATTGTGCGCAATAAAGAGTTTATTATTATTATTATAATGCGTAATTATATGGCGTGAATTTCCAGGGTACGGAGGAATAACACCTGAGCCCTCAGGAATGGCAACGCATGGCCTTTATGGCCAACAAAAGCCTTTACTCGGTAGACGATAAAAAAAAAGAATAGATAAATATCTAGTACAGTTGTTGTCGATGCACGAATTGATCAGTTCCCGCCAAAATGTGACATTTGCATACTACTCTGTAAATGGCGCGAGACTTTATGTAATATAAGATCGCCGATACCTACCCTATTTAATACAAATAAATTTATTATTATTATATAATTAAAATCCGTTAGTATTTATAAGAGAATTAGCATGTAAGTTAGTTTTTAAGAGCTGTGGATTTTTGTATTAAATAAATAAATAAATAATCTTTATTTACCATCTTTCATTGGTGCCTCGTCTGCGTATGCCGATAGCGCGAGCTGGGTAAAAAAGAACAGTGGGCGATAACGCCCACTTTGAGAAGGCCTGCTTGGATATTACCTGTAGCAGATTTTTTGAATTGATTAATTTTAACTTTATGAAATAAAAATATGTGATAAAAATTAAAAAAAAATATTGCTTCCAAAGACAAAATGGGAATTAGGAGGGAAGAGGATTGTTAGCAATGGAGTTTGACAGCCCCATTGCTAGCAATACGCCCTATTAGGTCGATCTCTCTGCGGTTCCCCCTGGAAACTATCATGGTTAATTCCTGATGAATTCATCATGATGGGTTAACGGACCTACTTTGTCCTCACCTATCATCCTTCACTGGTGCTCCGCCGGTGTATACCAATAGCGCGGGTGGGGTTACCATTGGTTGGGTATATTGCTAGCAATGGGATCTTCAGTTTCCATTACTAACAATTCCTTTCCCCCCTTATTTTAGGGGAGGCCCATGTTTGGCAGTGGACGGATGCGGTAGTCACTTACCATCAGGTGAGCCGCATGCTCGTTTGCCCTCGTGTTGTAAAAAAATCATTTAGTTTGTAATAGGCTTTGTTCAATAAGTATTTTTAATAACAGTTTTAAACTTATTAAAAAACAGATCCAAAATTCAGTTTAGTCTCTTAAATATTGCTTAAAACACTTTTTTTTTACAACACAGCGGGCAAACGAGCATGCGGCTCACCTGATGGTAAGTGACTACCGCGGCCCATGATCACCCACAACACCAGCGGCATTGCAGGTGTGCTGCCGGCCTTTTAAAAAGGAATATGCTCTTTTCTTGAAGGTTACGATGTCGTATCGGTTCGGAAATACTGCTGTTGGAAGTTGATTCCAAAGAGTAGTTGTGCGTGGAAGAAAGTGGCTTGAAAAACGCACGGTGGAAGACCGCCTCTCGTCCAGATGGTTGGGATGAAACTTTAGTTTGTGGCGGGTTGTACGGTGGTGAAAATCAGCAGCAGGTATCAATCCCAACAATTCCTCAGAGCACTCGCCATGATAAATTCGGTAGAAGATGCACAGAGACGCAACATCTCTGCGCAGTTTCAGTGGGTCAAGTCGATGATTGATTGACTGACATGATACAATAACACAAGATTCGATACAAAAACTGTAAATTTGGGAGATAAATTATAACTGATACATGCATACTTAGAGTACATGATTACTTTATATACTTTCATTATACCTTATATATGTTATACAATAAATAGTATTGGTTTGGTCATTTGGAGAGGATGGATGAAAGAAGAATTACGAAAGAGATTTATCGAACAAGAATGAATGGATATGTCGGTAGGGGCCGCCCTAGACGGACGTATGTCGACCAAATAGGCGACGTGCTGAAGAAGGGCCGAATTAAAAGTACCCGTAAAGCGAGCGTGTGTGAAAAGATTGATGAATGTGGAGGAAGCGAAAGAGGTTTGTTTGAATCGAAGCATTTGGCGTTCCATTGTTTCTGCCTACCCTAATGGGAGACAGGCGTGACAGATATGTATGTATTAAATAGTATATTATTATATTTATATACAATGTTGATAATCTTCTATAAGGTCCAGTGTGTTATAAATGTAATCCTGTTTCTCGAGTGAATTTACTGGGTACAGAGGAATAACACCTGAGTCCTCAGGAATGGCAACGCATGGAGGGTATCATGGGCGAAACAGTATACTCTGTTATGTCCATAGTACTGCTCATGTGTATAGGCGACGGTTACCACTTTCCATCAGGTGGGCCGTCAGTTTGTTTGCCATTCTAAGTTGTATAAAAAATGGTTACTTAGCAAAAGCTTTTACTCTGTAGACGAATTTTTCAAAAAAGAATAGATTTTTTTTTTTTACACTTTCTCCCACGCACAACCACCCTTTGGAATCAACTTCCAGCAGCAGTATTTCCGAATCGATACGACAACGTAACCTTCAAGAAAAGAGCATATTCCTTTTTAAAAGGCCGGCAGCACACCTGCAATGCCGCTGGTGTTGTGGGTGATCGTGGGCGGCGGTAGTCACTTACCATCAGGTGAGCTACATGCTCATTTGCCCACAGTGTTGTAAAAAAAAAAAATATTAACCAATAAAGTTTCCACTATTAATTATTAGATACAGATCAAATGAGATACAAAATACATCAATAAGTAAAAAAAAAATTTGTTATTTATATTTTGGCTGAGCAGAAAGTTTCCTTTATTCCTACCAACTATGAAGATATATTTATTTATTTATATTATTTATTTAACACTTTTGCACCAATATTATAGGACAAGTTAAAGAATTTTCAATAAGTACAGTGTAGTTAAAAAGGCGGCTAAAGATTACCTAATATACTGTAATATTCCCGCCAAAATTTGACATATCGATTTTTTTTCTCTGCAGTTCTTTTAATGTACGCAAGCGAATAAACAAAATAAGATATTTTCACCACGTTTTCCAAACCTACGCATAGTAAGTAAATACACTTTGGTATAAAAAGGGGTTGATAGGGTTGTATGCCGGCATTCGGGCATCAGCTGTTATCACAGCGCCATCTACAGCGCGGTTTGTGTTCGTTATAATATTCTTTTAAAACCAAAAATGTTGAAGATCACAGCTGTCGTTTCTCTGATGCTTATCGGTAAGTTGTTTTTTTTTTTTTATTTTATTTTTACATCAAAGGAATAAAGGGTTTAATGTACACAGTTATATTTTTAAATATAGATTGTTTATTTTAAATGAATTTAAATGAATACTTGGCTGTTTATTGAAGTAGTTATTTTTAATTTAGGCATATTTATTTATATGATAATTAAAATTTAATATTTTTAGTTAACTTTTTTTTTAAATTAAATATTATAATTTTAATTTTGCTTTTTATGAAATAAAATGTAAATTTTTTATATTTTATTACAAATCTTTTAAAAGTTGATTAAAATGAAACATTTTTGAGTTAGCTTTTGATAAATTTATATTTAAGTATGTATATTAAAGTTTTATTATAATTAATTGTTAGCGATGTGGTCGGAGGCGGACAGTAGAAGGCATAAGAGGGAAGCGACCGCTTCAGCTGACTATGGACCAGGTACCTAGTTGGTGGCTTCTAGATACTTCTAGATACTTCTAGATTGTCTTGAAGAAATGTTAGATGTAATCGGTCTTAACACAAAAATAATTACTAACATTAAATATTATTAAATATTGCTATTATTGTTTCCCTTTTTTTTATTAATTGGAATAGTGCATTATTATACAATTTTACTATATTCAGTTACCAGAGGGAGACTGTACAAATGTCGTTTGCTTGGGTACCTCTGTCCCAATAGTGTTTCAACCGTAAAGCAGCTGTGTCTGCATGGCTGTGTTTCGGTTTGAAGGGTGGGATATGGCGTGAATTTACAGGGTACAGAGGAATAACACCCGAATACCCAGTAAATTCACGCCATATCCCACCCTTCAAACTGAAACACAGCCATGCAAACACAGCTGCTTCACGGTTGAAACACGAATGGGACAGAGGTACCCAAGCAATCGACTTTTGTACAAAGTCTCCCTCTGGTTCATTTTATTAGTATATATTATTAGTTATATATTTATTAGTATAGAATTTTACAGATTGTTTATCATAAATGACAGAATTCTGAAGTGAATAAAAAAATACAACCGAATTGAGTACCTCCTTTTTTGATGTCGGTTCAAAATAATATTTCATGATCAAAATGGATTGATATCTTTTTTTTTATGGGTGAAAATGGTATGGTAACCACGCCTGCGCTAACGGGATACGCTGGCGGAGCACCAGTGAAGGGTGATAGATGAGAATGAAAACAGGCCAGTTAGCCCATCATGATGAATTCATCAGGAATTAACCATGATAGTTTCCAGAGGGTACCGCGAGGAGGTCGACCTGGTTGGGTATATTGCTAGCAATGGGATTCTCAGTCTCCATTACTAACAATCCCTTTCCCCCCTAATGCATTGATATCAGTGCATAAGTGTAGAACATTCAGAGCGACTAAGTAAATAGAACAACAAAACAAATTAACAATTAACCAAACTCAGTTTGGCTGAGTTTGGTTTATATGCCATACTTTTATTTTATACCACTGAGGTGGCAATCAAGCATACAGCCCATGTAATGGTAAGCGGTTGCCTGCAATACCAGAAGTATTACGCGCGCTTTGCCGACCCTGAAGAAACCTCTTTACTTTTTTCTGAAGAACCCCATGCTGTAGTCTCTTGGAAAAACCTCGGGGAGCTCAGCATTCGTGGGAAGAAACATTTCTGAAACCGCGCTGTACGCTGTACGTTAATACTTTAACGTTCATACTTCATTATGAACGCACATAATGTAGAAAAGTAACACCAAATATATAAAATAAGTCAAGAATGATCATATTCTTCGAGATAGTTCTTAACTCATAAAATAAAAACACCTAGTTAAATTCTGACTAAGTTTAGCTGAGTTTGGTTTATAGACCATACTTTGTTATGAATTTTCTTAAGGATAGTACTCGCTGCGTTTCTACGTATACTCCACATAATGTAGAAAAGTAATAACGAATCTAAAAATGAGTCAAAAGTAAGCATGCTCTTTGAGATAGTTTTTAATTTATAAAATAAAAAGACCTATTTTAAAAAGACCCAGGTAAATTTTGGCTGAGTTTGGTTATTTGTTAATTTGTATTGTTTTTATATTTACTTGGTCACCATGAATTTGCTATAATGAACGCTCTTAACTCTTCTATATTAGAGCCATCTATCGTAGAATTTTAGCATAAATGTATATATTTATTGTATGTATAGTTAATACATAGTTTTCAGCAGTTTATTTTTGATAGTAGAATAGTTGTTTCTGGTTTACTCGTAGATCTGTAAAACTAACTATAGTGTAATGTATTTCAAAGGAACTTAATGAAAAAGTAATTAAATTCTGTTTCAAAATATAACAGGAACTCTTTCTAAAAGATATTAGTAACAAATCAAAATATTCTTTAAATTAATTAATTTTTAATTTGTATTGCTACTGTGTAGAAAAAAAAATTAATATAACTATCAAATAGTGGCTGAGTATAATCGATACTTACAGCACAAGTGAGTAAAAAAAATTTGTGGCACAATGTTACCACACAAAATATAAAAACATTGTTTTTTTTTTAATAAAATGTTTTAATTGCCAACATATTGGATATCAGCAGGCTGTCTTAAAGTCGGTTCCATTATTTATTTGTTTATATTTTCATTAAGTTCTATTGGCCGTATAAGTATTTTAACGTTTTACAAGCTTTTATTAAACTTGCAATGAATGTTAGTTAGTTTGCTCGTTTAGATCATATCTTGCAAGTTTTATTAGAACTACTTCTTGATATTCAATTAAGGTGAAATTTTGCATATACTTTTTTTTTATACAACTTATAATGGCAAACGAGCTGACGGCCCACCTGATGGAAAGTGGTAACCGTCGCCTATAGACATGAGCAGTACCATGGACATAACAGGGTATACTGTTTCGCCCATGACACCCCCCATGCGTTGCCATTCCTGAGGACTCAGGTGTTATTCCTCTGTACCCAGTAAATTCACCTACATTTAGTTCTGATAATAATAGAATATACAACACTTAACCCTCTGACCGGGCATTTTGCGATTTCCGCGTGCAATATCTACTAGTTTAATTTTACGCATCCCGCAATTTCAACGTGCTCGCATTTTTTATGTATATTGTCGTTGTTATCCCGCGTTTTTTGTTTTGATAGATTGATTTTATTTCTCAGAATCTTGCTAGATGGCTAAATACTTGTACAGATATTTGTTGTTGATGTGAAAAAGAAAACGCAGTCAGAGAGTTTATCTATATTTTCAAAATGGTCGCCGTCGCAAGATGCCGGATGATATCTATTTTGCCAACCCTATTATTGCGTGTATCAAATCAGAGAGTTCCAAGAGTAAATAGGTAACGATAAATTAAACAACAACATTTCAAAATGGCCGCAGCCACAAGATGGCGGATTACATTACAATAATTGTTTTTTTTTTTAATTGTTTTTATTTATACCTAACAGGCAGTACTTTGTGGGCGGCCAGTTTGTCGTGCGACTCTTGTGGTAGCGAGTGCGCATCTGCATGCGGCACTAGGCACTTCAGATCGTGCTGCTTCAACTATTTGAGGAGGAAGAGAGGACCTGAACACTTCAAGGTGATACCCTGTTCTAATAATAAATCTGTGATATGACTAGCCACCAACATAATAATTTAAAATTGTATTTCACAAGAAAATTGTGGCAAAGACAAAATACTAGACTGATAAACCGATTTTGGTAAAATTTCTAGAGGACTAATTTGTAAGTATATCTTTTGAGATAAAAAAAAAATAATTTTCCAAATTGATTTACAACTAACGGAGCTACAAAATAATATAAGAGTGAGAGAGAAAATAAGTCACAGAATAGATACATAGATTTTACTAACACTAGAAATTTATGTTTTTTCAGCTCCCCATGCCTATTAATCAAGATTTGAAACCAGAAAGCGCGCCAAAATCCAAGATGCCAATGTTCGTTTTCGAGAACAATCCGGAACCGTGGAGCAACCTTGTCTCTGCCGAGTACAGACCATACGACGACGATCGGCTACAAATTGTCTATGACATGTAAACTCTAGACTAGACTGTGCCATCCTTTTAGGCTGCAATACCTACAGTTGTGTCAAAATTACATTGCGAAGAAATCTTTTATTCGATATCTAAAATCTACTAATCTCTAAAATTAATATTTTAATTTAATATCACAGCGTATCCTTTATTCTAAGGACATATATGAATTATATTTCTAATAAATTTAGTCCATAAAATAGTAAATTTACAAAACTATCAAATTAAAATGATAGGTTAACAGAGATGGCGCTGGCGAATCGATCCCAGTATTAGATGTTGTTCATACAATTGATATGGGATAAAATTAATTTGTAATCACTTAATTATAAATTTAAACATGTTCAAGTACTTTTTGGGCCATAGACTTCTTATAACTACAGATTATTATTAAACGAATTTGATAAGTTAAAAAAAAAAAGTCAAAAGTACCAACATTTTAAGTCGATTGTGTTTATATCGCAATGTAATTTCTGATGACACAATCCTTTGTCAATTTCATATTAACAAACTATATTTTTAAGTCTTCATTTATTAAAATGGAAATATAGAAAGTAAATATTAATAACGCTTATTTAATAAATAATTGAATTCCAAATTCAAATTCTTTACTGTCACAGATTTAAAATGATTACCGTTGACATTTCCGATTTTATGTCTAATAATGGCTGGAAATAGACATAAAACCGTGCACAGATAATACATGTAAGGAGTAGTGTAATGAGAGTTTAAAAAATAAAACAATTTGGTATCCAGTTGATTGTTTTATTAACATATCATTATGCCTTCCTTATAATTAACGACTAGAAGTTTTGACAAATATTAGCTCTTAGATTGCACGAGTCTTTGTATTTCGTATGAAACCCGTTCACAATGATTACCCAAAGTTGACAACGCCGCCATTTTGAAAAATGTATAAGCTGATTCTTGCGAAATGTGAAAACAGTGAATTTTATTGGAATAAAATGCGTACGTACGTAACACTTTTAACAACACTAATTTAAAACTATTAGCTAATATTTTATACAATATCTGTGTCACCTCCTAGACTATAAAAAGTAATTTAAAAATATTAATATAATAGTAACACTAAATTATTTATAATTAAGAACTATAAGCATTTCATGAAATAATTTATTACTATCAATAAAGTTCCTACAAAATGAGTGTTTAGTTAAAAAAAAAAACAAGTCTTTTTTACACTGCGTTACCATATTAAAAGCTTTCGAATACAATTTTCGAAATACATTAGTTGAGATATTGAAAAGTTTTTAAATAATAAAAATTCAATCTCAATTTTCAATACATTACAAGAGTAGAATGTTCAGTGTAACCAAGGTTTTATTATGTTTGATCGCGCGCGAAAAGATGCATAGTAAATGCGCGGGAAAAGTAACTTTTTTTTTAGACGAAGAAATACAAATATACAACCATACATCTCATAATGTTACGTTTAATTTTAACAACTTTTAAAACGCTACGGCAGTTATAAATATACAGCCAGTATGTCGTTTATGCCTTAGCCTGCAACTGGTATCGTGGGATTAGGATATTTAAAACATATTGATATTTTTTAATAGTAACCTTATTCAGAGTTGCCCGTAAAATCAAGATTTATTGATGCATTTTTCTTATATTTACTTAAATAAAAAAAAAAATATTAAAAATAATAAAGATGACTTAACAATACCTAATGGAGTGATTTTCTCTTCACAGTTTATAAATAATTATCGCGCCAGTTTTTACGAATTTTAAAAAGTTTAACATTTCTGCCAGTAATTAGTTAAATAAAAAAAGAGGCAGATACTTATTTGTCGTTGCATAATTTTTTTTTTTTGCTTTGGCTAATGGCTATGCAGCCAAAGCGCAATAAAGAAAAAAGTAGTAATTAAAGCCAATGCAACTTTAACTGTAAAAAAAGGAAAATTAACAAGTAAAGAAAAAGATGTACCCTTAACACCCTCGTTAAACCAGCAATACCACGACACCAGCACTCTTCAATTATTTACTGGTAATCCTTTTGTTTCCGCCTAGCAATTTCTGCGCTGGCCTCTTGTATCGCCTCCCACAGTTTCGCTTCGGACAATATTTGGCGGGAAAGTTCATCGATTGCGTTCTCTGAATCCAATAACGAACCCAATGCTTCATCGTCGACAAACTGTAAAAAATTTACTTTTAAGCATAGACTAAGGATTATGTTATTTAAGAGTCGATATTACCTGTATATTGTTAGAATTGGAAAATTAATCTATGTAACCATTTATCAACACAAAAAATAAATGTATAAAGTCATAGTGCTGTACAACTATTTATAATATGCTTTTGTCAATAACGGTGGTGTTGATGCGTATGTCACATAGAATGGTATTATTTATAGAATGTCACATAGACGTTATAAACTCAGTTTGGGTGTCGCAATTTGTGGTTGGTAAATTTTTTATCGTGTGTTTCCGATACCAATAACGCGGGCAAGGTTACCATTCCATTTTCATCCCAATAAAGAGCACGAATTCAGGATAAGTAAATTATTATTACCTGTCGTTGTCTAATTATTTCTTGAGGCATTCCTGGTGTTTGGGACCGCTTACGGCCGCAACCTGAAAAAATCATACATTCTATAACGGCAAACAAGCTGACGGCCCGCCTGGTGGAAAGTGGTAACAGTGCTGTGTTATGTTCATGGTCACATGAACAAAATAGAGTATACAGTGTCACTCATGATACCACTCACGTGTTGTTCTTCCTAAGGACTAAGGTATTATTCCTCCATATCCTGTAATTTCACTACCATATGCCACCTGGCTGCAAAAATACGAGTGGGACAGAGCTACTCACGCAGACGACTATGAAACACATTCCCTCCCTATGGAGGTCAGCTTGTTTGTCTGGGGGGAGATGGATTATCAGTTAATGGGAACGTTAATCCCCATGGCTAGCAATATACCCTACACGCGGGAAATCAACGTAATTAATTCTTTTTGAATTCGGTATATTTGACCAATTGACTTGCTTTCATTCTTACCTATCACCCTCACTAGTACCCCGGCTGTATACACTGATAGCATAGGCAGGGTTACCATTCCATTGCCAACTTTTAAAAAAGACCTTGTTTGTAGCTAAGCTATTAAATACGTATTAACTTTTAGAGCGTGCTCATATGCCATCTCATCATTATGGCGCCCTCTAGACATACAGTGACTATTGTAAGATTGTATTGTTTGGTCAGAGCAGGTACCATACGACCACGGCTTCCTGAACCTTCGGCCTTCTAACCATTACTATGAACATGTATTAAATACATCAAATTACGTGTAAATTGTTTCTTTAATAAACAATAAATCCTCTAAACGCCGTGTGGTCCTGGCATAAAATGGGCCACACCTTCCTTTCTTGTGAGTATTGTAAGAGGCGACTAAGGGAGGGTGAGGAATGGGCAACAGCGTCCCTCTTAAAACATCTCCAAACCCTAACTGCGATTGCCAATCCGCCTGCCAAGCGTGGAAACTACTACAAACCCCCCCCAAGGGGGAGGCTTATGTTCAGCAGTGAACAGTTAAAAGCTGATATGATGATCATGATGAAATCTAAAGGTATCTATTATTTATTATTTTAGATTAATTCATATTAAATAATCGTAATTATAATGGATACACAGAATTTATTTATTTTACTTTTTCTTAAGGAATTTGGCTGTTGGCCTTTGCCTACAACAGCTTTTACTTTGTTTGAGGACAAAGCAATAAACTGAGGTGCGACCATTTTGTGTCACTGTGGCATATACATGAAAGGGGGAAAAATATGTTACTTCTTTTATGTATTAATCTTTATAATAAAAAAATTATCTATTTATCTTTTTATTTAAATATTGAATAGTTTGTACATAACAATTTCAGATAATATTTCTTGTTTCGTCCTTTTTAAAGTGTGATTTTCTAGTCAGGTTTTAGTTTTTGAATTTATTTTTTTATTACTAAAATTATTAAGAATTTTTTAATAACCTGTGAATGCGTTGCAGAACGGTCTCTTTTTTGGAGTGAGCACCATTTCTTCTCCAATTCGAGGGTCGAAGCTTCTGGGTATCTGAAATTATTAATTTACATATAGTAATATTAACATGAAGATTTGTGGTGTTCTAAAAGTGTTTTTTTTTTTTAATATAGAATGTAACAACTAGCGACATCTCTTATCGCAAGGTAAAAGCTCTGTTATAAAACGCTTGACTGGATTACAAAAGTTAATTTCAAATTCGTATTTGGAACATTTAGAAAATATTTTCACTCATTCTATGCTTCAGAGAGAACGCAAAGCCGTCGTCTGGTAAACTGCGTTTGAGGCCTTTGATACTAGAGGGCGTTATCCTAACATGTGTAGATAGCATTAGTTTTTTTTTTTATTATTATCACTTATAATGCAAAGGTAACCTCGTCCGTGCTATCGGTATACGCTGGCGGGGCACCAGTGAGAGATAATAGGTGTCGCAAGAGGTGACGACTAAAGTAGCTTAATTGTTGAGAGATATGCACAAGCTTCCCTCTTAACACTTTGCATTCGGGTGGAAAGGGATGTGTAGTAATGAGGACTAATGGCCCCATCGCTAGCAAGCCCTGTCAGGTCGACCTCTACGCGGTTGCCCCTGGAAACCATCATGATTAATAATTCTTGCATTCGTTACGATGGGCTAACCGACCTGCTTTCATGCTTATCTATCATCCTTCACTAGTGCCACGTCAGTGTATACCGATAGCGCAGGCGGGGTTACCATTCCATTATCATCCAGAAACAAAACCCTTTGCATTCGTAATTATGCTTTAGAAAGTTAGTAACTAACGACTGCGCTGCTAATTTATCCACTTGATGACAGATATAATATACCTACATTCCTACAAAAGATAAAATTTGAAGTATTTGGTGCCCATGCAGTGATATACAAGCGTAACGGTCGAGATGCGATGCCTCTCGTACGGGGACATATGAATGTAAAGGGTTAAAACGTCATCAAAGCCTAACTGCAGTTGCCAACCTGTCTGCCAAGCGTGGCAACTACTGACAAAACCCCCTTTGGGGGGAAGGCTTATGTTCAGCAGTGGACAGTTAACGGCTAATATGATAATGCCATCTAGTGTTTACTCAATTACTTTTAAAATCCACACGTACAAAGTCGCGGGCAAAAACTAGTAAAATATAAAAGAAATATCACTTACGGTGGCTGTATAGCAGCAGTCCAAGCAGACAAGTGCTATTACGAGCAATAACGAAACGCGGGAAACTGGCGCCATGGCGGGAAAATATGACAGCTGTCAAGTCAACAAGATGTCCGACCTGAAACAAATATAGAAACCTATTTAATTTACTACAAATATGCATTGGTATCTTCTGATTTTTACTTTAAAAATATAGTTAATAAGTAACTTAAGTCTACAAATAATTTTTTGTATCCAATGTCAGCCTTATTGTTGCTGAATTTTCAAACAAAATTTTTAAAAAGTCTGTATGAACAAATAAAAAGAAAATTAATATGTAAACGCATAATTTCAGAATGGTTGCACCGATTTAACTAATTCTTGTTGTAATTGGCAGGACAAGGTTCGCATAACAGAAAATACTTGCGATTTTTTTTTTCTATTTTCAAATACATAAAGGCAGATATTTAAAGGCATTCTCCGTCAGTCAACTATGTTTTTTTTAAACGGTGATACAGAATCAGGCTCGTGCTCGCATCATAGTCGCTCATGACTAAGGACCACGAATTGATTGCGAAACTAGTCGAGCTTTTTGATCTAATACCGGTAGTTATTATTTTAAAAGGTTTTTTTATGCAACTTAGAATGGCAAACAAGCTGACGGCCCACCTGTAGTAATCGTCACCTATACACATGAGCAGTACCATGGACAAAACAGCAAGCATTCGACTTTTGTGTCTCCCTCTGGTTAGGTTATCATTCTATTAACTCGTATTATCTTTTATCACCAGAGGGAGACTTTGTACAAAAGTCGATTGCATGGGTACCTCTGTCCCATTCGTGTTTCAATCGTGGAGCAGTTGTGTTTGCTGTGTTTCGGTTTGAAGGGTGGGATATGGCGTGAATTTACTGGGTACAGAGGAATTACACCTGAGTTCTTACGAATAGCAACGCATGGGGAGTATCATGGGCGAAACAGTATACTCTGTTATGTCCATGCTACTGCTCATGTCTATAGGCGACGGTTACCACTTTCCATCAGGTGGGCCGTCAGCTTGTTTGCCATTCTAAGTTGTATATAAAAAAAAAATTTTTACAGTATATTTTTGTCACACTTCAAAGAAATATTAGTCATTACGTTACCATTGCTTATACATATTAAAACAATTGTAAAACTTGATTAAATCATCTTATTTAATTAACGGTTGAAACACGAATGGGACAGATGTGTGAAAAAATTTTTAAAATCATATACGTAGTTTTTTAAACTTATCCATTGTAAAAAAAAAAATATATCAAAACTTGACTCTTTATAACTTTGAGAATAGATTGTCTATTCACTTATACTTTTGTACTTTTTTCCTTTGCCTCGGATATCATTAAAAAATTAATAAAGGTTATGTCAATACCTGACATATTGATATTGTAAAATGGCGCTCGAGGCGCTGTAAGTACACGGCTACCGATTTTTGTACACTTTTATTTTTTATTCGTATTTTAGTAACTAAATTGTATTCCAAAAAAAAATCGACTTCATTTGGGACAAAATCAATTATTTTACGTCTCTCTTAAGACATTTCTGTGGTTGCCAATCCACCTGCCAAGCGTGGCAACTATTGGCAAAACTTCCTTGATGAATAAGGCTTACGTTCAGCAGTGGACAGTTAAAGGCTGGTATGGTGATAGATAGATAGATAGATAATTTATTTACATTACTTACAGCACACAAATTACAATACAAACATACACATAATACACAGTAAAAGAGATAAAAGAATTAAAAAAAGCACAAAACAAAAAAAAAAAAACAAAATATATAAACTAACAATCTCCCTTCTTTCCCTTCCTTCATGCGTGTGCCATAGTAACACAAAATGGTCACAACTCAGTTTATTGCTTTGCCCTCAAAAGAGCAAAGCACTGATTCCATTGTGACCAAGAGTCAGTCGCGAAATTCCTTATTAAAAATAAAAAAGATTATTTGATAAGTATTTAGTTTAATTCCGCCACCGTTAGTATGTGTGCGACATCCAACACTCGAAGACTGACCACCACTATTACTACTAGGAGTTCCACAACCTTACATATTACCCTTAAATTTAATTTTTTTTTTATACAACTTAGAATGGCAAACAAGCTGACGGCCCACCTGATGAAAAGTGATAACCGTTGCCTATAGACGTGAGCAGTACCGTGGACATAACAGAGTATACTGTTTCGCCCATGATACCCCCCCATGCGTTGCCATTCCTGAGGACTCAGGTGTTATTCCTCTGTACCCAGTAAATTCACGCCATATCCCACCCTTCAAACCGAAACACAGCCACGCAAACACAACTGCGTCACGGTAGAAACACGAACGGGACAGAGGTGGCCAAGCAATCGACTTTTGTACAAAGTCTCCCTCTGGTGAATTAAGAATTAATTCGATCTCACAAAAAGACATTGTATTGTTGTTGTTACTGGTGAAACTATTTAAAATTCCATTAACAAGATGTAATTTAATCCAATCACTTGTAACAAAGTGTAAACCAATTAACCGGTAAGTTAAGCCAAGTAGTTAACTTAAGAAGTTAAGAGACAAATTACATGTAAATATCGTTTGAGAATTTAACTTTGTCTCCTTAATTAAAGTGTAAAAACTTTAGTTATTTCTTACTAATATTATTATAATATGAAAGTGAGTTTGTTTGTGTGTTCATTCATCTTATTCAATCACTATTTAATTTTTTTTAATGGATGATAATGGAATGGTTACTCCGCCTGTGCTATCGGTATATACCGGCGGGGCACCAGTGAGGGATGATAAGTGAAGATGTAGCAGGTCAGTTAGCCCATCGTGACAAATTCACTGTGAATCACGATGGTTTTCAGGGGGAACCGCGAGGAGGTCGACCCGATATGGTATATTGCTAGTAATAGAGTCGCTAATGCCCATTACTAACAATCCCTTCCCATACGCTACCAGGGTACCAGTGAGGGATGGTAGGTGAAGATGAAGCAGGCCAGTTAGCCCACCGTGACGAATTTAACATTAAATCAATGTACATGGTTTCCAGAGGGAACCACGAGGAGGTCGACCTGACAGGGTATATTGCTAGCAATGGGGCTACTATTCCCCATTACTAATCCCTTCTCCCCCCTGTCTATAGTGTTTGTATATAAAGCCACTCGTATGTTATATATATGGTGCATCGTTACGAACTTTCTCATTTATTATACAACTAGGATTTGCGCAGGCGAACCCACGGGATATAGCTAGTTTAAAATAAAAGCTTTCTTTTTAAAGCCAGTTCATAATAATTATTAAATTCAGTTTGTAAAGAAACGGCGCCAAGCTGAGCGCAGCGGGGCGCGTGGCAGGAGGCAGGAGTCGAGAGGCTTGCATTGCCAAGGGAATGTTCGTTGCAGTGCAAGGATTTATATTGGGTATTGCATTTATTACTAGCAATCCGCCCCGGCTTCGCACGGATTTGGTTCGTAGATTATTATTATTAAAAAAAGGGCTTTTCCAAGCAGAAAAGCCTGTGACGCTGCGACCTCTCCGTGATCTTTTGTGCCCGCCCTTTTCTAAAGTTCGACGTTAACTTTAACGTCGAACTGGTAGCAAACCAGTGATGGGAACTTTAAGATGTTCTTTGTAGCGATGTTTTTTATTTCCTCAAGATACAGAGTGTGTTTTCCAAAGAAGATATATCGTTTATGTATGAATGGGCTACAGCGACACATTCATTGCTGCGGCGTTTCTTCCTCACTGTGACAAAATCTGCAAACACTTTTTGGGCATAAGCCTAATTGGGCCGTGGGCTTGATCGTTAGTCATTTATTCAAAAAAAAAAAAACAATGTACATTGTTTTCTGAAATTAAGTATGATCAAAGAAAAGAGTATTAAATTAAAAACAATTATAAATATATTTTACAATCAACAATATTCGTATAATAAATTTATTTGGTAGAAAAAAATTGGTTTATAGATAAAAAGTTATTTTTTTATACTACTTGGAACGGCAAACAAGCTGACGGCCCACCTGATGGAAAGTGGTAACCGTCGCCTATAGACACGAGCAGTACCGTGGACATAACAGAGTATACTGTTTCGCTCATGATACTCCCCATGCATTGCCATTCCTGAGGACTCAGGTGTTATTTCTCCGTACCCAGTAAATTCACTGCCATATCCCACCCTTCAAACCGAAACACAACTACTTTACGGTTAAAACACGAATGGGACAGAGGTACCCAAGCAATCGATCGTCGTGTGGCCTCGGTATAGAAAGAGCTATCCCTTTCAGTCCCACGGGTGTCGTAAGAGGCGACTAAGGGAACTTAACAGTCGAGGAATGGGCAGCAGCGTCCCTTTTAAAACATCACCAAAACCTAGCTGTAGTTGCCAACTCGCCTGACAAAAGTATCAACGATTGGCAAAAGCCCAATTATGGAGGAAGCCTATGCCCAGCAGTGGACAGTTAAAGACTGTTATTACAATACGAATATAATAGAATATGTTTAATTTAAACAAGTCAAAGCTTTAGCAAAAAATTATCTCAAATATGCACAGTCCCCGGGGCGAAATGGAAACGTTCCAACAAAAACGTTTACTCAACTCAATTATGGTACAGGAGAGATATGTTTTGTACTTAATTGATCCCTTGGAGATATATCTTCGGGGTTCCGTGGAAGGTACTCGATGACCCTCGCTCATAATTGAAAATTGATGAATCTTTTAATGCAACTTGGTGAAAAGGCGACCCAGTTCTGTTGAAACTAATGTAGTAATACATTCCAAATGATACTGGCAACAAAATGAAACGTTCAATCGATCGATTGATAATTTATTTGTCCAATTACACGCTAGTTATCCGCCCCGGATTCGCGCGAGAATATAACAATAATAATTTATGTGCTCAAAATGTGTCTTACACGATAGCAGAGCTACACATTTCACCTTATTTGAAGGCATGCCAATTTTGTTTCAACACATGTTAATATTTTTAAGTGGCTTACATTTTTAAAGTAAAAATACATCAATTACATGAGTTCAAATAGTTATTCTAAATATATAATAATATGTCACATTTAATCAGTTAAAAGTTAGTAAAAGGATTTCTAATTTTATAATTGTTTTATACTTTTATTCTGGCATGATTGTGTATTTTGGTATAAAAACTAATTTACTGAATTGATTTTAGAAAGAAAGAAAGAAAAGAACGAAAGAAAACATTTATGGACAACAACAAAAAAAGGGAGACTTTGTACAAAAGTCGATTGCTTGGGTACCTCTGTTCTATTCGTGTTTCAACCGTGAAGTAGTTTTTTTTATACCACTGAGGTGGCAAATAAGCATACGGCCCACCTGATGGTAAGTGGTTACCGTAGCCTATGAACACCTGCAATACCAGAGGTATTACGCGTGCGTTGCCGACCCTGAAGAAACCTCTACTCCCCCTTTGAAGAACCCCATGCTGTAGTCTCTTGGTAAAACCTCGGCAGGGAGCTCATTCCACAACCTGAGTGTTCATGGGAGGAAACATCTCTGAAACCGCGCAGTATGCGACCATTGAGGCTGTAGGACATGAGGCAGTCGTGTTTGCATGGCTGTGTTTCGGTTTGAAGGGTGGGATATGGCGTGAATTTACTGGGTACAGAGCAATAACACCTGAGTCCTCAGGAATGGCAACGCATGGGGGGTATCATGGGCGAAACAGTACACTCTGTTATGTCCACGGTACTGCTCACGTCTATAGGCGACGGTTACCACTTTCCATCAGGTGGGCCGTCAGCCTGTTTGCCATTTTAAGTTGTATAAAAAAAAAGTTACATAAATTATCAATAGAAAAAAAAAAAAACTTTACATTTGTTATTGCCAACGTTTAATTTAATTAATAAAAATTCTTTAAGACCAATCTCTAAATATTTTTTTCAAATAAAAAAAATACATCCAAATGTATTGTTACTTGTGACGAAGTTATAAAGTAATAAACTTCAAAACAAAAAATACAACGGAATTGAGAATCTCCCTCTTTCTAAAGTCGGTAAGAAACAAAATATAGAAACTAGAGTGTACAATAAAGAATTAAATAAATATAGTCCATATTATCCGCCGATAATGTAGCTTTCTACAGGTGGAAGAATTTTTAAAATCCACTGAGTAGTTTTGAGTTTATTCATGACAATAAAAAATACATCAAAATATTATCTTTTGAACCGACATCAGAAACGATGGAAGTTTTTTCTTCGCCAGTATTTTTTTTTTCTATTTGTTACCTCATATCTTTATCGGTTATAAATCGAATTGTTTTTTTTATCTGAAAGCATACACTTACAGATTGGAATATAATTTAGAATTTTTATCAGAGAATTTTTTAACAGATAGATAGATAGGTACTCTTTATTGTTTCCTCCAAAAGATTACAATAGTAAACTTTTTTATTAATATTATTTTAAGGGCTTTTACCTTCTTCAGGTATATCAGTCCTATCGTACCCTGAACTGATTTCTCAAACAAAACTTTATCTACTTTCCATAGACGCGGAAAGAGAAGAATTAATGAGCATCAATAATTTACAGAGATGTTAGAAAATTTCTGGTTTAAGTTCAGCTAACATAGATTGAATAAGGCCAACATTAGTAAACTTATTATAGATACAAACAATTACAAGAAATGATCACAGTGAGACAACAATGGGCGACCTTATCGCTGAGAGCGATCTCTTCCATCGATTCATTAGTTTCAACTTGCAATTAAAATTATCGTCATTCTTGTCACCGTTGAAGTTGGCCTTCCTTATGGAACATACAACACCTCCAGAACCCATTTTAAGTGATCACACTTGACAACAAGTGTATAAAAACCGTGTCGAAAGTTCTAAACGAAACTTCAAATCTTGCGGAGGCGAAAATAAAGGAGTTATATTGAAGAATTTAACAAAAAACAAGTGCTGTTAACTCTTCACCTTGTATTTACAAGAGTATGAAAGAAAGAAAGAAAGAAATAATTTAATCAAAGAAGCCGCCATAAGAAGTAAAGAGCCGCCATGTTTGATTCCCATCTACCTTTGTGCCATCTACTTCATTCGCTTAAATTCCCTAAGTGGGAAAACCATTTCTCTAATTTTTTTTCTTTATACCACTGAGGTGGCAATCAAGCATACGGCCCACCTGATTGTAAGCGGTTACCGTAGCCTATGAGCGTCTGCAATACCAGAGCTATTACGCGCGCGTTACCGACCTTGAAGAAACCTCTTTACGCCCCTTTTGAAGAACCCCATGCTGTAGTCTCTTGAGGAAACCTTTTGGGGAAATCACTATGTGGTTTCTCCAGGTGGAAGCCACTTCTCGACGGGGTATCAAGATAAAATATACGCCAGATTTAAGGAACTTCAGAACGAAAACTATGAAAATAGGCATCAAATCATAAAATCGTCCAAACCAAAAAAAAAACCACCATACATGCAATGCTACGTTAACGCAACGACCCACGCGAACCGCGCCCCATCTAATTGTGCCCAGTACGATATTTGATGTAGTAAAACATCAAATTATTGTTATGATCATAGCTGCTATTCGATGTCAAGGTATCGTCACTAATCAGCAATGAATTATTCTATAAGGAAAGGAAATATAATGTAGAATATATATATATATATATATATATATATATATATATATATATATATAAATTTTTAACAATATAATAAATTTATATATATATATATATATATATATATATATATATATATATAAATTTATTATATTGTTAAAAATTTGCACGCCGACATAGAGGCAGAATGTACACGGGAAATATAAATCTCTATCATCTAAAATTACCTGCATTCTAGCAAAATAAATTCATTTCATTTCATTTCATTTCATTTCATATAATATATCTTTTATATATAAAATTCTCGTGTCGCGGTGTTTATTACTAAATTCCTCCGAAACGGCTTTACCGATTTTTATGAAATTTTGTGTGCATATCGGGTAGGTCTGAGAATCGGCTGACATCTATTTTTCATACCCCTCAATGATAAGGGTGACCCACCCCTAAAATTTTTTTTTTTTTATTTTTTGACAATTTTTTTATTTTTATTTTATTATGATTTAGTATTGAAAAATACATACATATTCAAATTTTCACGCTTTAGCAAATGGCAAACAAGCTGACGGCCCACCTGATGTAAAGTGGTAACCGTCGCCTATAAACACGAGCAGTACCATGGACATAACAGAGTATACTGTTTCGCCCATGATACCCCCCATGCGGTGCCATTCCTGAGGACTCAGGTGTTATTCCTCTGTACCGTGTAAATTCACGCCTATATATATCCCACCCTTCAAACCGAAACACAGCCATGCAAACACAACTGCTTCACGGTTGAAACACGAATGGGACAGAGGTACCCAAGCAATCGACTTTTGTACAAAGTCTCCCTCTGGTATTATCCCTCGGGTCTTCCGTGAGATAACATCTAGTTTAGGTAAATGAAAGCTTTTTATCCATAATAATATTAAAAAGAGAAAAGATATGTTTGTTTGTTTGTTTGCAATAATTAAACTAAAAAACTGTTTAAATAATTTTAAAAATTCAGCCACCTATAGAAAGCTACATTGTCAGAGAATAACATGGGATTATATTTTAGTAAAACAAAAAAATTGCACAATGTCAAAATTTATCTCACTAATTTAGACACAAATGCGTGTTAGACGCCCTTTACACTGTAATAGGACGTCCGAACATGTATCTAACACCTGTCTCACCTGTCTAATTCAAGTTTAAACTTTTAAATGTAAAATTAAGTTATTCTAAACAATTATTGCTATTCAAAAATGCACCGCCTACTTATTTCTCCGTTCGCCCAATGTTCGACTGGTAGAGAACACCGTCCGGTGTTCAGTCCGCCATATGTACATAGAATTATACTGTGCAATAAATTTTTAAATAAATAAATAAAAATTAAATAACCTATGTATATACAATACACATTTATATATATTTACTAGCTGACCTTGCAAACGTTGTTTTGCCATATAAAATATTTCTAGAAAATAGTTTTTTAGTTCAATTAAAAATAGATAACACTGTAAGTGTGTTAGGATGTTGAAAGAGGAATGAAGCATTGCAGGCAATTAAAGTATACTTCATTTATGTTAATAAATTATTCAAAACAACAAATTCATATTAAATTACAATGCTTGATAGCTATTTACACATCGGTGATAGTTTTTTTTTTTTTATATTTCTACTAATAATTATGGCAATTAAAAAATAAACAAAGATTAATCTCTCAGCGCAATGGAGTGTACAATATTTTATTTATATTACGTTCTGTAATTCACACTACCCTACCTACTCACTGTCCTGTTAACTGTCCACTGTTGGGCATATGGGGACTTTTGCCAGTAGTTGCCACGCTTGGCAGGCGGGTTGGCAACCGCAGGCTTTTAGAGATATACATTAACGTTTAACTAAATATATAAATATTTTGAAACAAGCTTGTATTGTGGGAAAAAGTATGGGATAGTTAAACAAACACTTACCTCGTGTTGTTGGTAGGAGAATGCACCGCGGTGGGTGCTCTCTTACCCTTATATAACGGAGTTGGCATCGCAGTCGCCGTAGAGACAGTGTCAGGGATGGAGTGGCTTTCACTTGAAATATTAAAAAGTGTGGGCGAAGTGTGGGCGTGGAGATATCTTTAACCGACATCAAAAAGGATAGATAGATAGATAGGTAATTTATTTGCATTACAGCACATAAATTTATACTAGAGGGAGACTTTGCACAAAAGTCGATGCTTGGGTACCTTTGTCCCATTCGTGTTTCAACTGTGAAGCAGTTGTGTTTGCATGGCTGTGTTTCGGTTTGAAGGGTGGGACATGGCGTGAATTTACAGGGTACAGAGGAATAACTCCTGAGTCCTCAGGAATGGCAACGCATGGGGGGTATCATGGGCGAAACAGTATACTCTGTTATGTCCACGGTACTGCTCATGTCTATAGGCGACGGTTACCATTTTCCATTAAGTGGGCCGTCAGCTTGTTTGCCATTCTAAGTCGAATAAAAAAAAAACGTAGTCGCCACTCATTGCTGGTAATGACCGACATAAACCGACCTGCCTTTCCATCCTCACCTGTCACCCGTCACTAATGCCCCGTTTACGTGTACCGTTAGCGCAGGCGGGGTTACAATTCCATTATCATCCATTAAAAAATAACGAAAATCGAAAATCGTAGTTTACATTTTGAAGTAAATACTTACGCAAACACTTGATAAACTGTACTTTTTTTCGCAAGAGGAAGTCTTTGTTTAAATCGAAGCATTTGGCGTCCCATTGTTTCTGCCTACCCTAATGGGAGACAGGCGTGATAGATATGTATGTATGTATGTAAAAAATAAAACACGGCGGCGCCTCCATAGCGCCTCTGTTCCGCGGACCTCCTGTTGCTCGAGTTCTCTTTCTCAGTACTATGTTGATATCCGATGCTTGCACGGAATAATGAAAATAATCATAATCAAATGTGCCGGAATATCGGTATACTTATTGTGGGCAAGTATTTGGTGGTTTTCCGACATTATTTGCGTCACGATGCTAAATCGATTGGCAGGTTAAGCAACGTTCGCGGCGGTCGGAAATTGGATGGGTGACCATGTATGAGTTTCTTTTTTTTTATTTTTTTGATGGGTGAAAATGGTATGGTAACCCCGCCTGCGCTAACGGGATACGCTGGCGGAGGACCAGCGAAGGGTGATAGATGAGAATGGAAACAGGCCAGTTAGCCCATCACGATGAATTCATCAGGAATTAACCATGATAGTTTCCAGGGAGAACCGCGAGGAGGTCGACCTGGTTGGGTATATTGCTAGCAATGGGATTCTCAGTCTCCATTACTAACAATCCCTTTCCCCCTAAAGCATGTATGAGTTCGGTATTTTTTCTTAATGGAACCGTAACCCCACTTGTGGCGGGGCACCAGTGAGAGATGATAGGTGAGCATGAAGTCAGGTCAGTTGGCACATCGTGATGAATTAATCAAAAATTAACCAAGATGGTTTCCGGAAGGTAACGCATGGGTGTTTCTGATAGGTTATATTGCTAGCAATGGGGATTTGAAATCTCATTATTAACAATCCCTTTCGCCCCAAATTCGGAGGTTGGAGTACATACTAATGATCCAGCCCGACTTCGCTCAAATAGATAGAACAGCGGGTCTACCATGAAATGAAATTCCGAAATTTCGGACTCAAATTTGTGTTTATGTTTATACCAAAATCGGACCAATAAATGGAGTTTAACATTTCGTTCGTCATACATCCTATCATAAAAGTCCAAAGGAACAATATTTTATCATTTTGTAATATTTCCAAACGGCATGTATTATGTAATTTTAACATCAAATTTCTGTTTCGTTTGGCTCCGAAATTTCGAAAAACATTTCATGTTAGGCCCTTAGGATCCACTCAGTTCGATTGTATTTTTTTTTCATGTTCCTTACTTCATAACTCCGTCAGTTGTGAACCGATTTGAAAAGTTCTTTTTTTTTGTTTCGGTTTGAAGGGTGGGATATGGCGTGAATTTACAGGGTACAGAGGAATAACACCCGAGTCCTCAGGAATAGCAACGCACGGGAGGTATCATGAGCGAAACAGTATACTCTGTTATGTCCACGGTACTGCTCATGTCTATAGGGGACGGTTACCACTTTCCATCAGGTGCGGTATCACTTTCCGTCAGCTTGTTTGCCATTCTAAGTTGTATAAAAAAAAAAAAAAAAACGTACAAATCCCTATCGTACAAAGTCTCCCTCCGGTATCTGTCTATCTATGGACGAAATAAATAAACAAATCTTCCAAAAACATTATCAACCATTTCTTCCGGAGTTAAAACAATATTACGATGGGTTTGTAAATAAATAAAGCTAATAGTGCCTTACGGGCAGAATAGTTATCGATACAGTTAAAATCCTTAACAGATTCCACGAAGAGGGATTGTTATTTGATCGAAATGGATGATTACAATTGTCTATAAACACAAAATGAATATTTTGCTTGGGTACCTCTGTCCCATTCCTGTTTTAACCGTGAAGCAGCTGTGTTTGCATGGCTGTGTTTCGGTTTGAAGGGTGGGATATGGCGTGAATTTACTGGGTACAGAGAAATAACACCTGAGTCCTCAGGAATGGCAACGCATGGGAGGTATCATGGGCGAAACAGTATACTCTGTTATGTTCATGGTACTGCTCGTGTCTATAGGCGACGGTTACCACTTTCCATCAGGTGGGCCGTCAGCTTGTTTGCCATTCTAAGTTGTATAAAAAAAAATTCACTCTCGTGACGGCAACAAACATAATTAATTGTAATAGATTCTTTTAAAATTTTACTAAATTCGGTTTTTTTTTTATTATATTACCTTGGTTGAAAGCTAGCGCTGGGACATAAATGACGATTGGAAGCCAAACCATCTGAAATAAGTATAAAATAATTAATCCAAATATCTCGCCTAATGGAAAGTTTAAATGAAGCAAAAACGTTGTAGATAGATAGATAGATAGATAGATAATTTATATGCATTACATACAGTACACAATTAAGTGACTTAATTTTTTTTATACAACTTAGAATGGCAAACAAGCTCGACAAGACGACCCACCTGATGGAAAGTGGTAACCGTCGCCTATAGACGTGAGCAGTACCGTGGACATAACAGAGTATACTGTTTCGCCCAGGACTCAGGTGTTAGTCCTCTGTACCCTGTAAATTCGTAAGTAATTAACGTAGGGAGATAAGTTCGCGTTTGCTAACATTGTTATTTGTTGTAGTTGTTACTGTATGTTTTAGTGCAATAAAGTATATATATCCCGGTTACGCGGACAAAGTCGCGTGTAAAATCTAGTAAATAATAAAACAAAAAGTAAACAACATAAAGTAAATAAAACATATTTTTTAAAAGGTCAACAATTATTTTTGGTTTTATTTCGAATCTATTTAATATCTGAATTTATTTGGATTCAAATATCAAATTCTTGGATTTTCATGACGGACAGTGCTTATTGGGTAATTATTTATAAAAATATTATATTTCATCGTAAAATGTAGATGGTTCGTCGATCAAAAATATCAACTAGATCAAGTTTCAAGAATTGCGAAGTAGTAACTCAATTGTGTAATAGCTAAATAACGCCTCACGAATTACAGCGGGTCTATCATGGAATGGAATGGGACAGATAAAGGAAACACTAGGCGTCATGTCGTATAGGGAGATAAAGGATATGGCCTGGGATAGAGCTGGCTGGAAGAAGATGCATGAATTAGTTGCACCGACAAGAGGTAACTCTTAAATGAAAATGAGAATATTATGGAATGAAATCCCGAAATTTTGTACTCAATTTCGTGTTTATGTTTATACCAAAATGGGACCAATAAATGGAGTTTAACATTTCGTTCGTCATACATCCTATCATAAAATTCTAAAGGAACAATATTTTAACATTTTGTAATATTTCCAAACGGCATGTATTATGTAATTTTAACATCAAATTTGTGTTACGTTTGGCTCCGAAATATCGGAAAACATTTGATGAGAATGAAAACAGGCCAGTTAGCCCGTCATGATGAATTCATCAGGAATTAACCATGATAGTTTCCAGGGAGAACCGTGTGTAGGTCGACCTAGTTGAGTATATTGCTAGCAATGGGATTCTCAGTTTCCATTACTAACAATCCCTTTCCCCCCAATCTCTCCCTTTAAGTACTATTTTATCCGTGTCCTATATTCATGTTTCAGATTCACTCTCTCCTGTTGTATGCGTGCTTTTAAGTTTGTGTATGTTTATGTATGTATTTGCACTTCAGCTGCCCGCTAACGACATGCTTTCCAACTGTATCGGGTTGACTGGAAGAGATCTCTGTCAGAGATAAGTCCAGCCTTGCTCACAACATTTATAAATGCATTAACAATGTAATTTACAAGTGCAATAAATAAATATATATATATATATATATATATATATATATATATATATATATATATATATATATATATATATATATTTGTTTATATATAACAGTGCGTCACTTACCCTTTGTCTTTCTTTCTTTTCTCAATATCCTCTACCCAAAGGTTGTCTGGAAGAGATTGCTTAGCGATAAGGCCGCCTTTTGTATCACTTCTCATTACAATTATTGTGAACTGGTTGTAATAAAGAAAACGCCGGTTCGTGTTGAAAAATTAAACTGACAGCGTAGCGATTCATTTCGCTACCTCCTTTTAACCGCGCCAACAATTTTTACGTCAATACAATATTAAGACTCTTTCCAGTGTAGTGACTAAAGACATCTATTGCATTCAGTCACTAACCTTGCTTGCAGAATGATTCTATTCATCTTGCAGTTTAAAAGACAGAAGGGAACTAATGAACAGCGATCCACAATAACATTTAATCAGTATTTAATATTTTACATTAGGTAGGATTCGTAAAGTCAGATAGATAGATGTCAGATAAACTAAAACTCAAACGTCACAATGTTTCTAAATTGTGCAAACGAGAAAGAGTCTTAATATTGTATTGACGTAAGAATTGTTGGCGCGGTCAAAAGGAGGTGGTGGA